ACAATAAATTATTTATTTTGAATATTCAAAATTTAGATTCGGAAGCTTAATTCAATTGTATGTACATATTAATGAGATGTTTTCCTTAATTACCTGTGATAAAATTTGAACATCACTCTGTTTCATTGAAAGAGGGTTAATTGATTGTTAATGTTTGGTTAATGTAGGCAATTGACAATATTGATTAGCAAAAGTTGTAAAATCATTTCAAGCAACATAAACCTTTATAGAAGAACTTTCTACCTACAATAAATTTAAACAATTATTCAATTTTTCAACTTCAACATCAAATTTTAATATCGTGAGTATTAGTTTGACATTTTTACATTAATTTCCATAACGAAGATTTAAACTTATGGCAACGAAAGAGTCTTTTAGTAAAAATCTTAATTTTTTCATTATTCTTTGATATTGATTTTGAAATACAGTGAATACTTGGTGCCATAATGGCAGACTTTTGCATGATGCTTGAATGTTGAATAAATTAAAGTAACTTTTTTAAACAGATTTTCAATACAATTTTATATTTAAAGCTCGACATTCTCAGAAAAAATACGATTTTTCCTACTTATCTACTTAAATTCTAAATTAAAATTCTTGTTTTTGATATTTAACGACTCAAAAAGTTTGAAATTCAAATTCGAAAACTTTTAAGGTTCTTTGGCAGTTAAAAATTTTAGAAATGCATTTAAAGAGTTAAATATCAAATCCTATATCCCTTTTATAAAACTTTTTTTCTTTTCTTATTGTTATAAAAAATCCCATTATCATTTATAATAATCAAGCGAAATGCTTTAAGAATCTTTCTTTTTCTTATGAAAACCTATAGCAATAACAGTCTCTATTTGAATTTTCAGCGTTTCTTAACATTTACGAATCGTTGTTTTATGACAAAATGCGATTCGCATCAAAACCGCTTTTAATAAATTTTTCTGCTATTTAAAATATTTTGCAATTAGAAAATTAAGTTTTAATAGAAGTTTTAGAAGTGTTAAACTAGAATTAAAAAATTATAACGTGTGTACGATAAGCAAAAGTTAAAATGTGAATCATAAGAAAGCCTAGAATGTGCACTTTTAAAAGCAAACATACTCTCTGAAAATATAAACATTCAATTAGCATTATTTACTGCGTGAAATATCCCTCAAAAATTTACTACCGTGATTCATTGTGCATGAATTTAAATGTTCCTGCCAAAATGGATGATATTTCCAAAAGGCGATCAGAAAAATCGATAAAATACTAAAAGTTTTCACAATAGAGAAAATTTCGCGAAAGTTGTCGACGAAACAACAATAACAAAACAAATGTATTTGACAATGGAATCTGCTGATGATCGTATAACCATTATGGTCATTTCAAGCGTTACTTTGGTGACATTAATCTCAGCTTTAGCAGTTTGTCTTTGCTGCAGGAGACGAAATCCTAAGTGAGTAATCTTAACTTTTTAAAACTTACACATATTCATTGATTTAAATAATAGCATAAAAAGAGAGCATAAATAGAAGAATAGAAAATGTAAAAGAGATTGAAACATTAATCCCGTTATTGGAGTAAAATAGAAATAATTTGTTTCACATTACATTTAATCTTACACACATTTTTGTGATTCTATTCATGCGGTAGCGAGAGGAAGCTTCAAAAAATGTTTCGATGATGAACACCATGAAGGAATGAAAGCAGAAAAAGTGCTTTTCTATTATTCATTCAACCATTGCTGTTGTTATTGTTGTCTTTCTATACTTTTCTTCTCACTGCATTTGAAAAGAATCGGCATAAATAAATTTACCGTGTGCGTTTGTTTACGATCGACCAGCGTGGTGTTTTATGTTCCGCTCATAAAAGCAAATTTCCAAATTTGAGTTGCTCATAAAAAGATCGTAATTGATTTCAGACACGAATTTCTCGAGTGTAAATCAATTTATCGTGATAATTAATTGCATGATTATGATAGAGTTAAGCTTCATGTCTGTTTGCTTAGATTATTTTCCAATCATTGAATGCATTCATTGTTATAAGCATGAAATTTGAAGAATTTCTTTTTCTTTGTGTTTCCCGCTTGTCATGGGTATTTAGAAGTGAACTTGCTGGAATTGAAGGGATTGTTAAGCTTAAACATCTTGATGACAGTAATTTGACAGTGAGTATTGATACAACAGACTCAAATGATGCACTTAATCCCAAGATGAAGCTAACACAGAAGAATGCAACGTTACCACTTGACTCAAAGTTGAATGGATTTCAAGACAATGAATTAAAAAGGTTAGTCGTGTATGAATATTCATAAAAATAGCTGTTTACAGATAGTTAGTGGGTAGAATAATGCTTAAGGTGTTGGATGAATGAATTGTTGATTTTTTTCTTTGTTTCCAGATCATCAGCAAATGCTCCACATCGAAGTCTCCCAGATATTCCAATTGTCGAAGTTGTATGTGATAACAACTCCGAATTGTATGCAACAGTCGGTGACAAATTGAATGAAAAGCCAAACAAAAGTCCATCGAGTCCCAAGAAACTTGCCAACTTATCTCAACATAGTTCAATGAGTCAAGCTGATGACACCAGTTCACCTTATGCACGTGTTCGTTCACCACCCCATGCCTATGATAAGTTAAAGAAAACTGAGCATCCTTACGCTCAAGTTGTGCAACCTGCATCAGCCGGAGGAGTCGCTCAAGTTGTTCTTGAGAACGACGGCGATGAAGATGATGACGACGACGATGATGATGAAATTGATGACGAAGACGAGACCGCAATCGAAAATCCAATTTCTCATCGTGAATCATCTTCCAACCATGATTTATTAGCATCTGGCGGTGCTTCAATTGACGCATCAGCAGCAATCAGCGGACGAATATCAGCAAGTCAAGAACTTCCTTATATGACGCCACCAATTGTGCCAGTTATGCCACCAACACAACAACATTTTAGTGGAGATTCTCAGGATTCATCAAGTAAATATTTACCGTCACGATTCATGAATTATTTCTAAGAATTTCTTTCTTTATTTTTCTTCTCAACTTTAAACATTCATAGAAGGTTACACAAGTATAAGTGTAAGAGAACCTTTAGCTAATATTATAGCACAAACAAATCAACAAAATGCCCAACGAAGACGGAGGGAGATTCAAGATTCGCATTATGCGACTGTTTCTGATGATTCTGGTAATTTCTTTCATTTCTCTTCATTTCCAAAGTTTTTATTTTAATTCTTTGTTTAATTAAAGATGAAATGTATGCAGCTATTGAAGATCCAAACAATTTTGGTGAACTTTACACCAGTGGATCGGAAACTTATGCACAGATTCAAGCACCAATGACTGTATCTGTTGAGATCAATGCAACAGCACCGCCAGCACAATCAACAAATCGTTTCAATCGAATGAGTGGAACAAGCAATCATCAAATTGATGATATTGCAAGTGCAAATGTTGAAACGTTAAAGAATCTTCATTCGCGTCAAGCTTCATCGTCAAGTTGCACAAGTTCTGTTGGTAACAACATCGGATCACCGAAACCTGAGAAAAGGCAAGCTAACTCACCACTTCCACCGACACCAAAAGGACAACATCAATCACGCAACTCGACATCCTCAATCATGGAATATCACGAGGGTGCAAAGATCAAAGACAGCAACAACAATTCAAGTAAAGTTAAGCAAAGTCCATCGAAAGATTTAGAAGGAATGTACGCGAAAGTCATGAAGAAAAATAAGTTATCGAGTGTTCCATCTGAGAACTCATCACCAGTTCTTAATCGACACGAAACAGCATCAAATGACGTGACAATAGGGAATATTGAAGTGTCACAAATTCCAACAAAGATTGGAAATGAATATGAAACGATCGACAAGAAACGTAATCGTTGTGGAAGAAATACCGAGACAAGTAACGCTGGTTATGAAACAATTCCAGCTGATCGTAATAACAACAATAAAGAAGAAAACAAAACGAATAATAAAACTTCTCCACATTATGCAGAAATCAATGACAAACGTGAGAAAAGTTCAAAAGCTAAAATGAGTTTGTTTAAGGAATCTGCGATTGGGTATGATGACATTCAACATTTGAGTTCAACGGACGATCCAAAATATGAAACGTTGAAGTTAGATAAGAATAAAAAGGTGTCGACAATGAGTAATGCAACAGATTCTGATTACGATCCAAATTATGAAATTGTAATGAACAAGACGTCGAAAGAAACTTCGAGTAGTTCAAGTTCAACGCTTGTTGATTATGGTTACAGTCAGATAGAGAAAAAAATGAAAGATGTAAGTGATGATGATGAAAGTATTCCTGGTTATAGTACGATTAGAAAGCCAGAACCCAACTACAGTATGATTGGTGAGAAGCACCATGGAAAATTACCAGTGAACAGTATTAATGATGGTGACAACGATTCCAATCTTTATTCAAGCATTCCACCAGTTGTTCAATCTGTTATTACACCATCAACTGACAGTAATTGTTCTGATCTTCATTTAGATTATGATTTAAGAACAAGCACAACAAACAGCATAACAACGCCAACGACATTAAATAATAACTACGAAACGTTAAGTAACAGTGAATCGACGACCATTGATGAACCCAACTATGAATCGATGAAATATTTAAAAGAGAATCCGTACGAAAGATTACACAATGAAAAAAGTTCAAGTCCAGATCCATCTGGTGATGCAATTTCACCATCGAATGATAATAAGAAACCGAATGGATCAACTGTCGGTGACTATTTCAAAGTTTAAAATTCAAAATGTTTCCTTTTTAAAGTTCTTCCATTTGAGTAACGTTATAAGCGTGCAATAAACTTTGTTAAGATCTTTTTATTAATGAAAATGTTAAATAGTGAAAGAAAATTCACAAACACACATACAAATCATGATGCACTTTACCACAATGAAGAGAAGTTAAATTATTCCGAGTTAACGTTATCGTAGATAAAAAGTTTAAAATTTATCATCAATCAATGATGTCAGACCACTCCACTGTCGTTATGAATGTAGAAGATTGAAGCACTTTCCGTCGTTCGCGTATTTATTGAAATATGAAAGAAAATTATGATCACTTTACCACTTATAAATCGATGAGAATGATAATATTTAATTAGAGATTAAGTGCGATAAATTGAAATTTAATAATACAAAAGCTTAATAATTTTACATTTAGATATTTACATTTTCCTGTAACATAAAAGATTAAAAATTGGAATCAATAATAAAAAAGAGATGAAAGAAATCTTTTGTTGCAACGTCTTTAGATTGTGGAACTCTTTGAAAATCATGCTAAGAAATGTCTAAACAACATGATTTCCTTCTCAAACTTATTTATTTCACAAAAAATCTAAACAACTTTGTTAAATTTTACCACATGAATGATTGAATTAAAATAATTGCGCCTTAGGAATGTCTAAATGCTTTTGCTTCTAATAATTTCAACGCATTTAATTTTTTCTTTTCTGTTTTTTTAATCATGAATCATGAGAAAAAATGGAATTTTTAGCTAAACAAATTTTTAAAGAAAAAGTTTCACTTATAAGATGTTGATAATAATAATGACAAAAATAATAATAAAAAAAGAAAAGATAATGAAATGAAAAATTTCTCGTGTTCAGTTCTTTTTACAATTTGTTTTTCACTTAAATTAGAAATGATTTGTGAGCTTTTTCTTCCTCTGATAAGAGACTGAAGCTGACTAAACAAACTTACAATTCATCATGAATTTCAAGACGTGTTGTTGAACAAGCTGCTGGTGTTTGCATCTTGTAGAAATATTCGCAGCGATTTGGTTCGCTTACACTAAGAATTCTTGTATCAAGACCACATTCAAGCTCGACGATAGCAGATCGTGATGGACCATTCCAACAACCCGCTCCATTTGCATAAAGCATTTGACGATAGTCACTTCCTTTCCAACTATCCCACGTCCCAAGTCTGAAGAGAAATTTCAATTTTCATTAAAAGAATTTGAATTTAAAAATGTCAAATCTCACCTTGTCTCAGCTCCACCATTTCTTGGCTGCTGAACCGCTTTGTCAAATGGACATAACTTGTAAACATATTCACGATCTTCAAAACTGAAACATTCGCCATTCAATGGAGCAAACTCTTCTTCTGGTCCGAAATCTTTCTCCAAAGCATTTCGAATATCGGAAAGTTCGCGATCAATTTCACGAAACTCGCGATCAGTAACGTCATATTGGTTTCTTGCTTCATTTGCTAAATGGATGAGTCTTTGAGTTTCCTCGTCATATTGTGGCTGAGGTGGCTCGGGCTGATCTTCTTGTTGTCCTTCAGCTTCTTCATCATAATCTGCATCATCGTCACCATGATGATGTTCTTCATCTTCATTTAATAATTCAGCTTCTTCTATTGGCTCATCGCCAGCTGCATCTATAGACTCGTCGTCTTCATCATCAATGTGTTCATCTCCTTCTTTCTTCGGTGCTTTGAATAATCCGGAATCAAGCATCAAGAAAGGCTTAATTCGAGGCCATGCAAGCGTTACAAAACCTTCGAGATCTAATTCATCGTTTTCGTCGAGGAAGTAACGAGCTTCTTCAACTTCCACGACACCATTACGATCTTTATCGAACATGATTCTTGTTTGAAGTTCAATTATCTCCATCTTGCCATTAGCATTTGAGTCGAACTTCCTGAAAGTTTCTTCGGCTTCATTTCGATTCGCCTCAGATTCAAGTTCCATCTTTTGCTTCTTTTCCTCTTCATCTGCTTGTTTATACACATCTAAAGCTGCATTTTCTAATATTTCTGCATCATCTTTGATCTTGTATTTCTCTTCTTTGAGTTGCTCTGCTTGTTCTCGTGCTTTCTCGAGCTCGCTCATTCGAATCTTTTGCTCTTCTTTCTTTTTTTTGCCTTTCTGTGCCATTTCAAGTCTCACTTGATTGCCACTTTTTAATAACTCAGCTTGTTGCTTCTCTCTTATTCTATCAGCTGATCCCAGCTCAATGCAGTTATTGATGCATTTTGCGTTGCTGAAATATTCATCTGAAGCATCACAGCAATCACACACACCATCGTTTACTCTTGAGCTTGGAATAATAATTGGCTTAAAGCCTGCATTGATGCAATAGAAACGCCCATTGACACACGCTGATGTGCCTGGCTCATCACTGCCATCAGCACAATCACAAAAGTCATCATTCAACTGGGAATATTTTATAACTTTTTTACCGTCGAAACATGTAAATTTATCATTTTTACTAATATAGAGTTGAGCCTTTTGTGGATTAATGCCTGAAATAGAAAATTATTGATAAAAAAATGATAGAAAATTTTTGTTGTCTCATTAAAAATTTAGAAATTGATAACCAACCTCTTAAAATCGGCTTATCACTTTTTATCTCGCTTAAAAATCCTAAGAAAAAAATGAAAACTGCTATATTCGCTATCATCCTTTCAATTTATGATCTATTTGACTTTTGTTAGTTATTAAATTCTGATTATTTTACTAATCTTTTGTTGGATACACGTAATTCAAACTAATTTCTCGATTTTTTTGTCTGCCGGAAGGGTGAGAGACTCTGTTAAATGCAGTTACACCTTTATGTATCGAAATGTTTCTCATTTTATATGTTGTTCAACAAGTTTTGAAGAAAAAAAGAAATGAAATGAAGTGCATTTGTTTATTTCATCGATAGATTAATAATTTTACAAATTGAATAGCGAAGTCTTGTAATGTTGAATACTTTTTACGAAAATGCATAACCGCATCAATTACCCTATGCGAATCGCAATTAAGTCAATAAACTACAAAAATAACAAATTTTGTTTTTATCTGATTTTTTTCATATTTATGACATATTCTGTCTGATATTTTATTCATCCATAACAATCATAACATAGTTTCATAAAAGAATAAGAAAAAGAATCAAATTTCTTTATAATTTATGAAACTGTTGCAACCATTGTAGTCTTTTCATCACTTAATTCCCACAACCACGCAGCCATCTCATCGTCTTTTGACTTTTCAGATGATGTTGATTCCTGACATGTTTCATAGTACTTTCCTGACACTTTTTCTAGTTCGGGTTCAACAGCAAGCATTATTGAAGTTTGTGCACCGTTTTCTGGTGACTTGTAAAATAATTTCTTGAGAGGTGTCATTAAAAACCTTAAAGAAATATTAACGTCAATAAATTAATAAATGAAAGAATCTTCAATCACCTCATAATGGGATTCAAGTATTTGGTTGCATCAGTGTCAACGGCTCCAGGACATAATGCGTTGATAGTTACTCCAGTACCTTCCAATCTTTTAGATAATTCACGTGTGAAAAGAATGTTTGCTAATTTACTATTAGCGTAGGCTTTCCATGAACCAGCAAAACTTTTCTCACTGTTGAAATTTTCTTTATCAATTGCTCCAATTTTATGAAGCTGTGAAGCTACCACCACAATACGGCTAGGAGCTGATTGCTTCAAAAGATCCAACAATAAATTTGTGAGCAAGAAGTGACCAAGATGGTTAACTCCCATGTTCAACTCAAATTTTTCTTTTGTTCTTTCGAGAGGAGAGAGTACGCCAGCATTATTTATAAGAATATCAAGGCGAGTTTCAATCTCATGAAATTTCTTCGAAAATTCTCGAATCGACTCTAACGATGCAAGATCAAGCTGAAGGAAGAAAACATTGTCATTTCCACTTGCTGCTTTCACTTCGTTCACAGCCTCGATTCCTTTGTTTTGATTTCGACATGCCATGTATATTTTGCCCCCTCGCTTTGCTAAATCTAATGCTGTCGCCTTTCCAATTCCAGCATTCGCTCCAGTAATGATGACAATTTTGCCTTCAATTCGAACGTTGTTGGTGTAGCGTTTCCCGTTTGTGTATGATCTAAATAAATTGTTATTGTCAAGAGCAAACATAAAAAACTTTAAAATGCTGATTCATTTCAATCTTGATTCTTGTATTTAGAATTAAAAAAAAATGTTTATGTATGATTAAACGTCAAGGTCATAAACAAACATCTTTTTTCATGAAAACACGAATTATTGGTGCACGATTCTTGTGTCGCTTGATTTGAGTTATTGATTATAAAACTTACTTTGACATGTTCACAATTTTGCAAGTTCAAATTATTAAACAATAATATTTAAAAGAAAAAAAATTGAAAATAAACAAAACTATCAAATTCTACTCTCTGCACGAAGCAATATCAACAGGTTTTGATGACGATGAACAAAACATTTTTTAAAAGCTCTAAAAGCTGTGATTTTGCGAAACGCAAGAAATGAACTTTTTTACAAGTATAAAATTCAAATCTTTTAGGCAACGAAAAGACCTCAATTAAACATGCAGGTAATTAAATAAATCTTTAATTCTATAAATTATGCCTTAAATTTAAAATGAAATCGAAAAAATTGTGGTAAATTTGTTAAAGTGTGATATTTAATTTAAAGTTATTTATAACTTTTTAATAAACAAACTATGAATACCTATCTGCTGATAATTTTTTTCATTATCCAATTTTTTTTGTTCTATTTAGCTCGAAAAACGACTGTAGACCTACTTATAATTAAATTACTTTTGTACTCTACATTTTTATAATTTCTTTATCACGATCCTTAGGGTATTTAAAGCTCAGTTAATGGATATTTAGGTACGTTTTTGATTTAGTTTTTAAGTTACTTACTTGAAGAATATTCCCTTCTGAAAGAATTATTTTGAAATGGCCAAAAATTCAAACTTTTTGATAGTCTTTGTGTTATTAATCAACATTTTTTAAAATGATTTTTAATATAACTTCCACCTCCAGCACTTACAAGGCGTTCATTGTCGTTAGTCTTGTAAGTGCTGGAGGTAGAAGTTGTATTAATGTCCCACTTTGTGATAATGGTCACTATGACGATTGTGACGATGTAAACTGTCCAGATGGTAAAGCAGAATGACAAAGTAAGTGAGTAATGATGAATGCATAATTTCATGTGAAAATTATTGCAATATTTTCTTCAAACTACACATCCAATTTTTGGGTTTTCCGATATAGTGTATCAGCAAACTTTTTATATTATCTATCATAGACATGTATAAAAATAAAAAAATTTTAAGTATTTAATTACCTAGGTATTTGCAAAATGATTACTTTAACTACAGCTTTGATTTCTTTTTTATGTTTTTTAAAATATCTAATTTCCTGTTTTTATTGGTAAACTTTAAATAAAAACGAGTCATCAGTTTGGATTTTTATTGGTTTTAATTTAAAATTATATAGATAATCAATTCAATTGTTTGCCTGTCTGACTCGATAACTACTGAAAACCAAAAGGATCTAACTACATTCTATGTGAATGGAAGCAAATATTTATCGCGAGTTTCAAGTGCATACAGAGAGGGTTGGAAATTAGGATATTTATTACATTGTTTGTAGTTGAATTCCTTTTTTTATATTTTAAATATTGTTAACAGAAGAACATTATAAAAGCAAAATTGATTGAAGCAAAATTTCTCACGTTGCTCAAGTTGTTGTTAGTCATTATGATGAATATCTGCTAATAATTTTTTACTATCCCATTTTTAGTTCTACTTAACTCGAAAAACCAATTTTTTATGATTCCTTGTTCACGAGCCTTAAACGTATATAAAGCCTATTTGAAGAATATAAGGTAGGTTTTCGCTTAAGTTTCTGAGTTCCTTAAAGAATATTTTCTACTAAAACAATCATTTTGAAATGGCAAAAGTTTCAAATGTTTTGATACTCTTTGTGATCGTTTGTGGTACGTGATATATAAAAACCAACCTATTTGTATTATTAAGTAGCATTTCCAATTTTAATTACCTAGTATTCATTCACGCCGTAAGTTTTGTAACTGCTGGAGGTGGAGGTGTTAATAATGGCCCACTTTGTAAGGATGCGGAATATATCGATTGTGACGATATAATCTGTCCAGATGGGCTGACTGTTGTAGGTGACGCTGTTTCTTGCTGTTGCGCTGATCTTAGTTGAATTTTGAACTTGTCTATTTTTTCTTATTTTAAAAAATCAATTATTCAAGTTTTTTCAAGTAACAGAAAATTTCAGATAAATAGTCAAAAAGACATTCTTAACAAGTCAACTTCTTCTAAAGCTTCAATTTCTTTTCGTGCGAAACTGATAAAAACGAAATTGCCAAAAAGCTTAAAGGTGAACCTCTTACAAATTTCTCATTTTGCCCAATTTTAACATGTTCTTATGGTTTAAGAGCTATTGATTTAGTCAGTGACATTTGTTGTTGCGGTAAATAATCAAAATCAATTTGCATGATTAGAAGAAAAAAATTTTAATTCAGTTTTATTGGAAATAAAACAAATTTTATCAACACGAATTTTAAATAGATATTTGCTTCAGTAGATAGCAAATTTTTAAACATTTACGTCGTGAATAAGCTTTATTTGATTTTGAATGCTTCTTAAGGAAAACAATATTTGTGCTAAAAATTGATTGAAATTTTATGTGAGAATGTAAAAATGTTATTTGTTAAAAGTAAATTGATTTAGTTTATCGTTTAGTCATGCAGCATTCAACAGCTTTACGAACTGGATGTATTGGGTGATTCAATTTACTCAAATCTGGAGGTCTCAAATTTATTTCTTCAAGTACTTTCATGGCTTCTTTAGCAACTGACCATTCATCTGGTCGCTCTTGCTTGAAATTTTCATACCATTTTTGGACAAGCGAATACTTATCGAAAGCAACGCCGATTGCTTCCAAGCACATCATTGAAGAGACCATTGCAAAGTCAGCTATTGTAACATTGTTGGAGACGACAAATTTCTTTCCCATTCTTTTCAAATATTTTTCAAATACTTCCAAAGCCATATTCACTCGTTTAAGACCTAAAGCATCTCTTGGGTACTTTCAAAAAATACAAAAATAAAAATATCAACAATTTTCTGGAATAAGAACTTACATCATAAATTATCGGTGCAAGAGCGTAAGCTCCAACAGCACCATAAAAATGGGCCATGTTGAAACACAATCGATGATTTACCAAAGCCCTTTGTGTGGGATCACGAGGATAAATTGTAGAATCAGCAGCATATTTGTCACAAAAATATTGCATGATTGCAATATGTTCACTTAGAAAGAATCCATTGTCTTCAAGAAGTGGAACATCACGTTGGGGGTTTAGCTCTGCGTACTCTTCGTTTAAATGTTCCCCAGCGAAAAAATCGACTTCAACAACTTCAAAAGGGATTTTCAAATATTTTAATAACATGCGGCATGCTGTACTAGGAGGACTATCTTCAACCGAATAAAGCTTCATTTTTATCTAATTCACAAAGTTACTTTTAAGTTCTTTGACAATTTGACGAGCCACCCAAATCTTACTGTAAACTATTAACGAGTTTCAAGGATATTTATATACTTTTCAATTTCACTGTTGCGTGGTTGAACAATAAAATTAGATAGAAATGATTAGCTGATGATATAAATTTTGGGTTCGGTTAACATTTTTTTTCCTAAGGAAAAATGTATATACATAGAATGTGTCAATATTTAATGCTTATTTCAAATAATGCCAATAAAACAAACTTATATGGGTTGGAACTTGATATAAGCCATATTTATTCCATTAAAGTTATTTCTTTTTCAGATGAATAATTAAATAAAGTTAAAATCATTTAAAGGAGCATAAAAAATTTCAAATTTCCCGCGTTTTTCTCCTAAATTAATTGCGAATCGCAGTTGAACACGAGTTAAAGTTTGTTCCTTCTGTTCATAAAAAAATGGTAAATAAAATGAAATTTAAGTTTTATCTGCATTTGCAAAATAACTTTGATTTATAGGAGAATAAAACAGAGAGTAAGCCAGAGTTTAAGAAGATCGAAATGTTCTTCAAGCCCACCTTTGACGAGGAAGAGAAAAAACCTCGTTTATTGAGTCTCGAACCAGATGAAAAAATCGTCAAAAAATATTCTCGAGGTTCAGAGAAAATCAAGAAAAAGAATATTGAAACATCATTTTTCAAAAGAAAAATATCAAGACAAGAAGAGAAGTATGAATTTGCAGTTAAACAAGCCGCACGTGCAGCGATATTGATGCATGAAGATGAAGGCTATCTGATTCCGGATGAAGGCGAAGACACAACAGAATTTACACAAGATGATATCAAACAAAATGTTGATATTACTTCAGCTTCAAAAATCTTCAAATTGAATCTCGACCAATTTGGCCCATATAAAATAAACTACACAAGAAATGGAAGACATTTGTTGTTAGGGGGTAAAAGAGGTCATATCGCTGCATTCGATTGGATAACAAAGAAACTTAACTGCGAATTCAGTGTGATGGAAGAGATTTACGACGTTAAATGGCTTCATCTTGAAACTCTTTTTGCGGTAGCTCAAAAGAAGTGGGTTCACTTTTACGACAATAAAGGAACAGAAATTCATTGCGTTAAAAGAATGCATAATGTAAATCAACTAGAATTTCTTCCTTATCATTTTTTACTGGCAAGTGGAAGCAGCGATGGTTGGCTTAAATGGCTCGATGTATCAATTGGTGAAATTGTTTCTGAATTTCATGCACTTGATGGTAAGATCACAATGATGAAACAGAATCCATCGAATGCTGTGATATGCATTGGTGGAGCTAAAGGAGTTGTGTCTATGTGGTCACCGTCAGTTAAAGAGCCATTAGCAAGTATTCTTTGTCATCCCACACCAATCACAGCTCTCGGTTTCAATCCTTCAGGTGATAAAATGGTAACAACTGGTATAGATAGAAAGATAAAATTATGGGACACGAGAACATTCAAAGAACCATTAACAACGTACATGACAAGAACACCAGTAAGCCATGTTTCTCTGTCACAAAAAGATACGTTAGCTGTCACAATGGGAAATATTTGTGAAATTTTTAGAAATAAGCATGTAGAAAACACTAATTCAATGTATTCGTATCTTCGTAATGTTGAGAGTGGAAGCATTAATAGTGTTGAGTTTGTACCATATGAAGATGTCGTAGGACTTGGCACAAGTAACGGCTTTTCCTCGATTCTTGTACCTGGAAGTGGCGAAGCAAATTTTGATGCTCTTGAACAGAATCCGTTCAGAACAAAGAATCAGAGAAGAGAGCATGAAGTTAAAGCATTACTTGAAAAGATTCCTGCTGATCTCATTTCACTTGATGCTACACAAATTGTCGGTGTAGATATCGCTCGTTTGGAGCAGAAACTTGAAGCAAAATCGGAAATCAATGTAGGTTGAAGATATTTCATTTAAAATTTTCTTTAATTCATTATTTTCTTGCTTTAGATTCCTATGGCTGAACTCAAAGACAAAAAGAGGAAGTCAGGCATTCAGAAATTCAAAACTAAACAAATTCACATGGAACAAAGGAAACAACATTTGCTTAAATTTACGAGAATTGAAAGACTTCAGGAGATGAAGAGTCACAAAAGATCAGAGGAAAAAGAAGACGAACATGTTTTAGATCGTTTTAAGAAAAGATTCAAGAAATAATTCATATTTTTTATATGTATATAATTAAGATATATTTAAATATAATAAATTTATATTGATCCTGTGTAATATTCGAGTTCTAAATCATACAGATCAACCGCCATTTCGTCCCTTAGGTTCATAAGTTTATGATCCCTATCTTGTTGTGTCGCTCGATAAAGTGAACTACTGCTTGAAATAGCATCATTTACTGAGTGGAAATCATTTAAGACCAGGAATTGTTTGATGTCTGAAACGAGCTTCAAAAGGCTTTCACCGGCTCGTACAATATTAGCAGCTCTCACTTGCATTTCATATGCATCTTGTTCACATTGAGTTAATTTTGATAATTGGCTTCCTTCATTTTCTCCCTTTGCCATTTTTATGATTTCTAAAACACAAAATGAAATATTTTATTGTTTATTGTTTGTATTTTTTAAACTTTTAATTTAAGTGTTTTAATTTTGACAATGATAATTACCTTCAAAGTTTTCCAGCATACTCTTCACATCATCCTTGAGTCTTGTGTTGTAACTTTTCAGAAGGGAATCTTTTGATTGAGCCATAGTTTTGACTAAAACAAATGTTTTTAAAAATTATTCTTTACGCCGAATTGGCGAGAATTCTTAAAATTCAGGCGGATGCACATAAAAATAAACTTAACGAAGGTTTTTCAATCGGTCAAAATTTCTTCATTTCAAAATAAACAATGTTAAAAAACTTACTAAATACTGGAATTAAAAGCCCAGCACAGCATTTATTACTAGCTGCGAACAATTTCAATGCTCAACAAATAAGGGTGAGTCGTTTGAAGTTAAATATCAATCAAGTTTAATACTGAAATTTTCATTTTTAGACGACATTCATTTTAAAGCGAAAGTATCCCATGTTACTTAATAAAAAGAACCTACCTCCTCGTCCTTTAAGAGCAAGAGATTATGTTTATGACTTAATTGAAGACACAAATGTAAAAAAGCATCCAGACGTTGAAGTAATTTTGACAAGTTATGTTAGCGGAATTGGAAAAAAAGGAGACATTGTAAAAGTTTCTCCAAGTTATGCTTATAATAAGCTACTACTTCCTGGTTTAGCAGCATATGTCACACCGCAAACTGTTGAAAAATATGTGAATTTAGATGACTCGGTAAAAGAAGAGACATATAGTTCACCATTTGCACTGAGAGTAGGTTTCTTAATGTTGTAACCTTAAAATAACTTTTTCTTTAATTATTTTACATTTTCAGACCATGAACATGATTCAAAATAAAGTATTTTCAATTGTAATGAATCAAACACATCCATGGGTGATTGAGCCATGGCATATTCGAGTGTCACTTCGTAAAGCTGGATTTAATATTTTGCATGATAGCTCCATCGAACTTCCTAAAGAGAAAATCACTGGCCCGGATCTCACAATACAAAACAAAGGATTTAGTGTCGTCGTGACCATTAATAACACTGAAAAAGTTGAGGTCAAATGCAAGATACATCATTGGACAAGAGATCCTGACATTAAACTTCCTTACGTCTTTGAACATTACAAATTGCCTGTCGAACCAATACCTGGTGTAGGAAAACCAGAATCATTGACAAATACGATAGATAAGTAAAGAAATTCTTTGTGAAATTAATAAAAATTTAGTCCTAACACACAAAGCAGATTTTGTTATCAAATAGCGACCGACTTTTGAAACTTTCGTTTTCCAGATTAATTCGAAATAATTTACGTCATAAATATGAAAGAAACTAGCTTTATCAATCGTCTGGATTATTTTTTATTTCTAGCGCTGTTGATCATAAACCATCCACCGCTTGTTTACACAAACACGATTCGTGTTATCTGACCGATAACAAAATATTTGATTTCACAACTTACAAAGCAATCTTATCAGAAGGCTAAAGTGAACTTGCTTTCTATTAAACAATATTGAATTGTCTGGATACTTTATTTTTAGGAATTTTATTTTGACAATGCAATATTTATGAGTTGATTTATAAATGAAAAATTACAAAACATCTTTGCTTAAAATATTATAAAAATTCATTATTCATAAAACAAAATGCAGAACTTGTTGCTTCTCTTAACTCAAGAACAATTTTTCACGCGTTAATGTTCACTGCGCATGGGAAATTTGTGAAAATGTTTTTCACGTTTCTTATCTTTCATTCAGTCATCCTTTCTCTGTGAGATGAGAAAATCGATAAATCTCAAGTAAATAAAGAAAATTTTTAGAATTATTGAAAATAAGAGAAAGAAAATCTTTCAAATATGGGATTAAAGTAAATTTTATTTGAAATTGATTTCAAATTTTCTTCTCTTATCACATGAAAGAGAAAATTGCAAAGCCAATAAAATTGCAGAATTGTCAAGTGAAAATTGTTTGGCAAAATTAAAGATTAAGCACGATTTAATCGGTCGTTAAGCTTCCAATCAACTCTTAACCCATCTATGGAACCTTTCAAACTCTTGATTGATGAGCTTTAATCATTTATTACCGATAAATCATTTTGGCGACATTAATTGTCTAATCGCTAATCCAAATCTATTTTTTAATAGGAATTCGCCATTGCTGCGAGACTGACAAGTTTTATCCTTTTAAAGTAATAATAAAGAAACAAAATTAAAATAAGTGGAATTTTTGTGGAAGCATTTGTAAAAGCAATCAATGGTTCACGACGGTGATCCATCGTTCCTATTCACCTTAAAAATGAAAAGACAGAACATCAGAACTTTATCGCTGGTAGGCAACAAATTTATTTTTAAAATTAAGTTAACTAAATAAGATTAAAAATTTCACGTAGGTTGTTTGTACGTTCACGTACCTTCTTGTTGGTGCAGCAGTGTTCGACCGACTTGAATCTGAAACAGAAGCGATTAGATGGGAAGTTCTTAAAACAGCTAAAGAAAACTTTCATCGGAAGTACAACATGACAGAAGAAGATTATCGAATGCTGGAAATTGTGATAATTGAAAATAAGCCACACAAAGCTGGTCCACAATGGAAGTTTGCTGGTGCTTTCTACTTCGCAACAGTTGTCCTGGCTATGATCGGTTACGGTCACAGCACGCCAAATACAAATGCAGGAAAAGCTTTTTGCATGATTTATGCAATGGTTGGAATTCCTTTAGGTCTCGTGATGTTCCAGTCGATTGGTGAACGTCTCAACAAATTTGCTTCAGTCATTATTCGAAGATTTAAAATTTTCATGAAATGTTCGCAAACAGAAGCAACTGAAATCAATTTAATGGCAGCGACTGGTTTTTTGTCTTCTATCATCATATTAACAGGTGCTGCAGTGTTTTCAAAATATGAGGGGTGGTCGTATTTTGATTCTTTTTATTACTGTTTTGGTGAGTACAAGCTGCACGTTTAGATTATCACTTACATGATACCAATAACACTTTTCATGCCTCTTTCAACGACTTTTTTATTCAATTAGTTACACTTACTACTATTGGATTTGGAGATTATGTCGCACTACAAAATGATAAAGCTTTGATTAACAATCCTGGTTATGTGGCACTGTCTTTGGTCTTTATTCTGTTTGGATTGGCTGTTGTTGCTGCGTCAATTAATCTTTTAGTTTTGAGATTTATGACAATGTAAGTGGATGATTTGTGAAATTAAAAATTATTCTGATTTTCTATTTTTTTATAGGAATGCAGAAGACATGAGAATTGAGAATGAAGAGATGGCAAAAAAAGAAATGAAGACACAAGTTATGACTTATGAAGGTGAACGAAATATCGTTCCAACAAATACTAAAATTGCAAATACAACAACTGAACAAGACGAACAAGTGTCAGCGTGTAGTTGCAATTGTATGGGCACAAGCAGTGGTCACACTGAAAACGGTCAGTTACTTATCGATGGTTATCTTCCAACTGATCTTGTGACAAACTCTATCAGCTTTAAAAGGGCGTCTGTTTAAATTTATAAATAAGAAGAAATCAAACTCAAAGTTTAATCTCGCAAAAAAATTGCCAAAGATGATGAAAATTTCTACAATCTCATTTACATTTCATTAAATCGAATATTTCTTTATTAAAGTTTATTAAAAATCTTGAATAAATGAACTGATGATTAAAGTAATGGAAACTCTACCTTTTTATTTAATTTCTCTTCTCTTTTAATTAATGACAAATGTGAGAAACTCGAAAAGAAAAAGAAAATTCTTAGATGACTAAAATTGGGGAACAAAAAATAAAGAAAATTCCTAGGAAATACGTTTGTTTTCATGCAACATTTCGTACTATCACAATGTGATTTTCAGAATAATTTTCACTATCGGATTATGTTGACTTGTAATTTGTTGATGGAGCTAAAGATTCTTTACAGCAATTGCTTGTCGAACAAGAAATCGGCAAGCTCAGCGCCTTGATTTTGAACCATCTTTCCTAAGGTTGAAATCTTTCCAGCCAAATCTCGTTGACCTTTGTATTGTTCTTCGAGGAACTCAGCAGTCAAATAATCGACAAACTAATTAGAAATATGAAATAAGTTATGAACATTATTTTGAGAATGTTGTGAGACTTACGTGATAATGGTTGAAAGGTTCACCTTCACATTTCACGACCAGATTGCGAATGCTCTTGGTGACAGCTGTTTCAAGCTTAAGGGCATTTTGCAAGGCAATCAAGCCACTGGTAGTCTTAGCATCAGCAGCTGGTGTAAGATCACTGAGTGTAACGCCCATGACATTCAAATTCTCGGAATCTTTCACTAGTGAGCTGATATCGAAATTGGGAATGGTTGATTTCCATGAGTTCTTGTCCTTTTGACGGAGATATCGGCCTCTCATGCTTAAGTATTCAATCAACTTGTAAGCATGTTCACGTTCTTCACTTGCTGAGTCAAAGAAAAGTTTTGCAAATCCAGGACGGTTGACACTGTCCTTAGCGAAGTAGGCAGCCATTGATAGATATTTCAGCGATGCTGTAATTTCTTTCTTAATCTGTTCTTCCGTTTCTGTGACGCATTCATCACGCATATCAACAAAGTCGATTCCTCGGAATAAACTGTTTGCATCTCTTGTACCTGAAAAAACAAATTTGACATTGAAGTTTTAAAATTGCTTTGTTTGCATCACAATGTTTTTGTTCTTATGAATGATTCATATTTGTCGTTCTTACTGATCTGGATTGTAGAACAATGTTAGTTAGCAACGTTAATTACGCCTTGAAATGAACTTTCTAATCAACAAAAACATTTTTTAGGGAAATTGTTTAATATGCGCATTTGACATTAATGGTAGACATTCACGTGTGAATATAGTTTAGGATTTCCCTTAATACACTTACATGTTTCGGCTAAAACTGATGAAAGACTGCAAATTGCAGTCACAGCAACTAATAAGCCAAATTTATTCATTTTCAGCCAGAAATGTTACCTAAATTATGTTAGTTTCTAATTTTTTCAACAACACAAAAATACTTTTTCACGAGAATTTCACAATAAAACTTCCAGTTGAACTCTAAAACGAAAAAACTTGTGATAAACTTTCTTCTTTGATGGTTGCTTTCTGAATAAACGTCCAGACTTTGTGCGCTCGACTCATGAAAACAAAGGAAATTTTCCACACGAAACCACGAAACTACTACTAACAAAACCTGTTTTTAAGCAAACAAAAGTCACTATGTTCATACGTTGATGATTGTTATTAGTGATTTTTTACTATTTCAATTGCACACGCCACCAATGTTCACAACGTCATTAGTAGTAGTGTCGAGACTTTTGTTTTCAATTCTCATCGAATCGTCATTTTAGAAATTCTCGTCGTGAAAAGAACAAGTAATTAAAATTATCCTCTGTCAAAGTTAGAAAACGTAATTAATTATTGTGAAAACATTTTCAAATTATCAGAAGATTTGAAATTCAGAAGAAAATTAGGAAATCAAAGAAATTTTAAGCATGAAATCAGTTTTTGTTGCACTTTTTTTTGTTGGACTCGCCACAGCCGAGTTTGACAATGTCAACTTTATTCAAAGACACAAAAGAGTGAGTAACATGACAAATTCTCCAAGAAATTATTTAATATTTTTATTCACACAAAGCAATTATTAGTTGAATGTCACAAAACAAGTTTAAAATCAATTTTTGTACTTTTTAATGGAATTTTTCCATAAGATCCAGACAAATAATAATTTTTCTTTGAAATTCACAGGACACTCCATCAACATGTGAAGCAAATATTGGAAGTTGTTGTAAAGATGAGACAAATTGCGAATTTGGTGAGTATGAAGCGATTCAGCTTGCGGAAATTAATAATTTATATAACAATTGCAGCCTTTTGATATCAATTTAGTTCAATTTATTAACAAGTCTGTTTTCTGATTCTTTCCAGATTGTTCCTCGTTAATCATTGATGGCTCATCTTACAATGATTTCGTTAAATACAGTAATGACATGATCATTCGATCATTTGAGTATCTTTTCCTCTCGGCACAGTTCGGAACTCATTTGAAGGATCGTCCCGGCTTTGAGAAGATCTTGCATGGATTAGCTGATGAAGCATGGAACAAGGGACTCGACATGATTAAAGAATCTTCAAAACGTGGCGTGTCACACACCTTTAAGGTCGCTAATGATGAAAGAGTCTCAGCTCATGGCGATTATAATGAAGTTGAAGCTTTAGCAAAGGCTGTTGAAATCGAGAAGAAATTATTGGTTCGTGCTAATGACATTCATCGTCATCACTCTCATGCTACATTAAATGATGAGAAAGCTAAAGGCTACGATGCCGGCATTGCTCATTATTTGGAAGAAGAAATCATTGAGCCAAAGATCGACGCAGTTCGCAACCTGGTTGGACATGTCAACGATCTTAAGAACATCTTTAAGAAGGATTCCAGCATTTTCCCAATGTCGCTCTATCTCTTCGATCAACATCTTCAAAAATAAATTTAACTTTTTTCTTAGTTCTTTACATCTTTGTAAGTTAATGAGACTAGAAACTTTTTTTTTCTTTGTTGGTAATTTTCCATTCGTAAGTCGAGTGCTGTGCTACGTTCATTCATCTCCAGATAGAAAAACAAAAACATTAAATGTAAATAGTCAATGAAGGAAAATAAAAATATAGAAAGAAATTGTCACGAATGTTTTTTGTTTATTTCAATGAATTTTTAAAGTTCCTTGAATATTATGGTTGGAAAAAGTTGATTAAATGTTGGTTGAAAGAAACAATTTTATATTTCAGCAGAAAAAGATGAAGTAGGTAAGAAAGAAAAATTATTAATTTCAAGCTTTCAAAGCTTAAAAGTTTCAAGCTTTCTAATTATCAAAGGAATCTCTTGAGATTATCTCAAACTTGTGCAAAGTTTTTAAAGTTCAGAGATGATTAAAAGCTCTTGAAACACTAGACAAGTTAATGATTAACTCTTGTCAAAGTCTTACAATTTTATCAAATTTGTTTTCTAAAACAAGTCTGAAAGAATAAAAAGAAATTCTAAAACAAATGTTTTGAAAATAAAATGCATGAGAAGCTTAAGTAGTTTTTATTTTGTTATCTAAAAAAGTAATAATTTTAAATAATGTAACAATGAAATATCAACCAAGTAGAATTAAAGCAGATAAGTTGGCGCAATAATATGAATTTCTAAAGCTTTAAATGATTTAATGAAGTGTAAGAATTCTAAACAGAATTTTAATTGTCATCGAGAAGTCTCCAATCAAACTTTGCACATGAGTTATGAGTCAATGAGAGACATGGTGGCTCAATGAGCTGGAATGATGAGTCATCATTTTGTTGCATCGCTATAGCTGCTAGATAAGGAACTTTCATTAATAAATTCCTCATATCTGATCTTGTTCTTGGCTCTTTTCCTGTCAGCTGTCTGGTACAAGTTTCGAGATTTGTCGCATGTGCAACAATCAAAATATCACCTTCACAATTCTCTAAAATCTCACGTGTTGTACTTGAATTTCTTTCATAGAACTCAGCGAGAGATTCTTTCAAAACTCCTTCAAGATTACTTTGTGTTATCACTGGTTGATAATTCTCATTAATATTGAAATGAAGTCCAAGTTGCTTCGGTGATACCCATGATGGCAGTCCCATTTCGTACCACCCAAGCCATTCGAATAATCCATATTCGATATTCAACGGTAACTCGCTTTCAAGGCCCATCGCTGATAAAACGCCATTAGCTGTTTGTACACAGCGAAAAGCTGGTGAAACGAAAACTTTACTGAACTTTACACCAAAGTTCTTCAACGATGAACCAACAAGATGTGATTGGAATGTTCCCAAAGTTGTCAATGGGGAATCTTTTTCCCATTCTTCAAACGCTCTTGGTGGAAGACTTTCTGGCATATTTAAATCCATTCGGACGTAGTTCTGTGACTCATTGAAGCTGAACTGCGTCCATGAATTGCCGAATGCAAAGTCCACCCTCTCGCCATGACGAAGCACAACGATACGTTTTCTCTGTCCAATTGCTTTCGAATCTTCCATCGTTTTCAACTGACTGAATCGTTCTACATTGGGAAAAATGTCTAAATTATGAATGATATGAGTAATCTTATCAGTAAATTTTTCAGTTCAACTAGTTAAATGTTCGCGTTAAATGAAGAAATTCTTACCAGATTCACTAACATGACTGACTCCATCAATGACGTCAATCTCATCTTGTGTAGGTTGACATAATGAAACAGTCGCGTTCAATGTCCAAGCGTTGGTTTCTGGTATTCTCTCAGTATGATTCAAAGGAATGAACCCGTAATTGTTTCCTAAGAAACTTATTGCTTCTGTCCAACCATCAATTGAATGTTGGGATGCATCATTATTAACATAAATCAAATCACCCACGCGAAGTTCCAATTCATCTGATTCCCTTGATGTATGAGGGAAAATTACTTTATGAACTTGTTTTGTTGCTAATCTTGGATCGCGAGAATAAAGACGAAGTTCCCAACTGTTGGCACATGATGCGTCAAGACTGTCAACTAAGTCAACAAGATCTCGATAAACTTCCGTAGGAAATTGAAAAGCGAGCGTCAAGTGAAGATTCTTCACATGAGGTTCAAGAGAAATGGCTGTGAAAAGAAATATATTCACAATAATTGACAATGTCAACAAAATTTTTTTAAACATTTGTAAAGAAATATCGATCTAACTACACGAACTCATAAATATTCTTACCTAACAAAAACCAAAAAGAAGGCAAATTGTATTTCAATTGTTAAACTAAAAAATGAATTTTACTTATAAAAAAAATAGGAAAGATTTTAAAATAGGAGAATAAATCTACATAATCTACTTAGCAGATAAATCTTACATCTTGAGCTCTTAGGTATACATCGAGAAGAAGTTTTCTCATTTACAGCACTGGCGCAATAGGGGAAGCAAGCAATTAAATGATCGAGGTCGATGGTGTCGCTTATAACTGTGAGAAGTTTTTAAGTATTAATGAGATAATAATTTTGCAAAATAAAAAGAAATCCCAAAAACACCTTTTTCAGTTGTTAGTTATGCAATCAATAAGGAAAGAATGTAGTTTAATTAATACTCACTCGAATCTGAAACTTCTTTAACAAACTTCAAAGCGATTCGTTTTAGTACGTTGGCGTCGTCTTCTTTCACAAAAAAACCCATAAAATTATTGCTTGTGTAGAGTTCAAGTTCCATGGGACGATTCAAATGTTTTCCGTCATCAGCTAAATTTCTGACAGCTTCAACCAAGTTTGTGGAGTCTTCATGCGCCTAAAATTAGAAAAACAGAAAAAATCAATGATGTTGAAATATGAAAACAAAATTGATTTAATAATGTAAACAAACTTTGAAAAATGACACAAGAGTGATGTGAGGAATGGAATAATTGTGAACCCCATTAGAGCCACAAATATCCTTGGATTTCTCCCAAAATGCTTCCAATTGTTGTTGAAATCTTCCTGTTGGACAACCTGTTGAGAAAAGCAATGCATTAGATTATTTCTCAAATTAAGAAAAGTTTTTGATGGAAAAAGGAAGAAAACTCACAATAAAGAATATATTCACGAATTCTCTGATGTTTATGAGGTTTTGAAGGTGTGAAGGAGAAGTTTCTACTCTTTCTTACTGGTAACGATGTCATCCTGTTTGATTAATTTCTACTTTTATTTAGAATCATCAAATTATTTGCAAATTTCGGGTGGTTGGTTGAAAATTTATTCATCTCAACTTAACGAAACTTTTAACGAAACTTCAAAATATTGTTTTGCACTCACACATTCAAACAACTTGACACAAATCTTGATCAGGTGAAATGTTTTGAGTTTTTAAAGTATTTTAAAAGTTCTATGAAATTAGTCAGTAATTTAAAATCAAGTTATTTATTATTAATTAGGTAAGTCACCATAATATCATCAAGTCATTCTAAATTTCTTATCACTTTTTACTAAAAATCACTAACAATAAAAATCTTTGATCACTCATATCGACATCAATGAAGTTAACATGTATTATACATTTCAACACAAGGATTTTATGTAAATTATGATTTTTTCTGATAAATATCAAACGATCATCTGTAGAACAACTTTGGTGTAGGCCAACTAGTTTACTGTTTGAATTGGTGGGGAAAATTTGTATCTAATGACGTCATCAACAGCCAACAACATGACTACATTTAAAAAGATGACCACGGTGAGGAGAAGATTTAACTTTCTTTTTTTTACTTCTCTCAGTTTGCAATTTGCGTTCGTACGATAAAGCTTGAGAAGTTACATATATTTTTTATATCACATGTAAATATTTTGTTAGATTTTAGCGACATAAGTCTTTAAGAAAATTTCCTGACATGAAGAAGAATTAATTAATTCTAATTTCGTAGGCAATGTTTGCACGTGTGACTTTCTACCCGTCGTTAGCTCTTAATGTTTTTCTAGAGAGAGCTGGAATGAGAAAATGGTACAATCGAATAGATGACAACATGATATTGGGCGCTCTGCCGTTTAAATTCATGGCTCCGGATGTAAGTTAAAAAACGTGACGAAATCCTTGAAGATTTTTCTCAATCAAGTTTTTTTTTCTAGCTGATCAAAGCAGAAAATGTCAAAGCCGTAGTATCAATGAACGAAGATTACGAGTTATGGATGTTATCAAATAATGCGGAAGAATGGTCAAAAATAGGAGTGAAATTTCTTCAATTACCGACAATTGACATTTTTCATTCACCAAGTCAAACAAAACTTAAGAGTGGAGTAGAGTTCATCAATTCTTTCCTTCCAAATGAAACAAAGATTAAAAATATTTCACCACATCATGAACTTAATGACACAAATGAAACTGGAACAGTTTATGTACATTGTAAAGCTGGAAGGACAAGAAGTGCAACATTAGTCGGGTGCTATTTAATGATGAAGAATGGATGGAGTCCCGAACAAGCAGTGGATCATATGCGTAACTGTAGACCTCACATACTCATTCGAAGCGCTCAATGGAAAGCACTACGAGAGTTTTATCAAGATAACATTGAGAAAAAGAATAAAGAAACTTGAATGAATATCTTCAGGTCATCACTAGGTTCAAAAGACAATACCTCAAAGATTTTAAAATAACTCAACAATTCTCGATGAACATAAATAAATCGAACTTGAAAGCGTTTATTTTCTTGTCTGAATTAATTCTTATTGACATTCTTTCTAATTCCAGTTGACTCGATGGTTTTTTATTAGATATTTACACATGTAGCAATACTTGGGATTTTCATCTGACTTAAGTATTTGATTCGAATTTAATTGCTTTTCAATCCCCAGATTTTGCGTACAGTTTTTCCAAGTCCTTGGTCGTTATATGCCATCATGAAGAGACCGGCGAGTGTTGCGGCAGAGAATAAGATTAAAAGACCATGTGCAGCTTTCGGTAAAATATTACCGAAAACGGATTCTCGTACATAATCTGTTACAATCGCTTCCAAGCCCCAATGAGAATGCATGACGATAGAAATTGCAAGGAGATAATCAGCGCCTTGAGATGGGAAAACAAGAGCAACTGGCACAATGCCTAGCATTCCAAGTGAAAGTAAACGTTCGGCTTGCCAAAGAGTTACATGATTTCCAGTAGCAGATTGGCGAGTCGGTGACACTGAGATCGGTCGAACATTCTGAAAGCATGAAAAAAAAATTTTTTATTAACATTGTTTTAACAACTTTTTATTTTCTTACATTAACCGGTGAAGATGAACATAAAAGTGGATTATGTGTTGCTGTTGCACAGCTTATACGCGAGGCATTCACCAAAGCTATAATCAAATACCGAATAATTTTGTAAATATTATTATCATTATTAAAAAATAATTAAATTACGCAATCTATATTTTTATGAAAATTGCAATGTTCATTTTGAATTCCATATCACTTCTTACCTGGAAGTCTTGATGAAGATCTTAATATCAATGAAAGAGCCATTTTAAGTCACTTTGTGTTAATTTTTTGCAATGAAAATTTAATGTTTACGATGGAAAAGTTCGATGCGATTCGCAAGCAAAAAATTATTTGAATTTGTGAAATCCGTTAAATATTAAATTTTATGCTTCGGTACACGTGAAATGATTTCAAAGAGGGGTACACGGTACGACAATGCAAAAGTCGACATTTGTTTTCGACAACTGATGTAAACAGGGAATAAAAATCCGAAAATTTTGTTCAAGAAAAAAAAAAGGTTTATGAAATAACTTGTGAATTAATTAAAAAAAGTAATCGAAATTAAAAAATCTGTATAAAACTGCAACTGGTCTGAGTGAAACAAATTGTGTTTGAAATTTTAACAAAAGATTGATAATGGAAATATCTAATGGAGCAGGAGTTTCATCAGATGAAGATGGTACTGGAGGACAAAATGAGATTTGTTGCCTAATTGAAGATGGTAACAAATGTAGACGTCCCGCCGGAAATGCAAGTTTTAGTAAAAGAATCCAGAAAACAGTGCAACGAAAGTTGAAGTTATCGCTTGATTCACTTGTAAGTCTTTTTATGCACCATTTTGAATAACCAAGCGAAAAAAAATTAAGTATGAATAAAAACTTGTTTTCTTATCTAGGCGCGCACACAATTCATTTGTGATTTTCATAAATCTAAAATTCAAAGTGCTCGTTCAAAGCGTCAAAGATCCATGAGACATTCTGATGATTCTGGTGATTCTGACAGTGAGAGTCCTGAAGTTGATTTTTCAAACCTTCAGATGCAAACCTTGAGACGATATAAGAAATTTTTCAAAGTAACAACACGGCCAGGAATGAATAAAGCTCAACTTGCTGATCTCATAAGCAAACATTTCCGTACAATTCAAGTTAAAGAGAAAGAAGTTCTCACATATTTCATCTACAGTAAGAATTTACAAATTTAAATTAAATTTTAATTAATAAAAAATCCTTTTCAGGTGTGAAACATAACTCAAATAAAAATGGGTATAATGATTAAGCAAAGTGTTGAGAAATTTTAATTTTAAGAAAATTTTATTGAGATGATAACATTTTGTGTGCAAATAAAAAAGAAAGAATTAATAATTATTTCAAAACAATTGTTTTTTCTTCCTCACTTGATTCATTTGAATGAAGTTTTTTCTCTGTCTTAGGTGCATCTTGTGAAGTTCTCGTATTTGTTTGTTCTGGCATTTCTTCATCACTGCTGCTATCTTCATCTTCTGAGGTAACTTCGATCCATTTTCCTGATGTGACTGTATTATCATCGATAATTTTCACCTCATCATCAGAAGTTTCACCATGCGATGAAGATTCTGCAATTCCAACAATTTCTGGTTGTTCAATCTTTTCAACAATTTCTTCATTGTGGAAATTCGAGGGAAGATTTGATAATGCAATTGATTCTGCGAATCCCTTTGGAAGATTTCCTTTAGCTCTTTGAGCTTCGTCTTCTTCGAGTATTGATTTAATAAATTCCACAATTCTTCTTGATCGTTCAGCTGCCATTTCTGAGCATCGCAAGATTAAATGTGGACTTGTTAAAGAAACGCCTGTGAGGTTCATACAACAAAGTTCTTTATAAGAATTTACAGCAAGCACTAAACTTGCTTCAGAAACACGTTCTTCAAGAGCTGTTGGATCAGCAACTGGAATTTTTCCATCATCAAACAAAGCATAAGTCACACAAATTGGATAATGATGAAGAACAATTGGAACTAAATCTTTCTCTGCTGGTGAATGAATGATGAATTCTCCATCTCCTGTCGTAGTTACATCGGGTCGTTTAAAGTGAGCTAGTGCGGCCACAGCAGCAATGCATGAACAATCTAAAAGTCATTCTGAGTTTTTTCTTATTATTCTTGATTATAGTTAAATGAACTTACCCATAACATTTCCCTCGTGATTCAAAACTGCGATGTCAACTCTTAAATTCCACACTTTCTCTTCTGCAATGATGCATAATGATTCCAAGTCAACACATCGTGATTCTCGTAAAGTTCTTTCAAGTATTCTGTTGATTTGTATGCAGGAGTCACTTAAAGGAAATCCAACCTCCAAGTGGGGAGCTGCCATGGGTCCCATTTCCACATTAATAAAAATAGTTCCTTCATTTGGTCGTGATGTTCTTGGTGAGCTAAGCTCACATGATACTTGAGCGAATACTTTAGTTGCACCTAACGTACAAATAACTGATCCAACATCTTGGCCAAAGAATAATCCTAGATTTCTGAATTCGTTCAAATTACGCTTATCTACACGAAGTCCTTCGAGAATAGATTTTTCAACGAATGATTTTTCATTATTTGAAAGAATTGTTTCTCTCATTTTATAATTAAATTAAAATTTTAAGATTGACAATATTTATCCGCCGTGAGTTACCTATTTACAAATAGGTAACTTAGTCTTTTTGCATGCAAGGTGGTGTCTAGTTTATTTTTTTAGCCTAGTGACCTTATGTAATTTTTCTCGGATCTCAGTCCCGTACAGAATCTCAGTCCCGTACACGAAATTTCGCTAGCATTTAACATGGGAGGCCCAATCCGCGAAAACATACTCGTTCACCTGGTAGAACAAATGACGCGGATTAAGCCTTTTTGTTGGTACAAACACAAGTGTCAACACAAAGTTATATGCCCCGCGTTGATCCAAAGATTTAACTTAAATCGGAAATTTGATCTAAGCCTCATGTTAAAACAGATTAGATTTACCTAATCAATCGAGTGCAATAGACACCCTGAATTTTTGAAATTTACGTTAAGTTTTCTTAAACAATTTGATGTAACCAATAATTTAAAGATATTTATATGCATACATTAAAATTATTTTCTCAATGCCCATAACATTTGTTCGTTCAGAAGTTATTTAAAAAAAAATCATTTTAATAAAAGATATTTATGTTTCTGTTAAATAGAAAACATAAAAAACCCGAAGATTTCTTGGATTCATTGAAGATTGAAACTTAAGGCTAAAATAATAAACCCATTCAAATTTTCACAACTAATTACAAAATACGTTTCATCATCCTTCTTAATATGGTATGTAGTAGCAATAATAAGAATGTCATAGGAAAAAATCTTTCAGGTGATTTCATTCATAAACAAAAAACTCATCTCGAATTTTGTAGACGACTGATGAAATTTCCACATCGTTCCCCATCATTCCAGAGATATCTTACTCGGCTCACTATGATTGGATCCCCTCTACACGTCAGAAAATTGTTGTTCACATAATACGCATTTGCATATTCTCAAAAATTTAGATTAATCGCAAGAGAATTCAATGAATATTCTCATCATATTTACAAATTAATCAAAAGTAATAATCCCTGGTAAATAAAGTTTAAATTTATTGAAATTTTCATTCATAATTTATGAATTTTATAGTTTTTCAGGCTTTTAGAGTCATCAGAACAATATGAAAATGAAACATTTTAGCAAAAGGGGAAATTTATGTTGGGAAATAAACTTGGATGATTTTTTAATGCTTTCACAATGAAATCATTCAATGAAATTCAGGAAGATATATAAATTTCACTGAATTGAATATTCTCGGTCATCATAATTAAGTAATAACAAAATATTTTGGTCGTTTTCACAAAAATCAGAAGAGTTGGCTAACCAACTTGTCCCAAAATAATCGCCGTTCAACCTTCCCCTCTCTCTTTTTAAAGGTACACGTAATGCTTTGAATCAAATATAACGAAAAGAAATTTCATTTTCCTCTCATTCTTCATAAACCTGTCAAAGAGAAAAGAAGTAAAATTATAAGATTACAAATCAAAAAGAATAGAAGAATTAAATTAGTGATTTAAATATTGAAATAGTTCAATTAAACAGTGAAACTTCATTTATTTATAATATCTACAATATAAAAAGTAAGAATTCATTAAAATTTTAATGAATATTGATGTACTTTTGAGAATATTTGAAGAAGAAGTTTGGAAAGCCGAAGAATGAGAGCAAATATAAGAATGACGTGGCTCTAATATTCCTGATGTGGCTTTTTAATTCAATGTTTTAAGTTAAAAGTGTTCTTAAACAACTTAATGAAATGATTTTAAATAACAAGAACATTAAATTTCAAGTATTTCTCATAAATTCAGAATTTTAGCCTCATAAATTTTATTAAAAAAGAATTTACTAGAACATTCCTCACTAACTCTTTCTCTCTCTTTCGCAATCTCTTCTTTAGGTTAAATATGAGATTACTGACAGCATTCATCGCCTTTGCGGCACTTGCTGTGATAGCAGTGTCTTCAAATGAAGATAAAGATAAGAAAGACGTCGGCACAGTGATTGGAATTGATTTAGGAACCACGTACTCATGGTGTGTATGATTTTACAGTTATTCCTTTTCGTAACCTTATTTTAACATTCTCCATCTCTTTCTATCTTTCTTTTCCGACACATCAGCGTTGGAGTTTATAAGAACGGACGTGTTGAAATTATTGCCAATGATCAAGGTAATCGCATCACACCATCATATGTCGCATTCACAGCTGAAGGTGAACGTTTGATTGGTGATGCTGCAAAGAATCAGCTTACAACAAATCCCGAAAATACTGTTTTCGATGCCAAACGTTTAATTGGACGTGAATGGACGGATTCAGCTGTACAGCATGACATCAAATTCTTCCCATTTAAAGTCATTGAAAAAATGTCAAAGCCTCACATTGAACTTAAGACAAGTCAAGGTTCAAAAGTCTTCACACCCGAGGAAATTTCTGCTATGGTGTTAGGAAAGATGAAGGAAACCGCCGAAGCTTATTTGGGAAAGAAAGTTACTCATGCCGTTGTCACAGTTCCAGCTTACTTCAACGATGCACAACGTCAAGCCACTAAAGATGCTGGCGTCATTTCAGGCCTTAACGTGATGCGTATTATCAACGAACCAACAGCAGCTGCTATCGCTTATGGATTAGATAAGAAAGAAGGTGAAAAGAACGTTCTGGTGTTTGATCTTGGCGGTGGTACTTTCGATGTTTCACTTCTCACAATCGACAATGGCGTCTTTGAAGTCGTTTCAACCAACGGTGACACACATTTAGGTGGTGAAGATTTCGATCAACGTGTCATGGATCACTTCATCAAATTATACAAGAAGAAGAAGGGAAAAGACATTCGTAAAGACAATCGCGCTGTTCAAAAACTTCGTCGTGAGGTTGAAAAAGCAAAACGAGCTTTGTCAGCAAGTCAACAAGTTAGAATTGAAATTGAATCGTTCTTTGAAGGCGAAGACTTCAGTGAATCGCTTTCGCGTGCCAAATTTGAAGAATTAAACATGGATTTGTTCCGTTCCACATTGAAGCCTGTACAGAAAGTCATGGAAGATGCTGACATGAATAAGAAAGATGTCGATGAGATTGTCCTTGTCGGTGGATCCACTCGTATTCCAAAAGTGCAACAATTAGTGAAAGAATTCTTCAATGGCAAAGAACCATCGCGTGGTATTAACCCAGATGAAGCTGTTGCTTATGGTGCTGCTGTACAAGCTGGTGTGTTGTCAGGTGAACAAGATACAGAAGCAATTGTCTTGCTCGACGTTAATCCACTTACCATGGGCATTGAGACTGTTGGTGGTGTCATGACAAAATTAATTCCAAGAAATACTGTCATTCCCACAAAGAAATCACAAATCTTTTCAACTGCCAGCGATAATCAACACACAGTCACAATTCAAGTTTATGAAGGAGAACGTCCAATGACCAAAGATAATCATTTGTTGGGTAAATTTGATTTGACTGGAATTCCTCCAGCACCACGTGGCATTCCACAAATTGAAGTAAGCTTTGAAATTGATGCTAATGGGATCTTACAAGTGTCAGCTGAAGACAAAGGAACAGGAAATCGTGAGAAGATTGTCATTACAAATGATCAAAATCGTTTGACACCTGAAGATATTGAAAGAATGATTAAAGATGCTGAGAGATTTGCTGATGATGATAAGAAGCTCAAGGAGAGAGTAGAAGCACGTAATGAACTTGAAAGCTATGCATACAGTCTTAAGAATCAAATTGGAGACAAGGAGAAGCTTGGAGCTAAGTTGTCAGAAGATGAGAAGACAAAAATGGAAGAAGCAGTTGACGAGAAGATTAAATGGCTCGAGGAGCATCAAGACACCGATGCTGAAGATTACAAGAAACAAAAGAAAGAGCTTGAAGATGTTGTTCAACCAATCATCGCTAAACTTTATCAAGGACAAGGTGGACCAGGCGGTGAAGCTCCACCAACTGGTGAAGACGATGATGATCTCAAAGACGAGTTGTAAACACATCTCCTTAGTCAATCCTTCCCACTTAGTTTATTTACGCAATTCTTCTTCATCTTTTTCTACTTCTTTCTCTAATTAATTTGAAGTCATCGTTTAAGATGATTCAAAAATTTTCTATTTTCTTTCAAAGATTCGAGTTAAGCAAGTGTAAAAGTTTAAAAGTCATCCAAACGTCTCATTCCGCGTACTTTCTTATAATAATTCATTTTCTTCAATCTGAATTTAATTTAACTTACTTTTATTGTCGCATTACAAACAATGAAATAATTTTTCTTAATTTATTTAAAATGAAAGAAGGAAAAAAAGAGAAATAATCCAAATGCACATGACTGAATGATTGCGTGCGTGATCTTTAATTTGTAAAATTTTCTTAAGCGTTAGATTACAACAAAAGATAAGAAATGAATAAAAAAATGCAACAAATTGAATAAAAAAACAACAAAAACTTGATAAAAGAACCAAAAAACTTGAATTTTTATTTAATTTAATTATTTAATTGTTAATGAAAATCTGTTAAATATTGTCGAACATTAAACCCAACAACTCTTCCAATGTTGATTGCAAAATCCAACCCAATGGTGGATTGAAGTTTGGCAGTTCCTTCCATGATGTTGTTCTCACCAGATGAAAATGTCAGAAAGTTTAAGTCAACAAGTGTTGAAATTTGCGCTAAAAGGTTACAAGTCAATCCAACTTTCTCATCGAGAATTGCGTAAAAGATTGCAAGAAGACGATCAATTGTGAAGGATTTCGGACCAAATTGTATGTTGAGCTTTTCTGAAACCTACGAAAGAAAACATGGGAAAGGATTCTTAAGATTTATAATTTTAGAGTTTCTCACCTTTGCTTTTTGTTGCCTTTTCCGTTCTTTACCATGATGCTTCATGAACAATCGCTTATCGAACTTCGCATCGTTGTGACTGGCTAAAAAGCTCGCTATGAGTAAATATTTAGCAAAAAATGGAAGTTCCAATGTTTGAGCAAATGTGCGAAGATTTTTTTTACGCTCTCCAGATGAATCTTCATTAACTTGCTTTCCATCAAATTCAGATGCTGATAAATTTTGTATCCTAAGTGAACTGCTGTTGAGTGTTGTTTTAAGAAGTTTTGTGATGTTTCTCCATAAATTAGTGACATCATTTACTTTAATCTCTCTCCTAAGAACAGGGGCGTAATAAGATTTGTAACATTTGTTGGCTAATAGTTGAAGTTCTGATAGATCTCTCGTAACTTTGTAAAAGACGTTCAAGAAGATGCTGAGATAATTTTTGTAAAATTCCTGATCCAATGATTTGACAATTTCAAGTTGTTGGTTTTGTTCTATTTCATTAAAAAGACTTTTATGAATGTCAGCGATGATTTCTTCTTGTAGTGATTCATAGTCATTTGAAAATATCGCAATGAGATCAGCTTTAGAGAAATCAGGAACGTGAATTTTGATCATCGGTGAAAGATCAAATTTTGAGAACGCGATGTGAGAAACAAGAACACAAGAAATGTTCAATCCAGTGAACTCTTGAAGTTTCGTGAGAATGGGTAGAATATTGAATTCCATATCACGTAGTCTTTCAGCATTTTCGATAGCTATAAGAAAAGATTTCGCTGGATCCAACGCATTCAAGTATTTAAGAAAATTCTCGACAGTGTCAATTTTAGCATACGATTCGTAGTTGTTGTCTCTTGATAATTTATGGTTGAAAAATTTATTAATTACAGTTTCGTATAATATTTGACTTTTGTAACAAACAGCTGCTTGAATTACAACAGAGCACAACCAATCTTCTGAATCTTTTAAAAACTTTTGTAAACAAACCGATTTTCCTGTTGATTTGTGTCCAAATAAATACAAGCAATTGGGAAACTGTTCGTCCTTTGATATGTGTGATGAGAGTTTATTAATAACATTAGGATTGTGATCCATTTTAACTTGCAGGATCTGATATTTTTAATATTTTACTAATTTTAGCACTGAGTTGTGATTTAAAAGTTCTGGCGCCAAAACTCACGTTCGAAATAAGTACACAAAAACTTCGACTGGACAGAACCGTATCACACTAACCCATTCTCATAATTCCCATTTTCACCCATACACCTTCACGGTGTTAAGTCAAATCCAAACTAAGTAATTTACATTAAAAATTGCAAAACATCGGTTTCAAAACTTAAAATAACTTCAATTCATTATGGAGAACAAAGAGAACTCATCAAATAACAACTGGTTAACGTTGCTAAGGAAGAAAATACATAAGAAGTTCAAAAGAAATAGCCAAAAATTGGAAAACTCTGCGAGTTTAGATATTATTGATGAAGCACAACAAGAAACTTCATCAACATCGCCTGGTGAAATGCACAACAACATAGTTGAAAGTAATCAATGCACTCCAATAACTGCTCAAGATTGTGAAGAAATGAAGAAAGAATTGTTTAAATTATCATGGTATTGGCCAAAATTGACAATGATTGAAGCTCAGAAGCTTTTAAGGTATCTGTGGAATGAATTTATTGTTATTATTGATTTTACTCATTAAAATCATTACAGTCAACAGCCAAACGGAAGTTTTCTGGTCCGTGATAGCTCAGAGAAAGATTCATTCACTTTGAGCTTCAGAACAAATTCAAAAACATTTCACTGCCGAAACCAATGGTGAGTCATTTGAGAATGACAATTTGATTATTAATCAACACACAATTTACTTTTTGATTAACTTCTAGGTCACAAATATTAGCATCAAAAAGCCATACAAGTAGTCATTCGCTCATTGATGTGATTGAAGACACGATAAAAAAATCTCAATCAAGTGTCGTGGGATTCATCAGATGTGATAGTAACGACGTTTCGTTTCCAACGTCTTACGCCGTTCGATTAATCTATCCGATATGTCGGAAGATATCTGTGCCATCTTTACAGAGTCTTTGTCTGTCGAAAATCAAAAGTAAAGTTAATCAATCGAACATAAATAGTTTGCCATTGCCTCCTAAAATTAAAGAATATGTTCGTGAGAATTATAATACTTTATGAGCTCGTCTCCAATTTCCTTTCTCTTTCTCACTCTTGATAAAGTATGAAGAATTAATTACTTTATTATCTTATACCATCAAAGGTATAACTTTTGATACCAAAGATATCATTTTAAGAGGTCTACTCAGTATTTTTACTATTTCTATTAATAATAATTGTTTGAGAGAAATTTCGTTGAAATTAAATTCAATTTAATGTTTTTTTAGACCGAAACTATCAGAAGTTACTCATTTCTCTCTTATTGCAACTTTTGCAATAAGAAGAAAGAAAATTTATCGCTTTTAAAATTATTTTAAAGTTATCAGAAACAATGATGAAAGTTTTATATAAATTCATGCACTGTTGATTTGTTAGGAAAATCTTTCAAAGTTTAAGAAAATAAAATATCTTCTCTCATAAAAATGTTAAATTTTTCATTACTAAAGTCACAGAAATTGAAACAAAACCGAGAAAATTCCTTTCCATAAATTCATTTTTATTCTGACTAAAAATTAAGTTTTCATGGAACTTCACAATCAACGAAGGAACAATCATTCGTAGAGTTGAGTTTAATTCACTTTTTATTCTTCTTCTCAGTTGTACTGATCGTTTGCTTTGGTGAATCTTTAATCTCGCTATCATCCTGTAATGGCTATCTTCGTTCAAAATTTAGTCCTAAAATATTTCTCGCAGTTGTAAAAGCAGAAGTGACTGCTTGTGTGAGATGTTGAGTGGCACCTTCTGATTGTATAAGCACGTCATGAACTAAACTAGCGTCAGCTATCCGTCTTTGAAGGAATTTCCATGTGCTTTCATATTGCGGACTTGAATCTTGTAGCATGTAAAGTTCTGTTGCTTTGTAGATGGTCGCAAGTCCAATTCTTCGAGCATACCAATTGAACTTTACAAGATAAAAACGAGAAATTATTAATAATGTAAAGAGAAAGATGAAAGTTAACTTACATCAATTGATCGATCCCCACTGTAGTAACAAATATCATCAACAAGCGTCAACATGTTCGCTAATGATGTTGGCACATTTGGTGGCAAACTCATCATCGCTAAAGCTTGTGGCCATGTTTTTATATAAGGATCAAGCATCAGAAGTCGTTCCTTTAATGCCCAACAAACAAATTCCTTGGGATCGCCAACCTTTTCACTTTTTTCGCCAACTTTCTCTCGCATTTGAACGACTAAATCTTTGTTGCATTTGAGGTAATAAAAATTGATGAGTTCAATGCCACCACTAGGAAACATTCCATGAACTGTTCCAGGGTAACCAGCTTGTTCAGCTCCTTTAACAATTGCTTGTCTTGTCCATCCATTTGCAGTCACAAATGCCAGCGAAGCTTCTAAAATTTTGTTCTTAATTTCCATGACTTCCTCATCATCTTCCGTTTTCTCTTCATTTTCTTTCTCATTTTCATTTTCTATCGGTTGCTTATTAAATTCTGCTTCTTTTTGTTCTTCTCGTGCTCTGAAGTCATCGAGATTCTTCTGTTCAGCATATAGCACCAATGATGGAACACTCAACAATCTTGAACATATTTTATGAGATTTGTTAACATTTTGAAGTTTCCGATTCTGTGACTTTGATGCATTCAATGAAGATGCTGTCATGTATCTTTTTGCATCTGAAAATTAAATTACATAGGTATAAGTTGTTAAATGATAATTAAAAAGTTTTTCTTTCAATTTTAATTATAAAAAATTTATTCAACAAATTTATTGTGTGAAAGCGACTTGATTGATCACTTCATTTGCAGCAGCAAGTTGAAAGTCAATGAGATTAAAGATGCTTAAAGCTGAGTGGAGCATGTCAAGTTTCCTCTCATTTGTTAATTCATTAAGTGGCTCAGACACATCGTTGAGAATTTCAGTCCCTTGAATAATTTCATTCATATCTGAAGATTTCCCTGCTTTGACATTCTCAATTTCAGCATGATAATGAGCTCGTGAAAGATCTAAAGCTGATCGAAGCTCAGATAAGAAACCATTCTGAAGATCTGCGATTAAATGCTTAACTCCAGTTACATTTTCCTTGTCACGAATGAAAATAGCTCGTAAGAAATTCAACGATGAATGAATTTGATCTGATGAATCTGCAATGTCACATTGAACGCCACCATTTAACTTGCACGTGTGTTCAAGAACAATTTGCTTCAGACATTGTCCACTCGTATATTCCGAAAGTTTTCCTGTGTTTATCTCTTCAAAAATGATGTCTTTGTACATTGTTGTAAGATATCCCATCAAACCTTTGTGATCGGAGATTTTCAAAATGTTTTTGATAAGTAAATATCGTCCTTCAATATCAAATTTCAAAATGTAACATCGAAGTAATTGCAGCCCACGTTGACGATTTCTTTTCGATGGTGAATACATCAACAACTTCACAAGACTGTTGCAAAATGTTCGATGAATCTCAATGTCAAGTTCATCGGAGTTTAACTTGCTTGTGATGTTGTCAATCATTTTCTGAGCAAGTTTTAAGCCTTTAAATACGATTGGTTCATCATCTGAAGTTATCATCACATTAACGAGATAAATTCCCATCTGAAAGATGTACGTTGGATTGTAAATCTTAGGAAATTGATGAGATTGAATGCCTTCGCCAATTATAAGATAAAAAAGCATTCCCAATTGCAGTAGTGGCGTCTTTTCATGATGAAGGAAAATGTCATTAAGATCATCGTCGATTTTGTCTTTCGTTGGCCATCGACATCGAGTCTCAACGTATGATAAAAGTTGAAAAACATCGACATGTAATTGGCATAAAGTATTCACCAAATCTTCAGCGACTTGACGTGAATAAGTTTTCACTTTATTGGTTGTCTCATCATGTGATAAATCCAAGAATGACAAAGGTTTTCCAAGCAATCTCAAAATGAAACAAAATAAAACATTGTGTCGATTGAATTTCCTCGATCGGAAAATTTTGTCGAGTGGTTTGCTTTCCACGATTTGTTTCACAATTGGTTCGTAAAACTTTTCCAAAATCATGTACATGAGAAGCACTCGACGAACTTGTTCATCGTTTTCTAAGATTTTTCCTTCTTCCTCCTCGATATTCTTCAGCAAGTTACTCGGTATCGGAAGATCCAAAATATAATCTTCAATTGAGTTTAAACAATATTCCAAAGCCCTGGATTGCCGTTCGCTTTGATTAAGGATGATAACTTGAAGTCCTTTTAGAATACTCGTAAACACGTCATCGTCCTTCACGGTTTCGATAATTTCCAGGAATTCAAATAATATGCCTTGTTGATGACATTTCTCAGCCAACAATTTTATGATAGACTCACAAATACCATAAAGCGTTGGTTCGTTTGCGTAATTTTCAGATGTTAAATGCTTTAAAATCACATCTTGAATCACGTCAGAATAATGAGATAAGATAATTTGGCTGTATTGCTCTTCATCCAAAAGTTTAACAGCATTATTATAATGTTTGTTGAGTAAATTAAAGTCTAACAACTTGATCAGTTGCTCAGCATTCACCATCACTATTTTGTTTATCCTTTTATTTCGTAATTTCTTAAATGATTTCTTTTAAAAAGATCTTTTTGAAAAAAAAATCTTACAACAAAAAGAATTGTTTTGAAAATTTCCTTCAGCAAGGATCTTAAATAATGACGATATTTATTGTAAAAAGACGTAAATCTTTGCACGAATGAGTAAATTATGTTAATGTACCTGATTTTAATGCTAAACTTCTTAAATTTATTAAATTTAACTGAAAACGAAACATTTTTAGTTTTTTACGGAGGGCAAGAAGGTTTGAAATTTTATTTTGTTCGATGCGAATTCGCCCAAATCGTCTCAACTTTAATTCGCCTTCAGCTCAATTCAGACAAAAACATCGTTCGAGATAAAAGAATTTTATTAACTTTTTTGATAAGAAAACATGGATTAAATACCTTTAAAAGCTTGATTATAAGTTTGTTGTGTGTTTAAGACTAAGATAATAACTGTGACGTGATTAAAAGTTGTGTAAATATTGTGAAAAAAGTGTAAACAAGAAAAATGTCTTTGAAAAGTTTTACTGCGAATAATTTGCGTGAACTAAATGGTAGGTGGGACAGTTATTGAAATTCTTATCATATTCGGTGCTTCTTGTTTATGACTGTATAGAGTTAATTGGGTAACAAGCACCATACAAAATTATCTACTTGACCCAAACCTATTGTTGTAGAATGTGACCCGAAAAGAGTAAAAAATAAAGAAAAAATATGTTTAAAATGGGCAGAGATTCTCATCAGTCACCATTTTTATCCACTCCGAAAAACGAGTTCCTTAAAAACTCAATTAAAAGAAACTTCATGCAAAAACTTTTGCAACAACAATTCCATGCTGTATGATTCACTCGATAGTTTGACAAACGAAAGCCTTTAATTGAATTTCATAATTCATTTTTTTCCATTGCTTAAGCGAAATGAATTAAAATGACTGCCGATGAGCTTCGTTTGTTAATTGGAACTAATTTGATTACAATTAAATGCTTTCCATTTATGACAGACGAATGAATCATGTTTGATAAATTTTCATCTCCCCTGCCGTCAGTAGCTGAACGGTAACGTCTGTCGAACGATTTCATGTTTACTTTGTCTCCATATTTCCTCGCCTTATTCAAGTTCAATGCTTTGCGCAAATTTATGTGAGAAAAGAGTGAGACTAAACGGGAAAATCTTCTAGATATGAAGATACTTTTTTTCTCGCTCAATTTTTCGGTTGTTTGCCCTCGAGCACACATGGAATCCACTGAACCTGAAAGAAAAACAACTTTAATGATCCAACGGAAGAAATAAAAAAAATTATCAGAAATTAAAAACAGAGAAAATGCAGTTTTCTAATCTCTTTTTGTTTACAAATAGAGCTTCCTTATGTTTACAAACTTTCTTATCATTTTGAGTTGTTTGTGTCACGCCCAAAACAAGCTTAAGGGTTACCTATCAAAAATTCATTAAACGAGTGTTTATTATGAACTAATGTGTCGACTGTATCCACCCGGAGAAAAGAGAAAAATCAAAAAATAAGAAGAAATATGTGCCCTTGGAATTTATTTTCTTCCTTCTCTGTCGAAAACCAGATTTGTAAATTTTTCATCCACATTAAGAAAAGAAAACAGAAAAGGAAAAACTCCTTCTAGTTATGCCGGCTTGATGAAAATTGTAATGACACAAACACTGACAAAGCTCAATAGTCATACAAAAATGTTTTTCTCCCTTTCCCATTCATATTCGTACAGCAAACACGTTTTCATTGTAATGTCGGGGAAAGTACTTTAGAAGCATGGAAAATTCCCTGTCGATGTACCCAACATATATTTATGTATGGGGAGGGAGTGTGGATATGAAATGATGATGAATAAAGGAAGCGAAACCTTTTACAACGATTTAATTTGTTAGAATACTTTAGATTACTCATAATCGTATGATAGGGATAAGAGAAACATGGAAAAAAGCCTTGAGTGTGTGTTCGACTGAAGAATATAAACGATTTATCACAGATTTTTATTCTTATCAGTAACGAATAGTAAACTTTCCTCATTGACTTACTGGTAATGATGATAACAAAAGTAAGTTCAGTTGAAATTTCTCAACAGAGCGTGAAACTTGCGTTTAATAACAATGGAAAATATAAAACAATTGATGACGAATGTTGACTCTTATATGAGTAAACTAGTGGAGGCAGTGGAACTGATTGAAACTGGTGGTTCCAATCATCCAGAAGGTCAGTTATTATTAAACAGAACGAAGTGTTTTGCCTTCGAATATTTACTGTGCGAAATATCGAACACTTTTCCAAGGTCAATTGCGGATCAATAAATCAAACTTTTTTTCTGTAACGAACTTCAATCTCTGATGAGTTCATCATCAACACAAAGAAAAACTCGTTTCATTTGTTAGAACCATTTTGCATGGCAATTAAAGCTCATCTCCATTTCTCGTGCTTGTTAACGGAAATGTTTATTGCTATGCTTTTCCACGGAGTGCCTTGAATTCTCGCGAAAATTCAATTTTCTACATAATAAGTACTGACGTGCCCAACCCAAGCAATTTCATTGCTAATTTTCCGGTGGAATTTTTTTCTTATTCATTTTACACGATGATTTCCAGATCACAATTGAATTATCGCGTATTTTGGTATTACAAGTTTAAACAGCAAAAGCAGTCGACAATGGTTTAAAATCCATGATATTTGTCTTGTTTACCTTCCATTGTGTCTGCAACTGATTTATTCAACGCTCATCTAAACAAACCCTTTTTAAGTACATTCAAGCAAGCTTTCCATTGAAAATGAGGTTTTAAAGATGAAAATCAATACCAATTATTTCCATCATAATTAATTGCTCAATCTCAAAATGATTTCTGCACCTGAACAACAAAACAAAAGAAAAAAGAAGAAAAGGCATCAACATTAATCATATCATATCATTACATTTAACATTAAGTCATGCTGTCGATCTAGTAAAATGGAATAGAAAAACGGAGATGAAGTTGATGATGGCAAAGAAGAAGACGAAGAAATGAAATTTCATTTAATGCACATTGCGTTGATGTTAAGTGGAAACCATATTGTGCATGGAAGCGAATTGGATCGCTATCGTTCAGAAAAACTTCAATTTTCGCTTTTTCATGTGCTAATTGTGTTCGCTCTCTCATAATTCAATCGTCTGGTGGATTTGGAAAAACAAAATTTCAATAAAGATTCATTCGGCAGTTGTTGCCTAACAGTTGAGCTTCTTTGAAGCCTTTCATTGATGTTGTGTGATTATCGAGCGATATCCGTTACAAGTTCTAGCTGTTTGCTGAATATTATTAAATAGAAAGAACTTTATTAAATTAATTAAAAGGAAGAGAAAGAAAGAATAGAAATAATAATTTGCTTCCATAAAATACCAGATTGCGAAAATATATGTTCGGGAAATGTAAAACATTTCGATAAAAGTTTAAGTGGATGAAAGAAGTTAATTATAGAGCACTTAGAATTTCAACGACTTTTATTAATTAAGATTCAATTATCTTCGACTTCTGGATTTGCTTCAAGTGCGATGTGTGAAAATGTTTTTAAACTTTCTTACTTCTTAGTTATGTGAGCTTTGTTAACTATTTTTTTTATTACTTTTTCATCGTTCAGTTGTTATAAGTGAAACATGCTAAAAACCTTTAATTTAATTATAGTAACAATACCATATGAAAAGTGAAATTCCTTCAAAAAAATTAAATAAAAATAGCATAACAAAGCCAAAACAAAGAAAGAAAATATTTTGTAAGACGATATTTGAGTTGAAAAAAAGAAAATTGTGAGTTTCATTACGCAGTAAACTCAACATTCGGAATCATCATTAATCACTTTCGATCGGAAGATGATGTGAGGGATAGTTTCGTGATAGTTTTCTTCTTCATTGTTGAGTCAAACTTTGAAGCATTGCGTGAGACAAGAAGAATAAAAAATTATTTACTGAGATACTTGTTTGTGATTAAGTTGAAATATTAACGAGAACGTTAAGTGCAAAGAGGGAAAATTCTGGCTAAAATCATGGTTTTCTTAATAAATTATTTTTACTTGAAGCTTTTAACTTGTGAGTTGATGTTAATAATTCTTGACGAGAAACTTTTTCATTTGTACATCATTTTAAAATATTAAAACAATTTTCTTAATGATTACAGACAGCGTAAAGGCAGTTCTTGGTCGTCACACGAAGATTCTCGTCAAATACATGATCAAATTAGAAACAAAGAGTGATAAGACAGAGAATCGTGTACTTGTTTTTACACCCGTTCGTGTTTACCTTCTGACAGCAAAAGTGCCAACTCGAATCGATTGCAGTTTTCACTATCTCGATATTCTTGCGATTGAAAGTAAAAAGCCAACACATTTCTCAATCGCTACAACCGATAAAACATATTCGTTCTCAACGATTGGTGATGCTGGAAATTTCAGTTCAAATGCCGATGTCATTCTCACAGATTTATCGTCAGCTATTAAACAAATCTTCCCGACAGTTCCACTTAAATACATTATAAGAAAAATTGAAGTTCAACCAATCGAGCGAATCGCAATATTCTCCGATGAATTACGACCGGCAGATCCAAGGAATGTTGGACCATGTGGTGGCTTCAGTGCACAATACAGATGCATGTGTGACTTCCACAATGTTCCCTATCGTGAAGAAGTTGCATGGGACATTGACACAATTTATTTATCACATGACAATCGTGTTTTAAATTTAAGAGACTTTGATCATCTCGAACCAAAGTAAGAGACGAAATGATTAAATTAAGTTAACTGTTTTTATAAACATTTGATTTAATCTCCCAATAGAGATCTTATGGCGATTGTTTCAGCACTTGAATATAACACATTTTTCCGTGGCTTGAAAGTGTCACACACGCGATTGTCCAATGACACGCTTGAAAGGATTTTGCATGTCATGAAGCGCAGTATGTGGCTAGAAGAGCTTCATCTAGAAGGTTTGGGTCTAAAGGCAGACTTCATTCACAAATTAGCTGTATCTGTGATCTCAAACAACAATCCGGCATTAAAAACAATCGATTTAAATCACAACCTGATTGAAGACAAAGGTGAGTGTTGTTGTGTAAATGAATTTGTAATTTTCCGACCTGAAATTGAATATTTTACGTGACTTGAGCTTATTTTGTTTCACATTATTTTTTGTGCTTGAACTTTTTCTTCCAAAAAATGCTCAGGCGCTTCATCGATCTGTGCTTTGATTGGAAAACTTGTGCAAGGTTTGGAAAATGACCTTCTTGAGACTTTTATTGTATGAGACTCGAATCAGGTTTTTGTTGATGATTTTGTCAAGCGATGATGGCTCGAATGGAATTTTTCTTAATGAAAAGTTTCTTATCCGATACATCATCAGCCAATCCCTCCTAATTTCTAATGATTCGAAGCTTATCAAGAAGTCAAACCACGTTGAAAATTATCAATTTTTCCATTAAACTTTTACATGCTTATTGAAATTCATTTTCAAAGTTTTCAATCCTCGAAATTTTATTTCACTTTTCTTCATGAACATGAACACGAAATTGAGCATGAAATTCAACTTTTCTTCAATTTTCAGGCGCACTTCATCTGGCTGGACCAATAGCAAAAATCTCAAAAGGTTTATGCAAGCTTTGTCTTGCTTATTGTGGACTAACATCGAAAGGCGTTAATCAAATCTCACATTCCTTGTCACTTAATCAAAGTATTTCAAGTTCGCTTACACATTTAGATTTAAGTGGAAATAATTTGAAAGATGATGTCACAGTAAGTTCATTTGATTTATTAGAAGATGTCTGCGAAGTTAATTAAATTTCTGTCATTGAAATAAATTGCTTGCTATTTTTTCTTCTCTTTTCAGAACTTGAACAACTTTCTTGCTCAACCAAATGCTTTAGAATTTTTAGATATTTCTAGCACTGATACGACGCTGGAGAGTGTAAGTTAATTATTCATCGATTTAAAAGAGACAATTCAATTGACAAATGACATTTTTGTTACTTTAAATTAAATTTCAGTTATTCGGCGCACTTCTCAGAGGTTGCTCAACACATCTGGCACATTTAAATGTAGCACATAATTCATTTGGCACTAAGAAAGGCAAAGAAATCCCTCCATCATTTAAACAATTCTTCACGAGCAGCTTAAGCTTAAAACATTTAAACATTGCAAGTTGTAAGATTCCGTTGGAAGCTTTGAAGCATCTTCTGTTAGGCTTGGCTTGTAATGAATCAACTGCTGGCTTACATTTGGATTTGAATGGGAATCAATTGGGACAACAAGGTGCGCATGTTTTAGAGTCGTGCATCCATGGTGTTCGCGTTCTTCAGAGTCTTGACATTGGTGATAACAGTAAGTTCAATAAATTAAATTAAACCACAAAGAGAAGAATAAACAAAAATTCTTTTCAGATCTTGACTCAGAAATGGCTTCAGTGTTAACAGCAATTGGAAAGAATTCATCGATTCGAACACTTTATTTAATTAAATGCTTTCAAGGAATGAAACTTAAACACATAAGCACCGTGATGGATGCTCTTGTTAATCTTATTCAAAAAGATGATTTCATGTTGGCAGAACTTTACATTTCTGAGAACAAACTTAAAACGGACATTCATAATTTTATTAATGCTTTAGGCAGCAATCAACATTTACAAGTTCTCGATATAAGTGGAAATCTTATGGGTGACATTGGAGCAAGATTATTAGCGAAAGCATTGCAAATCAACAACAAATTGAAGACAATCATAATGGATCGTAATGCGATAACACTTCAAGGATATTCTGACATCGTTTACGCTTTAGAAAACAATTACTCATTAAGACACATTCCATTTCCTCTATTTGATATTACGCCTAGTTTAAAGAATCATCCGGAAAGAACTGATACGATAATGAGAAAGATGCAAGAATTTTTACATCGAAATGGATCGGGAATTAAGCGGCAAGCGGGGCAAGGCTTTAGGTGAGATGAAACAACTTGTTGGCTTATCTTTCAATGTTTCTAATTATTTGTTTTACTCCCAGACTTCAGCAAGGTTTTCTGTTATCAGCAACACATCAATTAGTTGACAAATTAGTGTCAGAAACACAGGAAACCATTTCGATTCAAACATCCGAAAATTCCGGTGTTCAAAGACTTTTAGAAGATGCTGAGAATTGTAAACAACTTTTACCAAAACTTCAAGACGCTGTTCGATGTGATCCACATCCAATAGAGATGCGATTAGGAAAGATGACAAATGAGCTGTCACACAGTGTCAAAGTTTATCTTTCGGAGACGATGGAAACGATGTTGAAAACTGGTGTCGAACAATGTCCAAAGACACTTGGAAATCAAACAGTGATCAGTGACTTGAGGAAGACATGTGAAGAGCGTTTAATTATTTCTGATGATTTTCTTCAAGCTTGTATTGTTAATTGTGCTGGAGGTGAAGTTATGAACAAGATAAGGTGAGTGACTTTTTTCTTTATGCTTTCATAATTCCAACTCTAAAGAAAACAAAGTTCTGACTTCAATCCCTGCTTCTTTATATTAAAATAAGTGACGCATTAATCGTTTGTTCACTTCTCTCTCAATTTATATTTTTAAATATTAAAAAGATATCCCGAACACAACAAAGAGAGAAACTGTCATCTTCTACACTTAAATATATTTAAGTTCGACTAAGTAGTTACGTTTCCTATTCTCTCACTCTCAACTTCTGTAAATATGTTCATTTGAGTTAAAGCACTTGCGATAAAAGCAACACATATGTGTGACAGTATTTTCTGCGTGTAAAAATAAAAATAAAGAATAAAACTAGAAAAATTTATTATCAGTTGAGATAAGAATACAAGTGAAGTACCGTAAAGTTAAGATTGTCATGTACGGGTGTGCCATACTTGCGATGGAATTTTAGGTTTTCCGTATTGAAAAGTGAACTTTCGCGGAAATCTTCTTTTGTTTTGGTTTTTCGGTTTATTAGTCCAATAATAATTTCTGTTAAATATTGTGGAATTTATTCGTTTCGGGCTTGATAATGAACTGTTATTGGTTATCGTCGTGTTGTTGTTTTTGGAAAAAGCGGGACGAGGATAGTCTTGTTGAAGAGTTAGTGATTGTGCGACGATATACTCGAGAATTACTTTTACACTTTATATTTATAAATTTTCACAGTGAGGTTGAACAGTCGTTGGCTGGTTTGATAAGCGATCGTGCAACAGACGAAGTCTTAGAAGCATTAACAAGATACAAACGTGGTATGGGAATTCCAGATTCGCCAAACACAACATTAAATGATTCATTGCCACCAGACATTGTGAGAAGTCGATCGAGTCATGTAAGTTCGATGACATATCTTAATTAAAATATTCTGAGAATTTCTTAACAAATCCCAGGATTCAATGAGCGATCATCATCATGTGGATCTTTCACGTCACGGCATTGGATCACCAACGGTAAGTTAACTTAGCTTAGCGGTTGACAATTTTAATTCAAGTTGTACATAAATATTCAGCATATTGTCTAAACTTCTCGCTTGCACCATCATCATTATTTGTTTTTAATGTAGCACAGTTTCATTCATTCATCGGTGACTCATCGTGAATCAGATGAGATGTAAAGTTTTATTCTTCGTTATATCGTCTTCTTCGTCTGACTTGAATTTTTTTTACGGAAGAGACTGCATCATGATTCACATTCTATGTTAATTTTTTGAAATTCATTTCTCATATTTATCATCGAAAAAGAAAAAAAAGAAAGAAATAAGTTTTTAATTAGATATTTTAAACACAAAGGGAAATTGTCTTTGTTTGACTTTGTAAGTCGAGAAGTTTTAAGTTTTGTTTCTTATCAAAAAATCACTTTAATGCATTTATCGTAGAATTGAAGAACCCCCGACAATTTCAACATTTCTTTATTGAACTGAATGTCATAGACTGTAAATAAATTTGTTGCGCAATAAATGTTTATCGAAAAAATATTTATCACATCAAACGATTCCTTCACAAATAATCATTTAAAAACAAATCATTCATTTTCCTAGATATTTATCTAATCAATAATTTTTCATTTTCCTTCTCACTTCGCCTTCACAAAATTCATTTTGGAATCCAATCTTGCAATAATATCAAAACAAAATTATTTTTTGTATAGAAATTGGAATATCTGAACTTGGTAAGTTTCATTCACCACCTGCTTTTGTTTATGTTTTTGGTTTGGGAATGACAAGCGGAATTATGGAATAAAATGTCAAATGTTAGAGCAGCAAAAAAAAATTTCTCCATGATTTCCGCTCGTCATCTGCTTTAGTTTTTGCTTGTGAAAAGTTTCACATACTTATTTATGTGTTGATGTCGATTATCTTTAATTCTTTCAAGACCATTTCACGATCTGATTGTTGATCACGGAAAGGCGTCGCGAAACATATCGATAAGCTTCACATCAACACATTATGGTGTAATTAATGCTTCTTTATTTTTGTATTTCAACTAACAAAAATTCATTCACAAAATTATGGAAAAACATTGGAAATTAATTTGCAAAACTTTTCTCTTTTATTCTCTTCCCATTTCTTCAATCACAAAAATTCTTTTTCACATTTTTCAATGTTTTTCTTTTTCTATTTCTCTCTGGTGTGGTTTTTCTTTTCGTGCAATTTTCCTTTCTTCCTTTTTTTATTATTAATCTCAGGAAATTGTCTACTTTTCAAATCAGGCCGTTCCACATTTCAAGTCAAAGCGACAAGCAATTGCAAAAATTCGCCCACAAAGTGTCGTCGGCTTGGGTGTTGATAATCTCAGTTTAAGTCATATTCCCGACCTTCTTGAGTCACCAAATATTTCTAATCGCGGATCCAAAAATGCAACAGCAGAAGATGAAAATTGTGATTCAATCACTGAATTACCAAGCACATCACTTACGCTTCAACATTTAGTCAAAAGTCGACCGAAGAGAGCGAAAGTTAGGGCACCAACGAGGCCGTTGTTGACAGAACTTTCAAATAGTTTGGGAGAAGGATTGGAAACATTCTTCACAAAACCAGACTCAGAAACGACATTAACACCTCTTGTCTCACCAACATCTGAAGAATGTAGTTCGCTAAGCTTCGTTGATAGTCCAACGATTAGTCGTGAAGAAAACATCGGAGGAAAGAAGTCAACAATGACTTCAGGTGAAACAACTCCAATCATGGAAGAGAGAAAAGCAAAACTTGAACGACAATCGCCACTTCTTAAAGGAGTTGCAAATTGGACTCCACGATCTCTTTCGTCTGACAATCTCGAAAAACATTCACCATCTGTCAGTCGGAAATCACCTTTGGTTAAAACAAAGACACAAGATCGTGATCAACATGTAAAGTTCGACGAATCGTCATCGATTATTCACAACAATTTAAATCCTGTGAACAATCGTGATTCAGGAAAGAAGTCACCAAGTAACGAATCTATCAAAGCTATTTACGAGAAACAACTTCATGGAAATGGAATTAAAACACCAACAATGATTCAAAAGCCTCGACCATGGTCAGTTCTAGGACATGAGTCGAAGAATGAATACAACAACGATTCATCAAAAACAACACCGGATGCACTTGATAATGGTGAGAAAATTATTCATTTCCAAGCTATTGATAATCATAAAATTTATTACTTTAATCAGATCAAGACATGGTGACAATAAATCCAGGCGTTGCTTTAGGTGGTGCTATCCTTGGTATAACTCCTGGTGCTGCTCTCGAAAAGAAATCAGTTCGTGATCTTGCAGCTAACTTTGCAGCGAATAAAATTGGTGAGTCATTGCAGAAGTAAAATAAAATAACAAATTATTTATTGCTCGTTTTGCATGATTCTTCTTATGTTTTAATTATTTTACTTTTATGTTTTTCCTTCCACACAAAATTCAACTTTTTTTTGCACATACGATAAACAAATTTTTAGTTTTGGAACCAAAGCCTCGACCTAGTAGTCAAAGTCATGTCAGTAAACTTAGTGGTGACTCGATATCTTTGCTAAGCGAGAATCGATTGTCCGGTAGTAGCTCTAGCTCGGAGCATGAAAATGGCAGTGCCAGTAATTCAAACGGTAAACCGGAAATTGCGGTCCGACGAATTGCAGGCAAAAAGATTTCTGCTTTATTTGAGGTTTGAAACTTTTTTTCTGTTTTTTATTTGTTCTTTAAAGTTTTTGTGTTAAACATGCATGTCATCATTCCAAGATGATTATTAATTAAAAAGAATTATCTTAAACATCTTTTTTTACTTTGAAAACAGGAGAGACTAGTTGAAGGACTCAAGACATCTACGCACAGAACAACAACTGCCTATAGAGAGTCATCATATTTATCGAAAGACGATTCTGTAGATGTTTAAAACTTTATTTTAAGTTCACTTTACAAAACAAAAGCCTCTACTTAGTTTAAGGTATTTTATTAAAGTTTTTAAGCGTTTTGAATGAGATTGTTTTACGAAACAGAACAAAAGAAGTCAAGAAAACTTTTGCAAGTATTTTTTTTTAATTGAACTATTTTCAATGCAAATTTTTGATCGAGAATAAATTTTGAAAATTCTTCCCAAATATTTTCTATGACTGCCGAATTTTGCTTCCACCAAAAATTAAGAAAGTTGAAAAATTAAAATTAATCTTTACTCAAGTAAAAGGTTTTGAAAATAAAATTGGTCAAAAAAGTAACACGAGAAAATAATTAATTCTGAGCTTGATGAAGAATTCTAAGAAAGTTTGTAATCGATAGTCTTCATAATTTATTTAAGAAGAATGTTTTGAACGAAAACATGAAAAGAGTCACGAACAGTAAATTCGAATGATCAAAAAATTATTCAAATAATCGATATGAATAATCACACACACTGACTTTGTAGACTGTTAACTATTTATTCTTCTTAGGGATGGTTAATGTAAGTGTCACTTATCCCATTATTGGGATAGGCACGACATTAGAGTTGTAAGTGGTCGGGTGTGCAACATAACGATGATTAAGTGGACATTAGGTTCGGTTGCTTAACAGCATCTGTCGTCAACTGACAAACCCAACTCTAAGTATGAAATCCTAAATAAAAAGGAAATTCAATTTAAAGGAATGAAATGAACAAGTAAACATTCTCAACGTGCTTTCTCGGTTTGTTATTTTAGGATTTCATTACTTATCACCCACGACTTCTAACTTAGTAGATAACTAATCAAAAAGGAAAACATTTGCGAATATTTTAGATGAACAAAAACGTGCCAATAATGTAATCGATTTCAAAATTATTTTCTATTAAATTTCTAAGTTATCCGTTCGTGCATTCATTCTAGCGAAATTCTAGCTAATTTTTTTTTGTTTTTTGTTTCTTTCTGATCAACACATTCCGTTTCTTTAGCAACAAGGATTGTATCTTAAAGTTTCGTTATTTAGACAAATTTGACAAGCTTTAATTTACATATGAAGCATTGAATAACTTTAAATAACAAATTGTGTTGATTATTTCTCTGTTTGTTTAATTTTTTCTGTGATTCATTTCTTGTCCCTTTAATGAAACTTTAATCTTAACAAAATAATACGAAAAAAAATAATAAATAAATCAGAAAATATTCTTGTAAAGTTCATTGATTAAACAACAAAGAATGTAGCGTTTTCGAATTGATAACAGTTTGTAGTAACTTTAAGAGTTCATAAAAAAATCAATAAACGATATTAATCAGAAATCAATAATTTGATCAATTTGGTTTTACTCATTATAATCTCGAATTTCACCATCGTCGTAATCTTTTAAGTCGTTCGCATTCTATAAAACTTTTTATCGTTTTCGATGTTTCCAAACGTCAATAAAAGTACATGTCAGTGTTCATTCCTTTCAGAAATAATCTTTTAATATTGTTTTCCGCTTCCTATCACTCACGAATTTTTTTAATATTTATTTTGTGAGGTAATCAAATTGACGAAATAATCCAAATTTATTACGACATCCAATTTCTCTTTTTCAGGCGGAAAATTCAATAAATGGATTAATGGATAATTCATTGAGTTTCAATTTCTCTTAAAAATTTAAATACCTAGATTACTAGGTTTATTAAATATGTTAAATTACACACATGAAGAAATCTGATGAGATTACATGCTGTGAAATAACTTTTCCTACTTACATGCTTCACTTTTTCAAGGCCACAAATTACAAATTATCTCGTTTTATCATTAATCAAATTTTCTGTACAAATTTATTGTTTGAGTTTATTATTAGCGTTAAAGAAATATTTTCGTTTGTGCTATAATTAACAAAAGCAATGAATAACAGAAAATTTTCACTTCTGTAAGATTTAAAACGTCCTTCTGTCAAAATGAACACAACGAATCAGCAATGACACGGTGGCCGAGCGGTCTAAGGCGCTAGATTTAAGCTCTAGTTCTCATCTGAGAGCGTGGGTTCGAACCCCACCCGTGTCAATACATTTTTTATTTTATTTTTATTTTTCTATTTTCATCTGAAAATGAAAACTTTCCTAATCTTTCGTTAATTGCAATTAGAAAGTTGACATAATTTGTTCCATTTTCTATTTTGTTCTTCGTGTTTATTTTGCTTTTCGTTCGATACTGAAAATAATTTTGCATGTGATAAAAAATGTTTTTCTTGTTGTTTTGAAATTTTCTTTTAATATTGAGACAACCCCATAAAATCGTAACATTACAAACCTTACTTTACAATCTAAATTCACAAAAAAAAATGTTAAAACTAAATAGGATCCAAGGCACAATTAAAGCCTTAAACGCTTTTAATAAATTTATAGAGTTATTTTATAATTTTAATGCATGTAAAAGTTTTGTGAAATCTGCAAAATGTTATTTCGATTCTGTTGCTTTTGTCTTGAGTTTCTTCAAAAATTCCTTCGCCAATTTATCACCAACTCGATATTGCAAAGCCTTAACAGACTCCATTGATTCTGTAATAATATTAAGATAATTATTAGATTCATTTATTTTAAAATAATTAATAATTACCATCACTCTCTGGTCTTGTGAGTTTTAAATGCAGCTGTTTGATACTTCCACTATCACTTGTGATGTCTGCAATATCTTTGAACATCAAAAAAGTATCGGCAACATATTGATTTGCAATTCCAAAATAATCTTTGTCTTTGACACTAAATAAAATTATTGCTTCTTCCAATTTCCTTTGCTCATCGTTTAGGGTTCTATAAAATGTTCAAAATTTTAATTATAAGAAATATGAAAAATCTTATGAAAAGTTTTTCTTTGTCTTACATTGAAAATTTCTCATCAAACATTGGAAACAAAGTTTTCTGAATGACTTTAGTTTTGGGTTGAGTAACACCAGCAAATTTATCTTCAGGGAAGAAATGAATTCTAACAAAAGGATCGCATTGTCCATCAGTATCCATTGGAATTAAATGCTTGGCATTCATGACTTCAATTTCCAACACGTTCTTTTGAAAGAAACATTGAACCGTGAGAAGACCAAAAGGCGAGTCTTCCAATTTTTGTTGCATTGTATAACGTTCTTTGTAATACTGATGAATGAGATCGGCTGGTTCATATCCATGAAGTTCAAGTAATTTATCGATCGATTCCAAGGTTTCTTTATCACTTGATTGAATCGGTTTATCGCTGTTCTGGCACTTGAAGTTCTCAACCATGATTTGTAACGTGCTGCGTAAGTTTGAGTAAAATGATGGTGGGCGTCGCTTTTCAATGCTGCCTTGAACAAGATCGTAAAGTATGCACGAGATCTCAACCCAAATGGCATCAAGAACTCGTGTGAAGTTGTCGTCATTAAGTTCAGTGTGAAGTGTTTTCAATGAGTCTTCCATATACATCATTAAACGATCCATCGCGTTGGAATCTGTATCGAAAAGTTCAGCACCTTCTGTAAGGAATCTTCGCATAGCTGGGTTCATTTTTCTCGCGAGCTTTTCAATCAATTCGAGAATTTTATTCTTCTCAGTGTCGATAGCATTTTCCATCACATTTTGAATCGTATCAGAGCATCGTTTGGCATCTAAAGGTCCTCGAAAATCTGACATGTTTCGAATAATGTCATCGACACCAAGTTCCTTGACAAACGAATGAATGCTTTGACGAATGTAATCAATGTTGTTAATGGCCAAACACCATTCTGTCGTCACTTGGAATTTCTTTTCGTAAACAGTCTCAACCATTCCTAAACTATCAACTCTCTCCGCCATTTTATCAGCATAGAAGACACAACAACGACAAATGTCGTCAACAATTTTACTGACAAAAATGAAAGCACCTTCTGCACTTGGCCACGCAAGTTGCTGCCAAAAGATTCGAATTTGATAAAAAATCGCCAAAGTATCAACAGCTGATGATGAATATTTAACTGTTGCATCAACAGCAATCAACGGATCTAATTCAATTGCTTTCTGTATTCTTGTTAATGCTTTATAGACAGAAATATCCAACCAATGAGCGACACCACTTGAAAACCATTCGTAATAATCTTTCATTTGAAAATCGACAACACCGGGACATAAAGCAGATCCAAGCACAGAAAATCTTTTCAGCAACAAATACAACTCGAAGAGTGTCGTCAACATGTTGATTTCTTCATAACGATTGTGTTTCATATCCTTCGAGTCTAATAAATCGAGTCGTTCGATTTTAGTGTTGCAAATGTCTTGTACAATTGGCTTGACAAGTTCCATGACTTTACGATCGTAGACTTTGTAAATGACAGCAGCATACTGATAATTCATTTTCCTAATAAATAAATTAATCAAATTTATTTAAAATCACGACATATTTCAAATCAAAACTTACTCTTGGAACACTTTATCGTGATGTTCAATGGCACGTTGAAGATCAGATCTCACAAGTTGTATAACTTTAATCAATTGCTGAAGTCTCGATTCGTTGTCATCACTGTTAAGTTCATTTTGATCAACAATTCCATCGAAATATTCTTCAGCAGCAATTGTTACAGCTTGATTCATAACGTCTCGAATATCAACTGCTAAATCTCCAGTTTTCTTCAACCATCCAAAGTATTGTTCAGGGAATAAATCAATCGATGGTGTTGGTTCCAATGTAGCAATCTTAGAGATGATATTAATGACTCTTGTTAGATGTTTCAAAGTGTTTGCATCACCAGCAAGCTTCTTTCTCAACTTCCTGATGATTCCAAAACATGATGGCAATAAACGTTTTGTTGATTCAAAGAAAATTGTGATTTCTTCTTCATGTGTCACATTTCTTGTTTGAATTGGTTTGATCAACTTATCAATAATTCTTTCAAACAATTCAAACGATAATGGATGATGTTGATGAACTTCACAATAAACTGACCATTGTGCGAATGCAACATCAATATCCGTCAATCCACTTTGTGCTTGATGTTGTGTGATGATTGTCTCAGCTAAACTGCTGAACTTACCCGACCACCAATGATGTGCGACTTTTGATGACTCCAATTCATGATAGAGAAGAATTTTCAACAAATGTCGATGTTCTTGTGATGCAACTTGATCATTCTTTGCCGAACTGAAGTTGAGACGAACTTTGATTGTTCCTTGTGTCTTAGTTTTTCCTTTTTTGTCGAGATTATACCACATAACAAGACCAGCAGCTGGAATTGTCTTCAAAGGAACTTTTGAACATCCGACAAATTCATTATCGTGTTTGCCTGATGATGCTGTTGTTGCTATTTCTTTCATAAGCTTTCGAAAACCTTTTGCACCTTTAATCTCAAAAAATTTATTCATTTTCTCGCCAATTGTTTCTGCTGGATCGAAATCCCAAACTTCTATGATGAGAGTATCTTCATTAGGATTCTCTGAGATGGGCCTGTGAAAATATCGAAAATTTTAATTAAGTTTTAAATCCGTTTGATTGAAAACTTCAATTCAACTCACAATGAGAAATGTTCTTCGTATTTCGGGTTTAATGTTGCAGACTTCACTGAACTTGTGTATCGTGTATTGGGAGCTGATGCAATATAAAGTGTCACAAAAGGATCAGCCAACCCATTTGGATCCTTCGAATTCAAATCTTTCGCTTCAATCACTTCGATGTTCAATCTCATTTCAGGAGCTTCTTTAATTCTTGCTTTTTCTAATAATTCTTCATGAGATTCTTGTTGAAACTTAAAAGCTTCTTGTAAGAATGAAAAAAGTGATTCCGTGCTGACTTTTGACTCGTCACTGCCAACATTGTGAAGGATTTCGAAAAGAATTTCTTCATAAAGTTCATCAATCTAGGGAAAGAAATTAAGAAATAAAAGTATCGTGAAAACGTGTAATGAGATCAGCTAAAGAGAGAAAAAGATCCTTGAACTGATTTTACGCTCAAACGTACAGTCATCGTGTGGATTATTAGATTCGTTTGTCGTTCCATCAATTCCTTTTTTACTCCTTTAAATTGATTATGGTGCAAACTGCCACGACGATCAAGAATTCGTCGTCGTGGATTTGGTATTGGCGCGTTGTTATTCATATCAGTTTCAAGTGATTTTATTCTTGTTAAAGGTTTTTTTGTCGGAAGTGTCGACGATTTACCAAACTTCCAAGTGAAGTTTTTATTTTTATTTTGGCTTCCACCATTGCACAATCCATTAAGTGACAAAGAACTCATTTTAGATCCCGTCGTGAGGCTTTTATTACGATGAAATCAATTTAAGAATAAAAAAGAATTTCTTTTGGGAATTAAATTAAAGAAAGAAAAAACTTTCAATGATTAGTCAGAGAAATTCATGTTCGCGAGTATTTTTAAATTTGTTTCTTTTTTGTCTTGCAAGATTTCTTAATTTTTTGCGAGTTTTATTTTTCCTCTCGACTAAGGTAACGCTCGCTGACTTTTTTAAAACTGATCAGAAATCGTGGGAGGTTGACAATTAATAAGAAAACAAGTCGATTTCCTCTTGGGAAATATTTGAAATGTTATTTTTGTTTTTGGAAAAATATTCAAAGCACAAATTAAGGATTTTTTATGTTATGCAATTCCTTCTCGTTATGTTGATGCTTTTACTCTTGATCATGAAAATTAGTTTTCTTTTTTCTTTTAAATAATTTTCTGCGTATCCGTTTTTCCGCTCTTAATCTCACGATCACTGCATTTGAACTGAGAAAATTTTCCTTGGTTCGAAAGGAATTTTTTGGCACAATTTTTTAAAATTCTCTTCGAAAATAGAAAAAAAAATCATCAGAATCTTTATCGTGAAAATTCGCTCGCACATTTGATCATCAAGAGAGTGAAAATGTGTTTTGGTTGTAATCATTTAATTCTTCTCGATCAAATGAAAAAATTCATTCATAAAAGAAAAGGAAAACGAGCTCTTCATTAAATATTAGTTCAAGAGATTCAATTTCGAGAGTTTCATGATGCTGAGAAAAGCAAATAACTTCAAGTGCATTGATCGCTGCTTTCCAGGATTTTTCTACTTCTTTGACAATTAAAATAAATCGAGTAAAAAAATTTTTATCTTAATTTTCCTATCTTGAGTTGCACTGACATAGAAATCGAACGTGATCGTAATTAACAGACTCTTGAAACTTTATTGCTTTTCTTTGCCATTGAATCGCAATCTATCAACATTGACATCTCAAATTAAAAAGTTTCAAGTATCAAATGATGAAATATTGCATAAAAATAAATAAATTTAAGAAGAAAACTTGCGAGCATCATATGTGCCATGTCTGTGGTGTACAAAACATGATCAAGGTCGTCGCTTATGGCGAAAAGCATCATCGGCACGATTCTATTTTAAATATTAAAACAAAATCTTCACACACATTTAACACAACATAACGAGATGAAGGGAACAAGAATTATTAGATTTTAAAGCGTTTCTTGGAACAAGTTCAAGTTTATTGAAAGTTATGACACTTTCGATCATCGATAAATCATTGACAAGATTTTATTGCCACTTGGAAATCTAATCGAATTTTCCTTATCCACAGTCACGATGAAAGAAATTTAATTAGCGAAGAATTTTAACAAACTTACATTCATTCCAACCATAGCATTTTTAATTTCCTGGATGTCTTCTTTCTTCTCTTCAATGTCACTATCAGCTTCAGCCGACTCGTTTCCACTGTCCTTTCCTGTATCGCCATCTTCATCGTCCCCAATACGTGACTCAATCTTTGCTTCCTTCTTCTCCTTCTTCTTGAGAAAAGCTGAAGCTTCAGGATCGACAAGTGCTGCATTTCCCAGAAAGTTATCTTCAGTGTCTTCATTTCGAGCATGAAGCATCGATCCAAATCGTTCGAAAAAGCCTCCATCGGAATCTTGAATTCTAAATGAGAAAAATTTAAATTAAAAATTTGTCAAATTTGCAAAACAAAAATTATTCAAGAAGGAAAAGATTTTGTTTTTCTTTAAAGTGCCATCGATAATGATAATTTTATTGCATAAATAATTATCTAATTATCTAATTTTGGAAGACTCGAGCAAACAAATAATTTCCAATAATGTTTAATAAAAATTGAAAAATATTCAATTCAAATTTCCAAAGCAAGAATATTTGATGTAAACATATTCTTCAATGCCATGTGACGATCCTTCACGACCAACACCAGATTCTTTAATTCCACCAAAAGCAGCTTCAGTTGATGAAATAAGTCCTTCGTTTATTCCAACCATTCCGACTTCAAGTTTATTTCGAACTCTGAACGCTTGATTCAGATCTTGAGTGAAGAAGTAACCAGCAAGACCGCGTTGAGTGCCATTAGCAATCTTCAAGGCTTGTTCTTCACTTTTAAATGGAATAATCGATACAATAGGTCCGAAAACTTCATCAGTATAAAGTTTCATATCCGGTTTGATGTCAGTAATGATTGTCGGTTCAAAGAACAACTCTCCAATGTCCTTCATGTGACGACCACCATGAACAATTTTTGCGCCTTTTTGCTTTGCATCTTCCACCATTCCTTTAACTTTCTTCAACTGAGCTTCATTAATTAGTGGTCCAATCTTTGTACACGAACATGCTCCATCACCAATAGACAAACATTTCATTTGATTTATTAATTTTCCAATAAATTCTTCGCAAACATCATCTTGAATTAAGAAACGATTGGCAGAGATGCAAGTTTGACCGCAGTTTCTGAATTTTGAAGCCAAGGCACCAGCGACAGCATGATCAATATTTGCTGACTTAAAGACAATAAACGGAGCATTTCCACCAAGCTCTAAGCCGATTCTCTTAACACCATCAGCACATTGTCTGTAAAGTAATTTTCCAACTTCCGTCGATCCAGTGAAAGAAATTCCAGCGACTTTAGGACTTTTACAAAGAAGTTCACCAATTGGTGCTGCATTAGAACGACTTGATGTGATGACATTGATAACGCCGGGAGGAAATCCAACTTCATCAGCTAATTTACAAAGAGCGAGAGCTGTTAGCGGCGTATCTTCTGCCGGTTTGATAACAACGGTACAACCTTAAAAAAGATTAGATAATTGAATAAGTAAATAAAGTAATGAACAACAGAAATGTAAATTCTTACCCGCTGCTAAAGCTGCTCCCGCTTTTCTTGTTATCATTGCGTGTGGAAAGTTCCAAGGAGTGATAAGACCGGCAACTCCAATTGGATGTTTTGTATGAGTGATTGACTTGCTTGCAACCGGTGATGGAACAACTTCACCGTAAATACGACGAGCTTCTTCAGCAAACCATTCAATGAAGCTGTTTCCATATGTAATTTCTCCGAAAGATTCTGCTAATGGTTTGCCAGATTCCGACGTCATAATTTCCGCAATTTCAGCTTTGTTTGCTTCAAGCAAAGTGAACCATTTCTAAAGTTTAATTTTGTTTACTTTTTAATTGTTTAATTAAATTCATTTAAATGAATTGTCATTACCTTCAAGAGATTCGAACGATCTTTAGCAGTTTTATTCTGCCATTCCTGACTATGAAATGCGTCGTAGGCTGCATCGATCGCCTTCTCGACGTCTTTAACATCCATATCAGGAACATTTCCAATAATTTTTAGATTTGCTGGATTAATGACATCAAAAGTCTTTTTTTCTCTTGAATCTGTCCATTTGCCATCGACATACGCTTGGTTTTTTATCAAGGAATGCATCGTTCTGACTAGTTGGAGACGTTCTTCTACACTAAATTTAGATATTCCCGAATGGAAAAATCCTAAATTTCGTACAAGCCGAAACATTTCAACACGATTAACACTTTTACACAAACTTTTATCACAATCTTCGTCAAAAACGTAAGATACAAAAGAGTATTTGTTCCTAAATGAGTCTTTTAGTACTTTAAAGTCTCTACATGAGACAATTTAGATCTAATTACAGAATTTTTATTAATATCAATTGATAACTACGACGAAAATGAGAGAACGCAATTTTGAGAGAGGAAATCAATTTTTACTCTCTCACTAACCTTTTCACACAATTTTGAATTTCTTTTCGCCGTTAAATTTCACTTTAAAAACACTTATAAGGAAATCAATATTTTCGAAACAGAACCATGCATGGAACAATTCTTTTATGGTCAAATGACTCATTAGCCTTTTATGAAAAACCTACGTTATTTCACGTTCATTTGGGGGTTTCATTTTGTCTTCTTGGAGTTGATGCCAAATCCCCATCCACATTGCATCTTCTTTATTCATTTGTTGATTATTCATTTTTAACAATTATAAAATAAATATTGCAACTTTGCAACTCAATAAATATTTATTCACAACACAACGTCACAACCTTAGGAATGTCTAGATTGGGTAAAATTTCAAGTTATCCAAATAGAATAAAAGAAACAAAATTACTAACAGCTGATTAAAATCAGAGCTCAATGTAGGTAAATATGTGTTGATTTCCGTGCGATGACGAATAAGTTTCTTTTTATTTTGTATGGTATTGGAAAAAAGTCTTGTAGAGATAATTGAAATTTTATGTTTTAGCCTTATGGAATTTCCCAGAGCCTTGGCATTCGTAATGATTTTGAAAGTTATGCAAACAGTTCTCAGCATTGACTTGAAGTTCAAATATCTACGTTCATTCATCTACATGATGATTAACTAAATTTCATTTGACGTGTCATAAAAGAGCGTCGCGAAATATAATGCAAATACTAAAGTTTTCTCTTGAAATTGACATCATCTTCACCATACATTGAAGAATTCTTTCACAAAGATGATAATTGTTGGATGTTTTTATTAATACCAGATGCAAGAAGCTTCATAATAATTTTTCCCGCAAGAGAAATGTTTTTGTATTTGCAATGGTTAATAAACCTTATGACAACGTGAATCATGATGACTCCACAAACTTTATAAAAATTCTTAACAAATCATGTTCATATCCGTTCAACATTTTAAATTATGATGTAATGTATGCAAATACTTGTCAAAGCGTAAGCATGCGTAAAATTTTTTATGATTCATAAAACGTAAAAAAGTCTAGGTAACTTCTTGTTCTTTGGTATTTATGTAACCATCACATCAATTTGATGAGAATGTAATGGATTTTTCACAAGCATTTAACAAACATAAAATATTCGCTGAGATTGAAAATAACTGCTGACATGCTGGTATTGAACGCTTTAAACTGAACTCAACCATGACCTTCAAAAGTATTTTGTTATTACTTCTTCCTCACTTCTTGGTTCTCATGCCATTTTTTAAAAGCATTGTGTTAAAGTATAAATCAAGAAGAACACTCAAATAAATAGTCAACAAGTCAAAATTACTTGAAGCGAAACCTTCAAAGCCGGTTTCTTTAATTCAATTTTGTGCCTTCTATGTTTGCAAAATGAATAGCTTAGACATGAATAATTATCTGAATATTCTTAACTTGACTATTTTTCATAGCTTAAAAGCTTTTCTTTTCTTTTTGTTTTTAGAAGAAAAGAAATATTTGAACTTGGAAATCAAAACTGCAGACATGTAGAAATATGAAGCAGAGAAAATTCAATCACAAGTCAAACGCTAATTATAGATTGACGTAAATATCTACTCGAGTTGAAGTTTTTTCTTCTCTTTAAGTATAATCGATTAAAGAATGTTTAAGTTTTGAAATTCAATTCATTATTTTTGAAACACAATGAATAATTGAAGTGTTTTGTCATTGTGGCAACTTTTCTCGTTTCTTAAGTTTCGTTATTCATAGAAATTGTTCTAAGACTCGCTTCGTTATGCACGATTTACCAACACACATTGCATCCTACACAATTGTTTTTTAATCTCCATTTTCGAGCATATTTAATTAGATTTTAATTCATTTGGAGAAAGACTTAAACACGATTACGAGTGTTTAGCTCGAAAAAACCTTCAACACGTTATTAATTGAAAATTGTATCAAAGATTTCAAAGAACTTTTTCTAATCATCCATCATCGTCTTTGATAACAGTAAATCAACTCAAAGGTTCACTGACATTTAATTCTTATTCACTTTTTGATTTCTAGTTTCACCAAAATCTCCAAAAAAAGACAAGTTTCGAAACTGTGAACAACAATAAATAAAATAATGCGAAAGACTTAGCAATTTCGACTGCTAAAAGACCGGCACGAGACTGATCATTTGAGATTTTTTCGCAACGTTTCATTCGGGCAAACCCGAGAGAAAAAGTTTGTTCGTACGAGTGACGTAATTCTCGTGTTTTTTTCGCAGCTCATTGCGGTGTTTACGGAACAGAAGCAAATATGAGTGCGAGACCATAATTGAGATATGATCAACAAGTAGAACCTTTTTTTCGGTGATTTACGCATGGTTAACTAACTTCCATGTTAATTTATAAATTCAAATTACGGAAGGAAGTGCAAAGCATCGGAAGTCGAACTATTTCAAATGATAAACATAAACCAGAAGCAATGAAACGATACCTTAAACTTTTCGGTAATGCAAATATCTGACAAAACCGGGTCTGCAACTTTTATTTAATTTTTTTTTGTTCTTTTTAACTTGTTTTTTCATCTCTTCTTTTTATCTCATAAATGACCTTCGATCAATGAGCATTGTAAGAAATCACCTTGGGTTTCCCAATAATATATCAATAACTTACTCCTTAGGAGGTTTTTCTCTGACAATGACAGGTTTAGGATCTAATTCCTCCTTTTCCTCCTTTTCCCCCTCTGGTGCCAGAACATGAAGAAAGTCAAAACGTTTCTTACTACGCGCTCGAAATTCATCTCGCGATACTTTCTTCTTCTCCTTATGTCCAAATATACTTGCGAACATCTTTAAAACAACAGTTTATATTGACGCATTAATTAACACTGATTTTTTGAAAGATTTAGGTCCAATGATACCGATCGTTAACTATGAAACTGAAACGTAGCGTGATAATCGTCTTTGACTTTCAAATTTTGTTCATTTTATGGTAAATATTTAAACGCTTTACGAAGCGTCAACAGCACGCAAGCTTTAAAAGAGAACTAAAGGTATAAGACAGATTTCGAAGCCAACATAAAAAAGCTTGAGATTAAACAAACCACCACGGACATGAGAGAGAATTCTGAGAAATTTTGCAATGTTAAAGCGAGGCTCCTTCGACTCGAATCTCATTGTATTGGTTGGAAACTGAACTTAAGACTTGCTACGTAAAAATAAGCAGAAACCGGTAAAAAAAATTCTTCATTACAATCAAGAAGAAGTGAATAAATATATTCGATGTAAACACTTCAATCAAACAAGTTTTTTACAAAAAGCTTTAGAATGTCTTAAATTTTAATTAATTCATCACGCGAGTTTGTCCCAATCACAAGCGAATTCCCCCGAAATCATAAAAAACACTAAAATAATGTCAGTGCCGTCGTTTTCGTCGCACGCATAATGTTGAATTGAATTTTTCAGCGCTATTGCCGGATGTTACTTCACACTAATTGAGCATTGCTCCGGTATTCGTTAGAAAAAAAAGGTTTTTGAGTCATTCGACTCGACAAATTGTTTGTTTTTCCATTGAAATTTAGAAGTTGAATAAAAATTGTCAATTTTCACTTACTTTTCATTGCACATAACTCGTCTCTTCTTGAATAAGTTCATCAGCATATTTGGTTTCTTCTTATCTTTGTTGATCTCACTTTTGTTTGTCACTTGACGTGATCTCCAACTAAACGGCATTGTGATAAGATTTATCAATGACGATGATAACTTTCCACTAGATCTTTCGTTCTTTATAAATTCTAAACTGATTTCACTTCTGGCAAGTTTGCTATCATTTAATAATGTGTTACTGTTTACTTTACGAGGTGATAATTCTTTAGTTGATCCACCAAAATCATTCCCTAACTGTCCCCTTCCACCCATTGTCATCATTTTGTCACTCATTATTTTCAATTTCTTACGAAACGATTCGTTCTGAGCTGCATCACGATATAAGATGGAATTCCGATGAATTGTCGTCGATGGGAAGACCACGTCCCAGTTGTAATATTCGTTGAGTAATTTCTTCTGAGTGGCAAAAGTTTTTGTGTTCTTTGGTTCAATCACTGGCGCTTTCTGGCTGAGTATTTTGTTACTTGGTGTCGAGTGCTGCTGAGTAAGTTTCTCTACGGTCTGTTGGTGCCTCTGATTTGTCTAAAACAAAAACGCGAGAATACAAATAAGTTTTGCATATATTTACAGGGTCGACTTATGTCATAAACACAGTTCAGATTCTTTTAAATAAAAAAGTATTCTAAATCCACCTCTTAAACTCTTCTCAAGTACAATCTTTATTATAATATGAATTAAAACTCTTTGTTTTCACTTGTCGATAATTAATGACGATCTCAATTACTAATGGAAAAAAATATTTCAAGATTGCGTTAAACTTGATCGTTTAAAAGAAAGCGAATGAATGCTTCAAGCTTGATCAACCCTAAAGAATTTTTTTTTAATTATTTTTAATGTTATTTGAACTTCTTATCTAATCAGTTGCCTTTGTTTTTCCATATTTTAAAAAAGTGTTTCAATTTCTCTAACAATCAAGGAACTCATAATTAACACATTTTGTCAAGAAATGATGAAAGTTTAAAAATCCTTGAAGTTCATTTAACTCACCTGATTATCAATGACTTTGTGGTTAAAATTTCTTCTGTAATCTGTTTGATTTGGTAACGTGTAGTCGAGATCTTGAAATGGTAATAAATTTCTGGTGGGTGTACAAATTCTTCTCTTCAGTTTCTTATTCGCTGTATTATTGAAATTTAATACGAGATAAGAATCACGTTTGAAGTCATCAGGCACATCAATTGCACGTTCTCCATAAAACTGGTAATGTTCTTCCGAATCGAGATCATCCAAACTATTGTAAGCCTGTGGCAATTCAATATCAGTGTTCGATTGATTTACATGTTTATATTGGAGATTTGGTTGACTAGTAGCTGCAGGCTGAATGTAAATGACATGCGGCGCCATATGGGGTTTCACTGGTGCATCCTCATTGTGCTTTATGATGATTGTAATCTTATTGTTGTTATTTTGGATGTGCTGAGTTATATTATTAAAGTTATTATAGTTTGGTCGAAAACTATTTGAAAACGCATCAGATGAAATTTCACTTGACTCCAAAGAGTCGCGTGTTGATTCACTTGCTATAAGTTGATCATTTCGCAGAAGGAAATTGTCATCATAGTGATGACGTCTGGAAAACAAATATTTAAATCATTATGTCAACATTATTGTTTTAAAAAGACGTCAGTGGTTTCTTTATCTTTCATATGAAAATGTGCGCAGAAAATTTTTGTTGAAATAGTTTTCAGAATAACAAAATTTAACTTATAACTGGAGTATGATGTAATTGGTGAAATAATAAATTTCTTTTCTGTTCAGTGTTCTCTTTAACCACACAATCAAAATTGTTTTGATCGGAAATGAACGATCTGATAATTTGTTAATAAAATTAATAAAACAAGTAATGAATGTGTGAAAGAAATCTATTAAGATCCATTACTGACCTCTAATAATTTCTCAGATGTTTTTAATTAAAATCTTTTATTAAATTTCACCAAAGGGAGTAAAATCGATCGAGAATAAAAAATCAAGGAGCGCCAAAGCACCACAACGAAACGAACATCCGATAGAAGCGATTCAGTAGCAAATCGATAAATGGGTCGAGCATAGGACGAAGTTATTGTTTATGAAACCATAAATAAGTATTGAAAACACGTGAACGATGAAAACTAAAATAAAAGCAAAGAAAGCTTCACGCTTTTATATTTTTAATAAATCATTTGATGACTTTGTATAAAGTGGAAAAGAGCTTTTAAAAGCATAAATCAAATTAAATAAATACTCAAGTTTAGGTTATCAATAGTAGCAATTTATAGATTTTTAAAGCATTTCCTACAAGTTGTAATGTAAACTGAGATATTTAAATCCTTTCAATTAACACATTCAAGCTCAATTATCTGATAGATTTAATCGTAATGATATCAATATCATTAATTTACAATTCTCAACGGCATCGTAATCGATTTGATCACATGGAAACTTGAACTGCTCAACAAAAAACATTCTGACAAATTCTTATTCTTTAATTTCCCATGGCATTCTATGAAAATAGAAATCTAATGGCATGAGTCACTCAGAATCATTACAACGATAATTCAACATCTCAGTAAAATTCACACAAGTATGATGATTAATGACATCCAAAATTACCAAAAACATTAAATAAATTTGCCTTTTTTTTGTTTATGTCGATGGGAAATTTAAAAAATTCAACTAAATTAAAATCTGAATCACATCTTTACCTGTAATGATTGTTATCTCGATCATAATATTTGTTCATATCGTAACTCTCCGACTCCAATTCATAATTGTTATTTAATTTCACATTATGTTGGATATCAAGTTGTCGCATTGGTTTTATTTTTGATTTATTACCGAATTTCCACCATTTCTTATCACCTTCCTCACTTTTACGAATTTTATCTCTTTCTTTTCGTTTTGCACCCATGAATTTCAACATTATAGTATTCCAGAATATTTTATAACTTTAGAAATTCATCGCATTTGTCAATAAAACTGTTCCAACACTTCCCAATAATTCAAGACTTTAATGTTCACTTAGAATTTTATTAGTTATCAGTGAGTTTATGTTAAATTTATTATGTCGCCGACAACTTGTAAACAATATTAAAAACCTCATGAATGACTGCGATTAAGAAACTTTTCTATTCTTATTTCATTCTTGTCTTTACTGCGCATGCTGACTAATCCCATTGATTGTCTCTTAACAAGAAATTTGCGAATTTCCTTTGTAATGCAAATGATCTCAAACTCAGAATGTATCTTAATTAATTTTACGAGAATTTTGACGTTGAACTTTAATATGTGCTTTGAAATCAATGTTACTGAAATAAACTTCTGACCCACAACAATGAATTCGCTGTGTTTCCGTCTGTTTCCCTTGGTAGCCAAACATACAACTAATGTGAAACTACATTAAACGTAACAACAGAAATCCACTTGTATAGAAGCTTGCCGCATACAAGTGGCTATGAAAAACAAGACTGAAAAAAATCGGAAAAATGAAAATAAAAACAGAAATTTCAAAATTGGATGGAAACAGTTATGACGTAGCCGCGTATTTCATTTAGTGAAACGCCATTTCAAGCCTTAAACATAAACATCATTTACAAACGTTGTTCAGCTCTTAATTACAATTAAAAAATGTTTTTAATTCAAGCTTCTTTTAGTTGGTATTAGTAGACTGCAGAGCAACGTGGTTATTGTACACTTTCGGACACAGTTCAGTGAACAATCATTCAATTGTACAAGTTTAGACTATGCAGAAGCATAAAATGAAATATAAACAAGTGTATGATCTGATTTGAAATGTTCCAGGTAGAAGTGCATAGAATTGCGTGAAAGTGCAATGCAAATGATACAAAACAAACTATGAAGAATAAATGCAACAAGTGACACAGGTAAATGAACTCTCCTTCGACTATTTACACAAACAATCTAATTTATGCTAAACCTTAGATCTAACTTGAGGTTTCTAAATTGAGCGGAACGACTTCGACCATTGTTAAGAAGAAAAACGTGAAAATTTAAAAAGAAACATTTCTTTGTTGATTTTTTACCGTTCTACTTCAGTTTTATTTTCTTTCTTGTTTTTTATTATTAAAGTTAAGATCTGAGAAATTCAATTTCAATTACCAAATAAAACTTTAATGAAAAAGTTACGCGTGTTACTTGGCCCTTCACGGTTTCAGTCGTCAACGAGTTCATGTGTTGAATGTTTAATTCATTTTATTTTATCAGAGAATTGTGACCGGTGAGTTCGTTTTGGTTGAAGTATTTACTGTTAAAGCTTTGATTTTAGAGAGAAAATCTTTAGCTTGTTTATCACCAGCTTGACTTCTTTGTTGGAGTGCTTTGAGAGATTCCATGCCTAATTTTAATTAAAGAAATTATTAAAAACCTTTTGTGAATTATAATCAAGGTCATTTACCGTCATTCTGAAGTCTTGTCAATGTTAAATGAATCTGTTTCTGAATTTTCTGCTCATGACTCATCTCAGGAATGTCGTTAAATTTTAGAAAAGCTTCTGCCAAGCATTGACTACTTGTGAACAATGACTTTCCTTTTATTGTGAAAACAATGATCGCATCTTTTAATGAACGTTGTTGAGAAGTCAAATCACTAATTTTTTTATAAAGAATTGAAGTTAATTTGTTTATTATATAAATTCAATTTAATCTCACATGTCAAATGATTGTTCATAAAGTGGAAAATGCGTGTCAATATCAACTTTCGTTTTTAGATCTTGAAATTTCAGAAAATCATCTGCGGGAACGATGTTGATCTTAACGAACGAATCACATTTACGATTATTTCCAATTGGCACCAGATTTTTGGCGTTAAGTATTTCAAGCTTCAATATGTTGTGCTTGAAGTGACAATGAACCGACAAGATACCGTAAGGATGAAAAGGTGACTTGCTAATATGTTGTTGCATTGTGTAGCGATCTTTATAATACTGATGAATTAACTTAGCAGTGTTCAGACCATAGCGCTCAAGAAGGTAATCAAGTTGCTTAACTTTTTCCACTACTAAAGTTTCTGTTTTCTCAGTCATTGTCGAATTCATGAACACATCTTGTGATGCATGAAGAATAATTCTTAAGTTTGAGTAAAAAATTGGAGGTCTCTGAACTTCCAAACTTTTCTGAATTAAGTCAGAGAAAACATTTAGAATTGTTTTCCATAAAAGATTTCTAGCAATTTTGTAATCTGCTTCATAAAGATCTTCATTGAGTGTCGTCCATGAATCTTCAATGTAAGTCAGAAAACGATCACCAATATCGCTTTCCTTTTTTACAATGTCAGCACCTTCGAGAATCAATTTTCTCATGGATGGAATCATTTTATCAATTGAAATTTGAATCAGATTTGTTGATTTTAATTTTGCATATTCAAGTGTTATCTCACATAATCTCGAATTGTTTAATGAATGTTCAGTAAATAAAAATTGAAGATTTTGACAGACATGAGAAATGTTACAGACGCAAATGCAAACTTCAACAGGCACTTTGAATATCCCAAGATTTCTCATTGCATCTGATTTCTCAACATGATTCGAAATTTTCTCAAAATAAATCATTGAAAATCTGCAAATGTCACTGACAACATTTTTGTCAATGTTTTCATTTTTGGTGACATTCAACAATTTCATGTTATTCCAGAAATTCTTAATCGAACCAAGGATTGTTACAGTGTCAACTGCTGATGTTGAATACTTTGTGCTGCTATTCAATGACTTAAGATTGTCTCCTGCAATCGCTCGTTCGATCCTAGTGATAAAAATATTAATTAACATTTTAAATTTTTAATAAAATTGAAGTTATTTACCTTGCAAGTGCATTAAATACCGAAGTTCTTGCAGTTCTACTACTCCCACTATCGAACCATCTAAAATATTCTTTCATATGGAAATCTTGACATCCAAAACTTTCCAAACCCTCGTCCGAAAACTTCTTTAAAAGGATATAAAGTTGAAATAACTTTTTTGTTGTTTCGGTGATTGATTCAGGTAAATTGTCAACTTTATTGGATTTGTTTATTTTGATCACAATCGGCTTGATGATATTTGATAGTTTTTTATCAAAAGTGTCGTACAAATGCTTTTTGTAACTTGAGTTTCCTTCACTGAAATAATTAAATTCATTTTAATTCTGCTTTTCTGATACAATTTCTTTAATCACCTCGTTAAAATTGTTTTGACTTTTTCAACAACAAATTCGTAAACTTTGTGCGATTCCTCCATTAATTTTATAAGTTCATTTAATTTGATTTCTGTTTCAATATTTTCGTTTTTCAGATGATCGAATCTGACAGCTTTATTTATGAACTTGTCCGTTCCTGTTGTAATTGATCTTTTGATTACTTCATCAAAGCTTATTTTTTTCATCAATTCTTCCGGAACATCAATTTTCTCAATTCTCCCCTGAATGATCATTAATTTGCAAAGAATTTCCTCCTTGATAAAATCCAGATTGTTTTCTCCGTAAAACTCTTCAATGAATTTGAAAAAACATTCACTTAAAATCTTTGTTGCTCTCCAAAACATTTCAATAATTAACTCGTTTTCTGATTTTGTTTGATCATTTTGAGTATTTTCGTTAACAAGATCGTCGTTATCGTTGTCGGTTGCCATTCCAAAACATGATGGAAGATAAAGCTTTGCAGATGTCATTAAGTTTTTGTTAGCATCAATAAATGTTTCATGTTGTAAAACTTCGATCACTGAATTAAGTAAGTTAACGAAGACCGCTAAATTTAGCGGATGCTTTTGATGAATTTCTGCGTAAGCTGACAATCGACACAATGTTAGCTGACCTTCTGTTAAATGTTTTGCCTTCGAATACAATGCCAACACTGACCGTCCAAGAAAACTAAAATTACCAAGCCAATAATTATGTGGCGTTTGTGAAGTATCCAATTCATGTTTCAGTAGAATTTTCAATAGATAAGTGTAAGCTCTCAAAGCTTCGTAATCAAAAAGTTGAATTGATAAAACACAAAAACTTTTTCGCTTCATGTTTTTGTTTTCATTTTCCTTTGTTGTGTCAACTTTTACTTGAGACATTTTTTCAAGAATCTCTTCATGTTTACTGTCATTGATTTCAAACGCATCTTTGATATATTTTATTGCGGTGTCTTCATTAATAGTCGGAAAGTCAATGTCAATGTCTAAATTTGAATTTTTATTCAAATATTGTTGAATGTTACACAAAACATCTTCATAGACTTCAAAAATCTGCCAATTCAAGCGTAAATTTATGCTTAGAATAGAGAAATAGAATATTAAGTTACTACTTACATATGGATCAACTGGAATTATTGTTGTTTTGTGATCCCACGTCTCACAAACTTCAACAGATTTGGTTTCATCTTTTCCATTAACGGAAATGTTGTCACTTTTGGTGTTTTTCACACTTTTTTGTTGATATTTCTGAGTCAATATTTCTCGCGAATTTGTTCTTAGATTGTCCAAAGATAAGTTGCATGAATAAGTTGAGTGTGGATCAAACTGCAATTGTTGTTCGTAGTTTGCCAAAAGCAAAGATGAAAACATTGATTTCGAGCTGCTGGTTCTGAAAAAAAATTGTCATTCGTCATTAATTAACACACAATTGCGTAGTGAGTTGGTCGTAAAATTTTTGAGAAAAAAAAGATATTCATGACCACAGTGACCTTCGATGACAAATTTAATTTGATTAGAAGTTTTTTAAAAATGTATTCATCCCACTTACTTCTTTTTGCTTGCACTTTTCTCTCTTTTTGGTCTCAAAGATCGAAATATATTTGATCCACGAAGACGAAATTCTTCGCATTTTTCTTCCATTATTGTAATGGATTGTCATGAAATTAACACAAAAACTTTGACTAAGTAGAATCACAGTTAATTGATTTCAGTTTATTTATTAAGACATGACAACAGACACGACTGTATTAGATAAAATAATGTTGTTAAATAGAAGCAAACGCCCAACTAAATTACTCAAAGTTTGAATATCAACTGAGTGATCGTCGAGAGAAGAAAAAACACAACAAAATTGTGTTGAAGACAAAACAAGCAACAAATTCTCTCACATTGACTGACTCTTAGTCATAAAGTTAAAACCTGAGAGAGATAATGATTGTTAATGATCGTCTCGGTAAGTTAGTGATAAGCTAAATGAAACGTGTCGTTTTGAATATTTTAAAAACATTCTCATAATGTCAAAAGAATGTTCAAGTGAAAACATTTTCATAATTAAATTATAATTAAATTCTTAATAAAGAAATCTTTAAATCAAGGATTTCTGATGTCATGAATCTCATTTGTGAAAATTAACATCAATATATTTGAGTGGAAATGCGTCACTAATCAACATCTCGTGGGAGACTTTCACAAGTTAATCTTGGTTTTTATTGCTACAACAACTTCCTTAATACACTTGTTGATACTTTGCCAATGCTATCAATCAAGGAAAGTAGAAGTAAAGCAAAGGCTGTTGCATGGAATAACAGTTGGCATGAAAAAATATCAAAACAATTTCAAGACTTTTGCTTTCAAATAAATTTATTTTATTTATTTTTTTGTTGATGAAACAGTGAATTAAATAAAACTGTTAAATAATTATTCTGCAGTAGAAGAAATAAATTGTTGCAGCAAATGAATTTGATGTGGCTTTTGGCTGTAACCATCAAAACATTAAATATCTTCAAACTTCATGAAAGCTTCTCTTATGTATGTGATTATTGCCTTTAAGACTTTTAAGTAAATTTTAATCTTTACTATTAAAATGAATAATTACGTCATTCATAAAACATTGCTTTGAATTCAAATGTCTAAAAAATATTTTAATTAATAATTTTACTCGATTTTCAAACTTCTAAATAAACTCTTCATAAAGTGAGAACTTTGTGTTTAAGCAAAGTTTTGTTTTGAAATGTTGAAAATGGCAAAACATTTCTTCAGGGAAAAAGTGAATTTTTAGATATGATTCGAAAAATTCACATCCATTTGTTGTTGGTGAGAAATCCTTTCCATTCCAGAAATTCAGTTTTAAAGTTTTTTCCACAAAAAAACTTCAACTGTCAATGTGCGATCGTTGGTGAGAAAGGAAATTCTCGTTCGCAAATGAAGAATCCCTAACACATCAACAGCTGCTTTAGTATGTGTTGTTCTTTCATGAGCAGCTGTTAAATCCTCTAAAGCGACAGCTCTCTTAATCCTATATAAATAGAGAATAAAATTAACTACTAAGATTATCTACTTAAATTAAGTGTTTAAATGTTCACTATGAGAAAGCTCTAAACATTGGACAGTTACAAGTCTGATCCACGTTATGTAGAACCATTTAACATAGAGAAGAATTTTATAGTCCAAGTCATTGACAATTTTTCTTTCTTTTTCTGAAAATTTCTTTATCAACATCAAAAGATTCCTCAATGAAGCATCACCTTCTGACTTCCACAATATATTCATTACTTCATAAGCTCTCAGTATCTTAATAAACGGAGAATTTATTTCTCTCAGAGTGTAATCAACTGCTTTGTAAACCTTTCTTCTTAATAAAAAGCCAAAATTGTCTGTAAATGTGAAATAAATTAATAAATTATCCCTTTATGTGAATTTTCTTCATCTTAAGTTAAGATTCAAAAATTTCTTCAAATGTTATGGACATATTTTTGTATTTTTTATTCGCTGCAATAATTATTTCAGTTACATCAGACGTGTTGAGATCTTGTGATCAATTTCATCATCATCAATTCAAAGTCGTCTAATATTGTCTGTTTCTGAATTAATTTCACTGACAATTTTTAAATGTTCAATAAAAACTTTCGGACAGATTTCAAAGTTTTCTTGAACTTTTCTCAGTGCAATCTATTTTGCAAAAGCATTTTCAACTTCAGATGTTTGAAAGCAGCATGTGATGTAAGAAGCTTTGATGCTTCAGGTGAAAGAAGACCACTTCATGAATACTTTAATAAATTTTGAGAGCTTTCAATCTCGTATCGTACAACTTTCTTTGTCAACATTGAATGTTCAATTGTCCCTTGACACTTATAACATTTTTATCTTCTAGTTTCACAAAATTTTTCATTATGAACTTCTCCAGAATTCAAGAAAAACATTTCTTTACAAATCAAAAACTTAATTCTCATTGCGTTCCTTTTTTAATGAACAAAAAATTTTGAAAACAATTTTATTATAAAAAGGAAACTCTCTTATATCTTCATTATTAACTCTTTTTATAGATTTATGACGTTGAAAACGTTTCTTCAATTTATTCTTTTGAATCTTCAGTTTTTTCATTTTTTCTTACTCAAGTTTTAAAGAAGTTTTTGTCTGCGACTTGACTTCTTCTTAACACTGAAAGCTCTCAACATCTTAAAGCGCTTTGCTTTATCCAATTTCAAGACTGTTTGATTTTTCTATTTTTACATGTGAACACTTTGAAATTGAATTTTATAATACAAATGAAATATTTGATCATCATCATCATGATGATGATGATGATGATGAAATATTTGATATAAATTGGAGGAAATTTAAGAAAGATTGATGAAGTTTTGAAAAATATTTTGAAGATAAGAAAAAGGAAGGAACATGCTAGGAAATCCAAATCCAACTTTGTAGTTTCTCTTATTTATCATAAATGTCAATATTTAATGTTTCAAATATTTTTGATATTGTTTGCCATTCACATTTAGTTGCATTTCTTCACAGAACTGAAATATTTACTCACATCCCAGTTTTCGATATCGTCAAACAACTCCATTAGTTCTTCGTGAAAGAACAGAATGATAAACGAGAATAACTCACTTATCTATAAGCTTATAAATAAAACGATTTGTATCATTTTGTAATTAATGGCTTTAATCAATCATTAACGATACAAGTATGTAAAATTATGACAATAACGGAATAGCTTAAAATCAAGTTTGCTAGCAAATTTACTGATTGATTACAGTTTGATATGTAAGTACTTCAATCAGTTGCGTTTTATTTCCTTCCTTATTTTAATAAATTTAAAGAGAAAATTTTCTAAATCGTACAAATTTAACTTTTCCTTTTCCTAAGAAAAATATCAAGAAAAATTTAAAATTGCAAAGTATCTACATAAAAATGCCTGCTGCTAAAATTATACAGAGAAAGAATTTCTTCTCCAAATATTTTCCTTTAAAAATATTTCTCAACATAAAAATTTTTCTCAACTGTTTAAAGGTTTTAAAATGTTCTACTTGGTGAACTGGTTGGCGTATTTAGTAATGTGATACGTGAAATGTTTGAGAAATTTAAAAAGTAGTTAAAATTGTAAAAGTTGTTTAAAATTTCAAACGTTTCTCTTCTTTCTAGTAATTAAGATTTTTCTTATTATATCTAATTAGCATAACTTAAGGACACATAAATTAATGTATACGATTTAATGAAATAAAATAGTATAAAATTATCTCAGGTAAACTTTCGGATCAACTGAAACAAAAAGAATTGTTAGAAAACACCAAAATTAACTTAATATTGTGCACAAAACTTACATCAAATAAAATGAAAAACTTTTGATGATTTCCACAATTCTGTTTCCACGTGTCTGTGTCTCAGGAATTTTCATCAGCTCTTTTGAAAAAAAATTTGTATGTATTCCTGGGGCAACAGAGAATGAAACTTTGCTTAAACTTTAAATACGTGACAATACGAATTTCCAAGAACTCGTCGTAAACTCGTCCCGAGGGATTGAATATGAACATAAATGATGATTTACAAAAACATTTTTATATTTGCTACATAAATTCAGTTTAGCATTAAGAAAATAGAAAAAGGATTGTAGCAAATGGGAAAAAAGATTTATGTGTGCGTCGCAAGAGTCATTTGATGGATTAAATTTAAAATTAAAATGATTGAGTAAATGATGCTATGAAGAAAATTCTATTAGATGTTGAAAAGAATTAAAGTTTGACATTTTTCTGTTTGCTAATGAAACAGACAACATCAAATAAACCACATAAATAAATTCAAAACAACACGAAATTTTCATGCAGTATATTAAAAGCTTTTAACTTGTTTTAATAGTTTTCGTAGAGAAAATTTATGATGCACATAGACAAAAACTCGTTCGAGCAAAACAATCAAGAGGAGGAGAATTTTGTCAATTACGTCATATTTATGTCGAAAGAGTTTACAATTTATTTTTAATTTTAAACTGTTTTGGGAACATTTATCAGCTAAGACAGAATTGACACAAGCCACTAAAACTGAAACGATGATGACGTGCATTTAAATGTTTATGAGCATACAAAAATTAAAACATAAACATGGAGAACAGTTTAAGGAACTTTAAGAAAAATTGGGACGTGATTATTATCAATTTTTTATATAACTATTTAGTTCTCTGGCATTTTATAAAATTTCCTTGAATTCCCAGAATATTTAATTATCTTTTCAAATCCCAACATTTATACCATTGAAAATGCTGTCAGCAAAGTTTATCAAGTTGGAATTGTAAACATAAAGTTTTTTAGTTAAAAGCAATTATTTTTATATCATTTCATCTTATTTTAGGACTGGAAAAATATGCACTTTGTGTGTTTTGCTAAAGCAAAAGTTGAAGATGTATTAACAACATTGTTATCATGTTTGGGTTAAAGTTTAAAGTTAAGTTGAATTTTAAGGTAATGTTGGATTCTTATATCAGGTGTAGTCACTCGAAGATTGACACAAGTCAAACATTGATTTGGATTTATTTATTAATGAAATCTCAATGTAGACATTCTTCTATTATTCAGACGATTCCTTGGCAAAGTGTTTGAAGATATCATCAATCAGACAATCATCCAGAACTTTCCTTTCGAGTTTCTATCAAGTTTTACCGAATGGATAATTTGTTTTAAAAGTAGTCAATGAAAAAGTTGCTGTCAATTCTTAATCAAGAGTTTAATTGTTTTTATATTTAATGTCCATTTAGAATAAGTAAGACAGATAGCACTAACAATTAGTTAATAATAAATCATTTAAATACTCTAAAGCTTTTAGTTTTTACGTAGGTGAGTCATAAAAATTAATTCACTTCGTTTTTTGAACTCTCACCAACAGGTGAAAATTGCGTTTAAATGTTTAATGAAATGGATTTATCTTATTTCAAGCAAACGTTTATGTTTGTAAAGTTTTTCCATGTGCATACACATTCCTCGGTACAGAGAAATTGCATTTGAGGAAAATAAAATTGTTTTGTTCTGCTTTTACAAATATAAATAAAAGAAGAAAAGTTTTTTTGCTTTTGATGAAATTACATTAAATATTAAGGAAACTGTTAGTAGTTTAGAAAGTCACTTAGGAAATACCGTTTGGTTGAGTTTAACGAATAACTTTTCACATATGACTTTCATTGTTGGCGCAGCTGAGAGAGACTTTGAATAGAAGCTGCATTGGATTGGAAGTTTTAATTAATGTTAATTAAACAAAGTCAGCAAGTTCTCGACTTTATCAATACGAAAAATTTGTAATCAGAAACTTGATAAAAGATTTAGTTATTTTACTGTAGTTAATTGAGTAAAATAAGAAACGTTATCTGAAGCTTCATCGTCTCATCAAAATCAAATTCATTCTTGAATTGTTTATTTAATATCATTGCAGTTGATCACTTAAAATATTTCTGCAGTTTTGGCAAAACTGCTACTCGGGTTTCATTTTAAGGAACTCAATTCAATGGATGCAGTTCAATGAAAGGATGCATGAATTTCTTTTTGCTTCGTTTGTACTTTTTTTATTTAAGTTTGCCTTCGCTTCCGTTCGATTTATTTTCCTCGTGATGATACATCTTCGTTCTAAATGGGATTAAAAAACCAAACACTTTTTACTTCTTCTTTTAGGTGGAAAGTTGCTTTGCTTTGCAGGTACTTTTTCCATTACACTGATCAATGAATGAAATTCTACCTCATGAAAAATGGTAAAAGTTTTAAAGAATTTTTTTATAAGCAACTGTGAAAGTCCATTGAGCAGATAAGACTCAAATAAAGTTGCCATCAGCACTCTTGCAACCGTGATGATATTCTTAAATTCAATGTGGAATTTTTATTTGTTTTTTTTAAATATTTTCAATAAGCCAACAGGAAAATATAAAATGTTGAGGGAAATTTTATGCATAAAGTTGTCATTTGTAAAGCTTCTCTTCTTTATTTCCAGCAAAGTTTTCTTTTGAACTGCACTCGAACAAATTGCTTAAGGATGCTTTACTTTCTTTTGATTTATTAATAGAAACTGTTTTATTCAAAATTTTAACTAAATTAACTACTTTTGTTATTTAAAAATATTCATGAAAAATGGAAAGTTTAATGAAAGTTTTTCTTTTTCCATCAGACTTGGATCTTACGACGGTGAAACATTTTTTTATATTTTTCATAACCATACATGAGTTTTATGGTTGGAACTTGCATGTTGTGAGATAGAAAAGAGAAGTGAATGGAACAAAAATGTTAGTGAATTAATTCAACATCAGAAGACTTATGGTGTGGCACGAAAATGTTTAAAATTTAAGGATCTAACATCTTTTAATATTTATCTACCACTTTGTTCTCTTGTACTTCTCTGTACATTAATTATGTTGCTTTTTATGAAAGAGTAAAATATTCAAGCAATTTTTAAAAGTCTGTCATCTCAAAAAAAGCATAACTATTTTTTTCGAGTTGTCTAAAGCAATTCTGCAAGATAAAGCGAGGTTGCGAAGTAAAAAGCGCTTGCAAGTGTAGACAATTTCTTACTGACTCGGTGAATATATTGAAAGGACTTGTTTTTGGAACACGGCCATTGAAAGTCGTTTTATGTTTTTTTTTTGTTTATGTTTGTCAGAAAAACTTTCACAAGAGACGATTGTTAAAAAGCGTTTACCATAAAAATGTGTCGAATATTAAAGAGGAAGAAAAAATTTTGAAACGTGTCACAAATGTTTAGAATTATTTTATGAAGTAATTTGAGTCAAAGTTTTTATACTAAAAGCCATCGATAATTTTTATTTCAACGATCAATTCAATCATACAACACAAGTCAACCATATGGCTGGAGGGAAAGAAATCATAAAACGATTTTCCAATTCTCACTTTGAAAAGTAATTTTTTATTCGTGAATCACGATGTTTATTTATTCCTAGGTAGCATTCTTTTGAAAAGAAAATAACAACTAATTCGCAAAGAATTGCAATATTGAGGGAAAGTTTTTTTACTGCTGGTAAATAGAAAAGAAAGTTTAAATCGTGCCAGGAATTTTCCATTTAAACTTGTAAATGAAAGCATGAAGGTAAAGAAAAAAAGTATAATTGCTAATAAATTTTAAAACTGTTTATTTTTCTGTTCATCTCCTCCTCTGTTCAATGGGTTTTAATGAAGCTTTCTATCATTCATAAGATGAGAAAAACAAATCCCATGCAATTACAAAATGTTTTCCACTCATCTAACTGTAGAAGCCAAGCGTTACAAGTTGAACAATATTATTATTTGTATTCCGAAGTGAAACATAAAGAGAACTACTTTTGACTTTTGATAATAGAAGGCGAAAATTTTCATGTTTGTGTAAGGATGCAAAGCATTATGAATTATTAAAATAAAAAGAAAACTGAATGAATATCTAAGGTTAATTTGAAAAATTTTCCACAAAGTTGAAAATTCAGTGAACAAACATTTTTTTATACAATTTGGCATAAACACAACATTTTATGTAAGAACTAGAATGGGGATAAAAGTCAACAAAGAAGATCAGATTGAAGCTCTTAATGGAATGAATTATCACAAAATTAAATCTCACAAATCCATTTCCCTTGTGTAACATTTTTTCAAGCATGTTCTGACTCTCAGTTGTGGTTTACATTGAAGTTTACATCCGAGAGAGTGAAATGACGAAGAAAATATTAGTGGAGGGGATGATTTTCTCATCTCGCTGCTTGCACTCTTAAAAATTCTCTCCTCAACAAAATTCACGCTTGCGAAAATATTTTTTATAAAATTTACTCTCAAAGTCATAGAAATTTCAATTTGAGATATTTCCTTAAGTGACAATCTCAGCATGCTGAGTCAATATCCAATAAATACACTTCACTTTGGCGACAAGAATTGTGTTGGTGACATTTTTACAACACCTACCTAGTCCTAATGCTTTCCTGGGAAACCTTGACAATCATGAATTTTTATATAAAAATAAAAAACGTAAAAAATCCACCACAAATACATGCGATGCTAAAAAATTGTTCCCTTAAAATTTTTTTTTATCCCACCCACATGTATGCATAAATCTCTTCACGACGTTTTTTTTCTCCCGAAACCATTTAAGCTTGACAATAAATAATTTTTATTAACTTTTCTTTTTCTTCCTTTCTAACGTGTTAAAACATTTGTGTCCCAAGCGATTCTACGAGTACTTACAACGCAAGACGTAATACAACCGTAGAGAAATAAAGGCAGAAAATATTCAACACAAAAAGATGATTGATTTCACTTGAATGATGTGGCATGGAATAAAGAAGCCGATCTGAGAAAAATTGGATTTAATTAGCTTAATCGGCGGGAAAAGCTGGATGCTTAGTAATCAATAGACATTCCAAACAACTCATTCCAATATTAGGAAAGTGCTTAAAGAGGTTTTAATAGGCTCAAGAATATTACGATGACGAGGAAAAATATTTTATGTGTGACGTAAAAATATTCATACGTACATCTGGAAAAATTCATCATTCTTTCTAAATCTTTGTCAATTTCTTTCCAACTTCTTCTTGTTTTTGGTTCTATAAGGAAATAGGAAACATGCCGTGGAAAATGTCACGAAGCTATAAATTATCCAATAAATAACGATCGGTTGAAGAGCGAAATGATGGAAATGTTTCATAAATTACTCGTGTTGCTGTGTCTCAGAAGGGATAATCACAAGGTCGGATTTATTTATCATCTTGATTGTTGTAAGGATTTTTGATGTCTCACTTGATTGCCGTCGTGTAGATTTCTTATTTATTAAATTTTCCTCCATGATATTGTCGCACTCCCGAAACTTTAACGTTAAGAAACAATTCAAACTCCAAAACTACCTCAAACAATCTAAAGTCGCTTCATAACAGATGCTTGAACGATACTTTTTCTTCTTTTTGTTTTATTCAAGGAAAACTTTATCGAATTAAAGAAAAAACAGATTTTCCAACTTTTTTCCTGTGACATTTTTTGTTTTTGGAAAACAAAAATGAAAATCCATTGACGAAACAAACAACATCCTTGTTCGTTAGCTTTTATTTTTTTCTTCAAGGAAACTGAAAATGGTCCCCGATATGATACAAGAAGAACGAGAAAAGAACAAAAAAAACATTAATAACTTTTGAACTGGAAAACATAAATCATCTTTGTGCTTCGCTATGAAAAACTACATAAATTCTCAGTTCCTTATTCTTATTCTTTTTGAAATTGTTAAAGGCTACGGTTTTTAGAGTTGGTGTAGTCTTTTCCTTTGAGATATGCTTGGAGATACGCGACTTGTCAAACTCTTTAAACGCTTCTCTCTTAAAGCAATCTTACGTAATAAAATCACGAAGAACACGATTTTTGTCTTTATCATCTCAATCTTTTCGAATATTTCTTCTGATGAACACAACATAGCTCACTAAACATAAAAAGACTTCAAAATCATGAGACGAAAACAATGTTTTTTCTTCTGATTCAGAATTTTTACTCTCCACTTCACCAATTTTATTTAAAAAGAACTCCTGAGTAAAGCATTGACATCAGATGCTTCACAAACTACGCTTTACAACAACGTTAATTTGATCTCATCTTACTGTCGAACGCTTATTCGCTTAATTTTCTTTCATCATTGTTCGCTGTTTGAATAAAAAACATGATTATTCAGATTTCTTGCTCAATTGATTTAAAGATGTTCCACCACCCACCCCCTTTGTTTCTCAAAGCGAGATATATTTCAAAGAAATTGGGAAGGGAAACGAAATTTTAAGCTTGGTGAATGAACGCTTTACAGAATTTTCCATAATCGTAATAAGCGGTTGCTTTCCTTTAATGATTATATGGAATCTCGCGTACGCGTGACGTTCCCTAAAGCTGAAGGTCAGTTTGTTAGTAAAAAAAATGAACATTCAAATTAATCCAATAACTTTCGAGACTAATACGGGTCATGTTAATTAGCTTCGTAATTATAATTAATAAATCATTACGTTGCTATAGCTTCTATTCCTCACATCGCATCGTTTCACTTCTGATCATTCCTGTCATTTAATGTGATGTTTACAAAAAATAAAAAAGAAAGAAGATAACGAGAATGAATATTCTTTTGATAACGCTTATCTGTTTGATGTTTCTTAAAAATCTAATTGAAGGTTCATTAACGTCCGACTTGACTATCAACTTTAAAATTTCTCTCTTAAACTTTTTAAATTAAATCATTTTATCACCCCAGGATTCATCCAAATTATCCTTTGAAACTTTTTAAGACACCTCAAGACACCTTTCAAGTTTTAATATTGAACATTTCGTGTTCCCCCCACTAACGCACGTCTCGCTCCAAATAAAATTTCATCTCAGCTGATTACTGTCAAGCTCTTAAAAGAATCTGTCGTCTGTCGCTTCTGTTCATGTTGCGTTTGTATGACTAATTTAATATAAGTAATTTTAAACAAGTCTTTCCATTGTGCAGTTTGTGTTTGATTGTCAGGCTGGTAAGTAGTAAAAGTAGATTGTCGAAATCGCGCAATCACATTTGAAGCGCTTTGTCTATTGATTTTATTTATTTATTTTTATTTTTATTCTAATGTCTTGCTGTTCCGGTGAAAATTGTTGAACAAACAATAATGATTTGAAAAGAAAGATATGTCTTCATACAAGGTTGAAGTTGTTGAGTCGTCGCCGGTGTCTGTGTTGGGAGAAGGCCCCCACTGGGATGTCGAGAGACAATCTCTTTATTATAACGATATCTATGGTGACAAACAATCGATATCTCGCTACGACTACAATGAAGAAAAAACGTATAACGCATTAATACCGGGCCACCCTGTAATATCATTCATAATCCCAGTCGATGGAACGAAAGATCAATTCATTGTTGGTTCGGGAAAAAAAATCGTCCTGATTCAATGGGATGGAAAAAGCGTAGAAGCGAAAGCCGTGAAAACCATCGGTGAAGTTGAAAGCGACATGCCTGAAAATCGTTTCAACGACGCTAAATGTGATGCTTTCGGTCGTTTTTACGGAGGTACAATGAGAATTGGTGAGGCTTCAATTCATTTCTTTATACATATCGAAATGAATTAATTCAACTCTCTTTAGAGCTTGAGCATGACATTTTTGAGAAGCGTCTTGGGACGTTTTATCGCTATACGAATAAGGAAAAGTTCGTGCCATTAAAGAATCAAATTGGTGTCTCCAATGGCTTAACATGGAATAAAGAAGCCAACAAGTTCTACTATATCGATTCATGTGATTTAGATGTGAAGGAATTTGACTTCGATTCAAAAACCGGAAACATTTGTGAGTTGTTGAAATTACTTTTCTTTTTACGTGGCTTTAAATATTTAGAAACTTATGCAGAATACGAATTACACAGAATCTGTTGTCGTTAACGAAATTTCTATTCATTTTGTGTCTGCAGTGAATTAATGAAATTGTGTATTGTTTTGAAACATTTTACAATTTACTTTCTCTCCCTTCTGCATCAACTGTAGAGATTTATTCAGTTTAATCCTTTATCGGTTCTGTTTGCATGTTTACAGCCAATGAACGTGTCGTTATTGACTTTACTGTCAATGGAAATCGCCCGAACTTTGTGCCCGATGGCATGACAATCGATACGAATGGTTCGTTATATGTTGCCACTTTTGGAGCATCAAAAATTTATAAAATAAATCCAACTACATGTGCTATCGAACTGGAGATTAATTTTCCTGCAGAACAAATAACATCAGCTGCATTTGGTGGACCCAATTTGGATATTTTATACGTAACAACATCTGGAAAAGAATTTAAGTCAAAGCAACCACCACCAGCAGGAAGACTTTTCAGAGTCACTGGACTTGGAGTTAAAGGCTTCCCAATGACTAGCGTCAAGTTGAATTGAGTAACGAACTTGTTGAAATTTTAACGAACAAATAAATCGTTGTGAAGCTTTTGTTTCAAAAAATAATGAATTAAAAATGTTTTTTAAAACAAAACTTCAAACCGTGCTGCTGCAAACAATAAACATTTCCAACATAATTGTTTCCTTTTTTGCGACAAGCACAGGATGCAAATAAATAAATGCTTCTTCCTGTAAAAAGTGGTACTTGAATATCATTTTTAATGTGTTGGCGATCATTTCATGTGAATGACATTAAAACATCAAGAGATGAATTTTTCAGAGCAGAACAATTTCATTTAAAAATATTTTCTTTGATAAAGTTCATCATAAAGCAGCATCCAACTACGTAAGGAATACAATTTTAATTTCAAGCTTAAAGCTTTCACTCATTTTTTATTCGCAAAGAAAATTGTAAGAAAATTTATTTAAATTATTTTTTAAAATTCACGTTGACCTAGAATTGAGTTTGGACGAGAATTTGCATTCAGCTTTTCCATTTGGGATTGTCAGTAATTCACTATCACTGCCTAGAAACTCTAAAAGATCTTTTCTCCCAAAGGTTTTTGTTTTTCATCAATTGCAGGGTAAATTACCTGGGCAATTTTTTTTTGATGATGAATGATGAAGCCTTAGGGATAAATTGCATTTTTTTTTTCATTGAATTCAGGAAGGCTTTTCATTAATAAATTCATTTCCTGATATTATTTATTCATTACATCCAACGTTGGTTTAGAAGATTTTTCTTCCTTGTTTTAATTGTGTTGTTTCTACCATTAGCGCTAATTTATTGGTGCTTAGGATAAAAAAATGGGTTGGCGAAAGAGAATCTTTCGGGATTGATTCAGGGAAGCATCGAAGAGGAATCTTCTGTTTAATATTTCAAAGTGTAGATTTATTGGTGCGAAATCTTATTTTCTCGACATAAATCGATGTAATTCGGAGAAAATATGTTACGAATGTATTTATTGTTATGAGAAACTTACACCCAATGATTCTATTTATTATGTGTAATTGAGCATATTAACTCTTATATCTTACCACATCGTAAACAATGAATTTGTTGTTATGTTGATTACAATCGACGTTATTTTATTGTCAGAATCACGTTGACAGTCTATTGTTATTTACTTTGTTAACAACAAAAGCTTATCTTATCTTTTCTTGTTTGTAAATATTCATCAGTTGACATCAGTCGAACTATAAACAAATGAAATGCAAGGTTTATGACATTTCCCAAAGACATTTTTCACAAAAAAAAAAGTAAATTGCAAGATAAGTAAACGAATAAGATTGCAAACTTCTAGTTTCAACTCTTATTAAGAATTTCTGATGCATGACTTTTAAGTCTTGATTTATTCCCAGTCGAATATCTGAAATGCTTCTGTCTTCTGAAACATCTGCAATCACTTCTTGAGGTTGAATTCTACTCATTTTAAATTCACAATGTTTATCTAACACGTTTGTTGAACAGGGAATTGGCATAAGTTTTCAGACACAATTTATTGTTAGTAAAGCTTTTCGTTTGATTTCTAATAGAACCAACAAATCGTACCAATTTATTGCCAAGATGCTTTCTCTAAAAAAACATTTCTATTTGAGAGATTTCAATTAAATTTTCTTCTAAAACTTTTCTCCACTGTGAGATTTGAAAACTTCACAACATTTTAATTGATCAGTTAACTCATCGATGAAACCAAAAACAAAACTTTAAGTAATTCTTTACAGTTTGAGCATCCAATTAAAAGTCTTTTCGATGAATAGTTCAGTAAACTTATTTGGTTTTCAATTAAATATTTTGGTTATTTTGAAGAGTTATTAAAAAAGAAATTTTGATGTTTACAAGTTGCAAAAAGAAACCAATATAAATAATGTTCCAATTTTTTGTTGTTGAAAACATCAAATACTTACATTTGCATTCTTATTTGGTTTGGGTAAAATTTCTTTTCAGTTTAACTCTGTTGTTCCGTATTCCGATGATCGAGTGATATAAAAAAAGCTTTGAATCCTTTTCTTTCTTATTTTCTAAAGCAGACAAACATTTTATGAATTTTTTCCTTTCCAAGAAGATACACAAAGCTAGTCGAACCTAAAGGCAACCTTACACGAAGCCTAACAAAGCCGATGTCATAAGATTGAAATAAATTTTCCATTTTCATTGAACTTTTCGGTGCTTTCAAGTCGAATGTTTAGAATTTTATTCCTCATTCTTGTAAGGTCTTTAAATTTGGATGACCTTTTGTGACTTAAAAGATTGTGGCATGTGGGTTGTGTGTAAAATTTAAGTTTGTGATGTTAAACAATTGAAATTTTAAGATCGTCTTCTTTTACGTCTAAGTTTAGCAACATTTAAGGATTTTTGTCGGACAATGAGAACTTACGATGCCATTCACAACATTTAACGTTGTGAATTGGGTAAGTGGTATGAATAAAATGCCATTGACTTCAGATTGAGGGGCGGATCTAAGTAGGTTAATGCAATTAAAGTCATGAAAGTGAAAGCAGACTTTGTAGCCATTAAATCCAAAAAATATGAAAACGAAAATAAAGAAACGAAATGAGATTTCTTATCCTCGGTAACAATTCGTTTGGGAATTACTTTCAATTCACTTCTCTCACTTGTGAGATGTTTAGACACGTGGGGGTCTTTGGACTTGCGAGTCACGTAAAAGATTTTTTCTTGCTAATATTTTATGGATGAGAAAATTGCGCCTCATACGAAATAAGCGTGTGTCGATAAAGAGAAAAGTAGAAGGAGGTGGCGTTGTCGGTTTGTTATGAGTTAAAGAAGCTTTTCGAGTGATGTGAGAATGAGAAAAGGCATTTAATGATCCACTTAATAACTTAATTCAACATAAAGAGCTCAAAAGCTCATGCGAAAATTAATAAAAAACAGAACATCACAGAACAGAAAGTTTTCTTCCTTTTCCCTTCATCTCGTAAAGCCATAAATCTCTCACGTCGCTTCACTCAACTCAAATCGGAAGAAGTCGCAAGAAAAAATTTTCCATTTGCCTTCGTTTCTTTCATCTAATCTTCTCGACGAAAAATTTTCTCTTCTGTTTTCGTGAGCAAATATAAAAACATTTCATAGCAGTTAATTTTTAATTGTCACAGCTCTTTTTATCACACAAGACTCTTGAAGCTTTTCTTGTCTTTCAACAGAAGAAAATGTGAGAATGAAATTTATCACTCAAAGCAAACAGACGACGAGTGTTTTTATCATTTAAAACAAGCATGAATAAAAAAATTAATGAAAATTTTCAGAATGAAAACGAAGTATGAAGTGAAAATATGTGTCAAAAATTTTTAGAGATTTTCTTGAATTTTCTTTTCGTCATGTTTTGCATTTACAAAAATTTTCAGCTTTGAGATTTTATTCAAAAAGTTTTCAAGAAACAAAAACTTTGAAAAGTTTAATTAGCTGCTATCAACAGGATTGTTTAACGACGCGATGATAACTTACCCAGTTAACGTTGTATTGAATTGGAATTTCTTAAAGTAATTTAAGTTCTTTTATCTATGAGCTATCTTTCGTTTTTTAATTTAGCTTTTGCTTTTAAGGAATGATTGTCTAGACTAGAAGTTATCTTAAACCTTTTATTGAAACGAGAAGTTCTCGGTTTAGAATCTTTTTCAACATAACTCAACGTCGGGTTACTTCTCATGAGGTTTTTTTTATCAGAATGCCTTGAAGCCAAATAGAAAGTCAAGACACTTCGACAAAGCTCCAGTAAAGTAATTAAAACAGACTCGCTTAATTTAACTTCTTCATTAATTTCCCATGAATTTCTTCTAAACCAGACGATGGGAAATCCCAACGTTAATCTAAATTCCAAAATAAAAAAAAATATTTCAAAATTATTAAATAGAAATTCTTATCCCGCAAATTGAATTTCATGAACAGTTTCAGGATCTCGTTCCGTAATCTGAATCCCATTATCTGTATTTAAACATCATTATGAGGATTATGATTGTGGAGTATTTGTTTTGAATTTTACAAGGCAAAACTTTTTTCCTGTGGATTTTGTAATGGAGTCAAAATGTGCTGTTGGTTGAAGTTGAAAATATATTTTGGCGTATTACCAGGAAAATGTAACTTTATATTGAATATGTTGAGTTATGAAGCATACTTTTTATGTTCAACCGAACACATAACGCCTTAAAACAAACAACAAATTAAAGGAAAAAAAGAATATTTAATCAGATTTTGATATTCTATCGGATACTAACATCTGCATTAACTTTAAACTGCAAAAGAAGATGATTTATGGCAAATAATATTTGAGACTTCTGCTTCATTTGTTAGTTCTAATTTGTTTTTTAAACATTTTTCATTTAAACACTGACACTCGACTGACACGAACAAAGCAGAAATTTAGAAATGTAACATTTTTTCTCCAGCTCTACCCCCATGAAATATTCCTTCCATCCATTTTATTGCGCTTGAAATCCTAAACTGTGAACAAAAATATCAGAAAAAAAATCTTTGTAGCATCACGATCAGCATAAAACCCGAATAACTTTCAAAAACATCATCAACAGTCGCTTTCAAATCCACGAAAGCGAGAACGAGAATCTAAATGTTCATTTACTTTGATGTCTTCTGAAAGCATTGGAATATCTACTCGCATTTGTTCAATCCATCGAGTCTTCGCATTTGAGTTGAGTTAAAGCCAGCATTTAAGTGAAAGGAAAATAACAGTTTTTGTTGCTGACAATCTTCTTGCTACTTCAAATTAAACTCAAAAATAATTCTTAACTGCACAGAGAGAAGCTTTTGATATCCAACTCAAATGTTTAATTAACATAAATGTTTCAAACTGTTTGGGTTTCATGTCCAATAATTTCATGGTCTGGTGAAAAACTCATGATACAGCTCATTCATATCATTCATTATCTCAAATGATGTTTTCCCAGAAAAGTTTCACTCTGCATTGATTGCATAAGAGCTTTTTATCCTTTCGTTGCAAAAATTTATATATATAGATACTTATATCCGTTCTGAGATCTCAATTTTCATTCAACCTGATGGTGAAATCGTCCATGGCTGATCTCAAGTACTTTCAGAAACATTTTTTGATCTTTTTTCTGTTTTTTTTTGGGGTATGCTCGTAAAGTTTTCAATTCTCGTTAAATAGTTTTGAGAAAAGTCTCTCAACTTGTCGTAGCTAAATGTTTTTTATGGGAAGGAGAGAAGCTGGCTGGTGCCCATGAGGGACCTGTTAGACAATGAGTACCATTGTGCTGGTTTGAGAAACTCACCAGTCATCATCATTGTGTGTAAATGGATAAAGGGGTTAAATGCTCAAACTAACATAATAAATGATTTACGTACAAAACTTCATTTACTCTAGCGCAAGATGTTCGTTCATAGCGAAAGAGCGAAAGAAACAGAAAAGAATGAAAAGGATTTTCATAAACAATCCCTGGATATAAAAAGCATGATGGGATGAAGACTGCTTTGGGTATGCTTAAGAAATGTGTGCGTTTTCAAAGTAGAAAGCATAGACAAACTAAGCCCACACGCTTCACCTGTGGAAAGCTGAAAAGCTTTTAAAACTCTTTGAGGATTTGTAATCGTTATTCGAAGTCATATCTTGGTAGAAGAAAATCTACGACAATCAACCACATCTGGTGTTTCAAAAAAATTTCTTCACATCACAAATTTTTTTCTTCCTTTTTTTGTCGTTGTCGTATTTCTTCTACTTCTCATGTTCTCAAAGAAGCATGTATAAGAAAATAACGTGAAACATCTATTTCTATACTCACCGTCGTCATCAAAACAGCATCATGTAATTTGAAACAAATTTTTCGTCGTTAAGAAACAAGAAGGCGAAGTTGAGCGTAGAATTTTTTAGGATCATAAACAACATCGGAACAAAAGGAAAGGGAGAAAGGGAAGGGAGGGGAATGCTGCAAAAGTTTTCCCATTTATTTGTTCCGCATATTTTTCTTTTCCAAAAAAACATGTTTGTAGTAGCGTCACTGAAGAACAAAAAAAAAATATAACAAGACTGAAGAAGAAAGGAGACGATAAAGATTTTCCCAAAGTGGTGTTCAACTGTTCACTACGGATATGAAAAACTAACATAAAAACGTTAATATTCATGGTAGAGATTTATGAATCGAATGTGGCTGGAAATCATTTACCGTCATTAGTTCACCTTCACCGCATATTGTGGAGGAAGTTTGTGTGAAAAGTTTTGATTTATGTGAGAATTAAAAGATTATCAAATGGAATTTCATTGCTTAAGCCTTGAGGAAGTTTCATATTGTTTCAAATATCTTCATTTTTTAATTTTTTAAACTTTTTCTTTAACTCCACAAATCACTGAAAGAATTTCCATCTCATCAATATGCAAAATGACTTCGATTGATGTCGATGAAAGAAAACACTAGCTAAACTGCCTCATTGGTCTAGTGGTCAGGTGTCGGAATTAAATGCAAGTGTACTCTTGCAGGTCCCAGGTTCGAGTCCTGGCATGGACAAAAAATTATAATGAGGTTTTAAGAAGTTTAGATACTTCGGCTTGATAATTAAAAAGTTTTTCGCCAACAGGAAAGCGAGATATAGAGATAAAACAGATTTGAGATCCCTTTGTATCGATTTAATATGCATGCCTTGATGCATGCATATTAAGGAAAACAATGAGAGAATTCATACTGAAAAAAGGCTCTATGGAACTGTACTGAAAGCGAAACAACTCTCTCTCCCACTAATCTCGAGTATGGGACGAGTAAATCCCTCTCCGTGAACTTCTGTAAAAAGGCTTGTCTGTTGAAGTACTCGCGTTGAATTTTACTAACAGTCTTACAAATTGTTAAAAATATAAAGAAAAGAAATTCAATAAAATTCACACATTTTTTTTTTTTTAACACGAAATGCCAAAATGATGATTGCAATAAAAGTGTTCATTGACGTGTAATAAAAAGCTCGATGGGTGGCTGCCAATCGGGCGTCAATTTGTGTTCAACTTGCTGCTATTATACTGTTGATGATTCAGTTCCTGATATGAAAACTTTCTTTTTCCCAGGAATAAAATAAATCGAACACACAACACTTGTAGACCTGCTGCTAACTTTCTTTGTACCTTTCCTTGTATATTTAAGTCAAATACGATTAACAATAGAAAATCCTGAGATTTCATCATGCAAATCACGTAGGAATATTCATTTTTATTGACAGATTTTTACATTTCCCTTTGTTGCCTTTTTATGAAACTTTCTACTCGTCCTTGTTACGAAACGAACGAAATGAAAGTATTTTCCCTCGATATTTTCTTTTCAATGCGGTCATGAAATAATATTTGAAGTGATGCTAAATAATAATCGTAATGTATTTTCTCACATCATCTCACTGCGTCACTCGTCCATATTGATCAAAATAAGGAAGAAGAATTTTCGTCAACATTTCCTTCGCATGATGTTAAAAGATTTTTTTTTCTTTCTCGTTTTCCGCAATTCTTATCGTTATCATCACGTTCGATTGTTAACATTTATTTCTCATGTGTGTGCTGCTTCCGCGTTCACTTAATACTCGACATCACCAGTCATGGGAAATCATACGAGGGGCTTATACGCTGCTTCTGTAGGTTTATTAATTTGCTACAATGTCTAAGTTATGTGTACGTGAAAGTGCCAGAGTGAGACAATAAAAAGTAATGATAATGATTTGCTGCCTGGGTGAGAAGTTTTGGTAGTTTATAAGACAACAGTGGCGTATTCAGTTGAACTTGTCGATACTTAATTCCGCCTACACCACCTTCAAACACGCTCTACACATCTCATAAGTCGAATGGTAAATCCTAATGTCAAGTCCTTGTCGAATGTTCTCATAACTGTCGATTCAATCGAGCGGAAAAATGCTTTCATGTATGGAATGCCAAAAGCAAAGGAAACAGTTGTTATTGGATGGAAAGGGAAGGCGAGAGAAGGAAAACGGTTCGGCTCAAATCAGCAACACAGATAAGGGATTAGGGAGAGGATCGATTGAAAAATTGAAAATAACCGTTTTCATTCCATTCCAAAAGCAAAGAAATCAATGAACTGTTAAGTCTGATAACTCTTTTATTTCCTTTTTCTTTCGTGATCCCCACACTTTACACTTTCCCACACATACTCGAAAGGCATTCGTATTGAATAATCTTCTAGTTGAGGGATTATTTTCTTCTCTTTACTCTTCTACTCTACTATATCAACACATAAAGCACTCTCAATGGAGCAGTTTTCATTTTTTTCCCTTTTTTGCTTTCTTTTTTTGTGTGAAAAAGCTGAAATGTTGCGTAAATGAAGAGCACAGAGAATGAAAGCGAAGGTGGTTTGGAAGTTTTGGCATACATAGAGTATTAATGAAAGTGCTAATAAAACTGAATGAAGCCTCTTGTGATGTTTAAGCGCGTTTCGAAAACTCCTATGGAATTGCAGAATTTCTTTTTATCTCAAAGCTTTCAACAAATTTGTTCAATTAAAACAAGAGCTTCAACATTCCGTTTTTTTTTTAATTTGCATTAAAAATTTTCAGGAAAACTTATAAAATATTAAATTAATAAATGTTTTACATGACTAGAACTTTCATAAGCTGTGATATGCATGATGTTCTCGTTGATACTTAAATAAGATTAGTGAAAAAAGTTTCTGAGAACAGAACATTGCCACGAATGAACATATTTATATAAGTATGTTGACCAAATTCACAATTTCACGTCCGCCTATAAAAATATCAAATTCTTTCACTCCTTAGACCGCCCATTAGAAAAACTATCAATTTGTGTGTGTTGCTGACTACGATAGTTGCTGCTAATGGAAAAGATGTGAAAAAAGGAGAGAGAAAAGTTAGATGTTAGCACACCATGGTGTGTGTTGTTCTTGTACGCTTTGAGAATGTTCTTATGCTTCAAGCATTTAATGATTCATGTCCAAACTTCATCTCTCATATATACAACACGTTTGTCTTACATTTTTATGAGCCTTCTGGACGTGATCATCAAAAGATATTCGCCAAACACGCGTCTCTTTTTGTTCTCTGTTATCAAATTACTGTCCAATAAATCCGGATTAAACACAGCAGCTCGCGCTGGCTGTCAAGCGCCTCTCACATTTTATTTCTGTTTTTCTTTTTCTTTTTTTTTCTCGAAGCGAATCTGCGTCACTTACAGGAAGGCTTCTTGAGACTTCCGCCCTATCGAATGAATCACTTTTTTTGTCTCATGCATTGAAGGGTAGAAAGGGAAAATAAAACGGAAGAAGGCGCTTGATGCCAGATGCTATCCTGAGAAAAGCACATTCCATAAAAATAAATCCATTAATACCAAGCAATCCTTTCACTCTTCGCAGTTGCTGCATGTTTTGTTTGTGTTTAACGAGAACAAAGTGGAAAAATTAATAAAACTGAAAGTTATTGCTGCGACGCTTTCGGTTAATTAAAAACGAAATGTTGTGAGAGTGAGGTAAACATAAGCAGAAAGCGTCAGCTGTCACAACTATGTAGCTTTCAAGATGATTTGGGTAAGAAGAATGATTCAAAGCAATTTGTAACACGTGACTTTCTCTTGCTAAACATTTGTATATATCATGAGTCAAATTTATCACAGAAAATATTTTGAGGTGTTTCGGTTTTAAATGCGGAAGTTTTGTTTTTTAAAATGACTTGCAATTTTTGTACTCAATTTGTACTGAAATTAACAAAGAATTGCCTCATAATGGAACATTCCAAAAACTTTTCTTCTTCAAATTACAAATTCCTCGCTTGTGTGTCTGCAACGATGTTCCATGCTTGCAAAAAGGAAGGCAAAAAAATGCATAACGACATTGAGCATTATGCAATAAAAGTTGAGCGAACTTCTTTTTTGCAATTCATGGCAAATTAAATTTGCATTCCGCTTGTAAGTTTTCCTCAAGAAGATTTTTTCCCATGAATTTGAAACGACATTTGAAAGGATGAAGAGAAGGAAAAGAACAGTGAACAAGCAAGAAACTGCTTAAAAAAAGAAGTGAAGAGTTGAGTTACATCAAAGTTAACGAAGATGGATAAAGCAAAGGTCCTAGATCTGTGCGAAACTAAACATGAGAAGCTTACAGAATGTAATTTAATGTTGAAGTTAGAGAATGGCGGGGAGAAAAAAGATAAGTTTCATTTCTCAATTTCAGTATCAAATAAATTTGTTTGCATCACTTAAACTTGAAGTTTCTCAAAATTTCTTTCAACGTTCATTGCTCGTGAGAATGAATGAATAAAGATAACAAGTGAAACTTTGATTAAAACTTTTAACTTTAACAAGCTGTAATTGCTTAAGCACACAGATAACTTTTAACTTCCGTCACACGATTTTCCAAATGAATTTTATTTCACGCTTACAAAACTTTTCTTTTATGTCTTTTTCTGCCTGATTATTTCATGCATTTTGAGTTTCAAGAAAAGCTTTTCATGTAATTTGGAAAAGCGTCGCAGACTGAAATTCTTCATGCTTTGAAATTCAATTGACAATTTCCAAATTTAATTCCCAATTGAACATTCGAATCAGCTTTTGGAAGGATCTCAGCTTATTTATTTTTTATTACTTCCTTCAATACAAAACCGTGTCTTTATTTATTGCACTTGAACATTCAATTGTTTGAATGATTTTGCTCAAAGGAGATATAAATGATTTAATTAAATTCAACGGAATCATTGACAGTTTAACGACCGCAATATTTCATCTGCACTTTGTTCTCGTTTCCTTGACATGTTCTCACCCGTAAATATTTAGATTTCATCCACTTTCCGTTCATTGATATCAAATTTTGAATGTGTCATCTCACAACTGGATGGAAACATTCATGTACTTGCTTCTGGTTGAATTTAATGTCAAATTAAATCCGGTTTTCCATGCCACCATCATCATCATCTCTTTCATAAATATTTACGCTTTCTCCACCATCATTAATGTACTGTTCATTATTCACCCGAGTTTTTGGACTTTATTGTGGTCATCATGCAATGAATTCTTATCAACTGCATTTATCACCCACACTGACCCGAAATTCTATATCACTTGTGCTGCAATAAAAAATAGAATGGAAAGGCAACATAAAATGCATATTCGTTTTATGAATGGTCACAATGTGGTGCTTAATGTTTGTTAAATTTATTTTTTAAAATAACTAATGATGTAGAGTCTTGCAAACTTTCAAATTCATAATGAATAGAAGACAAGCGACAAATAATGAAAGCAGCTGATTTGTAGACATGTTGTTGTAATAAATGACCATATAATTGCTCAGCTCGTTCATCAAACCGATAAAAAGGGACTTTTAAAAAGCAACTAGCGTGAAAAGTCCAAATCGTAAACTTTTCATGAAGCGGAAAATTTCAAAGCAAATAAACATTCTAAGGATTCAAAAACTTTTTTTTTGTGTACTGCGTCAACAAGGGCAATGACACTCCTACTCAAAATATTACTAAACGACATGGGATATTGAAATAACTCAACCGAATTACGTTAAGTGTAGATTTCCCATAGTTTTCTATGCATGGTTTGGTCACATAAAACATCAACAGAGAACTACCGTCTTTGACTGAAATTAGAATAAAGTTTACATTTGAAATTATCTTAAAAGCTGTTTTGGGGCTTCTTACAAAAACATGCGGGCTGCATACAGAAATTGTTTAACAGACGTGTCGTATATTTAGTAAAAGAGGGTGGAATAAAAGGTAGGAGCAAAGCCGAGAATGATAAGATTCAGAGATTAGTTGTCGTCGTACGTTGGTGCAGACCTTCTCTCAAAATTACAACTTACAATGCAAGGTGAGTTGTACGGTAAACGAGTTCAGAAGGCGAAATCAGATAATCCGACATTGTATGAAAATAACTTGAGCACATAATTTTCAGCATAGCATTAGCATCCTTTGCATTGTGAGCAGCTGAATTGAGATTTCAGAAGCACGATAAATGAGTAGTAGGTTCAATTGTGTTCATCCACCTATTTGTTGTGTCTCTGATTTCCTAGACATTTTTATTCATCGAACATTGTTAGCGAAAGTTTGTGTCACTCGATGAATAAAATAAGCAAATAAAATAAAAGACAATTTCATCAATGATGTTTTCGAATTGGATAATTTGAAATTGAATAGAAACATTTACATTTATGTAACTAACAGCTCGTCCTACATTAGAAGCCAGCTTTTATTCCATTTATTTCCTGTTATCTAACTCTTCTCCAATGCTATTTCGTTCGTATTGAATCTATGAATAGCATGGCTCTGATGTGATGAACTTAAAATTGGAATCGTAATGTAAAATAAACATTTAGAAAATGTTCTCATGGGAATGCGACAAGCCAAACACAATCATGTTTACGACACTGATTTCAAGCTTCACATCGAACTTTTGCCTTCATTTTGATAAAATTATAATGTGGATGATTTTGATGTAAATTTCACTAAGTGGAAATCAATTGAATGTTTGAATTGATTTCTGAGGAATCTTTCATTGATATGAGTACAATGAACTTGCATTGAGATAGTTCTATAAAGCGAAATCATTTGTAGAGCTGCTATTGAACATTTACGATGGAACTAAAATGCTTTAGTATCTGGAACAGGAAGTACATTACTTCTATTGGGATGTTCGTATGTTCTCGTTTTTTTTTTATTAAGCTTCTCCACTGTTCGATTGTTGCTTATTCCACTATCGTATTTCAAGATATTCAAGGGCATAAGAGGGAATCGTAAAATTGATGTCGTTGCTATTTTTATTTTCAGGATATAAAAATCTACACAAGGAATGCTTCTGCATAAAGAATGAAGTCAAAAGCGACAAAAGATTTGATGTGATCCAATATCCTTTTCTATCATAAATATTTTATGAACTTAAAAATGTACGCAAAATAGAGCGCGAATTCACATCAGCTTTCATTTGATTATTTTAAGTCCCTGTGGATTGGAGTTCAAACTCAAACGCCTACAGTAACAAATACAAAAGATTTTGTCTCGAAAATTATATTAGGAAGCATTTTTTTGAAATGTCTAAAAAATTTCATTAATTTTTTTATCTCTGAACAGTGATTAAACAACATCAAAGGATTTACAATCAGATTCATCTATGGAAAGGACCTTCGGGATTTGCTCGAACATTTCCCAGTTTGATGTCGTCCTAAATCGTTTTTGATCTTGAAATAGAATAAATCTCAACCTCTGCTTTTTATTCACAACAGAATCATTTAAATTTATGATGAAAAATGTCTGAAAGGAAGACAAATAATAATAAAAACAGAGAAATGAACATTTTCAGTTTCTAAATAAACCTCAATCCGATTTAAAATTTTATATTTTCTTAAATATTATTTTCATGGTTATTTCTATAATTTATTCATAATAGAATTCAATTATGTGATTTTCTGTTGCTAAGTTTGCTCCTTTTTACTTAAATTAACTTCTTTATATTTACTAACTTTACATGATGTAAAATTACGTATTTTTCTGAAAAGGTTTTTAATATTTACTTTGAAGCTTTTCTTTTACAAAATTACGAAGAATTTTCCTCTCGTCACTCTTTGCAGATCTCTCAAGTTTTTCTCATTTTCATCCCCACCACAAAATTCTCTCATTTTCCTCTCTAACATGTCTTCAGAAAATATCAGGATGAATTTTCCTTTTATTCAACGAGAATCTATCTCCAAACTTTAGTTTTAATTGTGAAATTGGTGAGACGTGTGGAAAAATGAAAAGTTGCAATTTCTTCCTTTAAAAACATAAAAAAATATAAACAAAAAAAAATCAGAAAGAGAAAAATTCTCAAACTGTGAATGCAAAGAGAAAAAAAAAAGAAAATTATTCCCAAAGAAGAAAGCCAAAAAAGAAAATTCGAGGAAAATAATACGGATATTAAGCATCACAACATCGAGCAAATGAGGATAAAATGTCACAAACGCTCGTCATTGTCGTCGGATTATGTGTCGTGAAAATGGCCATAATTGTTAATGGTAAGCTAAGAACAGCAACTTGCTTGAAATGGATATCAACAAGATATCCCATTCCATTAAAACAACTTGAATGTTAATTTCATGGATTACACCATGGTTGAGCACTTACGATACGAAGAAAGTTCGATAAATAGCCGGAAGTGAAAGAAAAAGTAGCTAAATTAATTTTCAAACGCTCGTAACCCAATCTTGAAAAACAAGAAAAGAAAATTGATTATAAAATTAATTAAACTTCCGAAATCTTAGACGATTGAAGGTTTTTTCCGAGTTAGCTCTTAAAACTTATTTTAAATGAATGATTTAATGCTTGTTTGATTTTCCTGAGATCACTTCTGGTATACATAGTCAGAGTGAGTCGTAAATATTTTCTCTTCACTGAATATATTATTTAAAGCATGATTTTTTACTTTTCCGGAGGGCTATCCATTAAGGGACACAAAAACGAAGTGAAAAACTTTTCATCATTCTTCTTGTTCGACCATCGTGAGAAATTTGTGTCGTTTTGGTTATATTGATCTCTCTTTTTTTTCTGCTCCTTTTCACTTATTGCTTTTCTATCATACGGGTAGCAATGATGGGAAGAAACTCATCAATTGATTCACCAGTTACCGAGATAAATTTCCCGTTCATTCGCCCACCACTTCCGAGCCAACGGATGATGATGTGCTTCTTTTTTTTAAAAATAAATCTCCACCTTATCATTTACTCAATGTCAGACGATATGACACCGAACTTCATTCATTCAGTGACATGGTGTGAACATAAATAAATGTTTCTTATTATAAATATTGATGTTTCATTGCGTGTTCGGGTGGTGGTTGGAAGAGTTTTGTGTCAGGTTTGATAGAAAATCATCGACACCCTTCGAAAATAAACTTCAAATAAACTCGAACCCCTGATGGTGATAAATGATAAACAATCAATGTTCGGAAATGTGTTCTTTGGCCGTAAACGGAGACAATTTGAGTTGGATGTTGTGTGAACGGGTATGCGTGGGTGGAAAAAATGGAAAACATAAATAAATATTCGTCATCGTGGTGCACACGAAATGATGAAACGTTACAAGCCTTCATACATTGCTTCGAAATTCCATGAAATGAAAATAGAAAATTTTCCTTCTTCCTCCTGCCATTTGTCTGTCCATTGGACATAAATCATATTTGTGGATTGAGGCTACCAAGAGTCATCATTTTTTTCCTCCTATCTCTCTTTTTCTCTTTAACCCGAAACTTTCTATCTCTCGTACCACCCGAACACATTATTCTGGCATGATTTCACTTTGCAAAATCATCATCACTGTGAAGAAAGCTTGAGTGAAATAAATTTTTGGTTTCCTCACGGTGAAAATTTGTCACTTTTTTTGTGCCCTGTTCAACTCCGATTTCAGTCATAGTCGCTTGTTTATATCTTGAGGCGATTGGGTGAATGAAGAGGTTTTTTTGGATGCTATGATTAAAGAAAATCGAGATGGGGATGGTTGTATGTTAATGGATTATGTTTGACTCCCTTGGTGAATCTTTAGTGACAGTGATTCATAATAATTTATGTCAAAAGGTGTGTTGACGATCCGTAATAATTTTTGTCATCTTATTTAGGATGAAATTTTCGATAGATTAACCATTCGTTCACCCCTTTACAAAAATACTTTAAAAGTTTGCTTTGGAATTTAAGAAAACTAAATTATATTTGTTTCTAGATTTAATTTTATTCCAAGCAATTTATTTAACGTCGCAATGCACATCAAGCGATGGCTGCTAATGCCATCTTTTCGTTCTTCTTCTCATCTTTTCATCGTACGTTGGTATCATTTGCAATTCTGTATCGTAATCTAATGCCTTTCGAATTAAGTTTAAATAAAATAAATATATGTAAATTATCTAATTTCAATGCTACAGACGAATGTGTAATTTTATGTTGAAGTCGATGGCGGTCTTTCATTTTTTCCCGCAACAAAACTAAAGAAATCTTGTTGCTGGTTGCAAAATCATCTTCTAGCGCTGCTAAGAAGTTGTTTCAAATTTAAAGTCTTTAAAGCTTCAAGTGATGGTTTCACTAGCTATAATTATGATGATGGTTTCATCTGCATCTGCTGTAATGCTTTCACAGCGCCATTTTCAAAATTTTATTTTTACAGGAACTTAGTTTCATTTTTAAAATTTTCTTTTCACAGGAATTTAGTATCATCTCAGTTTTCAGTTAAAGAGAGAATTTGGAATTTAAGTGTGTTCATAGGTAGCATTCCTGATGATTTGATCCTAAAACTGCCTCATAAATTGAAGAATATTAATTTTCGCAAAGGTAAACAATCATTTTGTCCATATGGACTCACATATGAGTGCATCAAAAATGACCTTTCTATGTCACATATCAAGGGGCGCTCAATAATTGACGTCTCGTATTTCAAAAATTTCAGGAGCAACAACAATGACCTCTCAAATTTAAATAAACAAAAATGGGAGAGTATCATAAATGACGTCTTTAATTTACAAAAATTTGAGTATATCATAAATTACGTCTCAAATGTACGGAAATTTTACGTCCCAAATTTACGAAAACTTCAAGAACAATCTATTCAAAAGGACTTTCATTCTCTATCTGTTTCATTGAAATTTTATTTCCACATAAAACAACACTCATTTAATCATAGAAAATTTCGCTCATATTCTACAGTTGAACGCCGGTAAGCGGAAATCCGCTTTCGACGAACTACAAAAGAAATGTGGAAATAATCTAGTTGATATACTCTTGCTTCAAGAACCAGCATTGCACAAAGGCAAAGTTNAACATCGCCTCGGATAGTCAAGCGGCTCTCAAGGGCTTAGCAAAAATTAAATCGACCACCAACACCTTATCTAATTGCAAGCATAGTCTTAACACGCTGGCCAAGACAAACAAGGTGAGACTCTGGTGGGTTCCTGGTCATAAAGGTATCACGGAAAATGAAGAAGCAGATAGACTTGCAAATAGAGGGATTGATAAAGAGTTCATAGAAATTCAAACTCTTGACTCAACTGCTATTTCAAATATGAAAATTGAGAAATGGTTGAAAAATGAGATTAATAAAATATGGAATGATGCTCCAGGATTGAGACACTCCAAAATGTTGATGAAGGAACCTAATGCTCATAGAGCCAAATTTCTTTTAAATCTAAGTAGAAACGATCTAAGAGTTATGATGGGTGTCTTAACAGGACACTGCTGTTTATACAAGCATTTGAATTCAATGCAAAGGACGCAACTTATTAATTGTAGATATTGCAAAGGTATGACAGAAGAAACTATGCAACATGTTGTAGCATCTTGCGATGCACACTCTAGAGTAAGGCTCAGAGTCTTCAACCACGCTGTCATCAATGCCGAGGAGCTCGCGGAGGTGGATCCGGAGGATCTTCTCCTCTTCATGAGGAGAACGGGTGTCCGGTCCACCTTCTTCGACTTCTTCAGCTGACAGTGAGATCAGGGAGATGGCTGGTGAGGGTTCTCATCTTCAGAGAAACTTTTTTCTCTGAAGGTTTGTAGAATAAATTCCCAAAATTCCCCCCTCTTCCTGATTTTCGTGTTGAAGATTTCGAACGGACAAATCATGTTTGTTGCTCTTATTTCGTCCTTCACGTTTTAAAGTCAATCATCAGGATTTTTGACCACACTGTCATTAATGTTGAGGAGCTCGCGGGGGTGGAACTGGAGGATCCTCTCCTTGTTATGAGGAGAACGAGTGTCCGGTCCACCTTCTTCGACCTCTTCGGCGGACAGTGAGATCAGGGAGATGGCTGGTGAGGGTTCTCATCTTCAGAGAAACTCATCTCTGAAGGTTTGTAGAATAAATCCTAAATCACCCCCATCTTCCTGTATCAGCGGTCAAATTGGTCGCTTTGAGCTAAATTTACAAGCACATTTCACTTTTTACGCAAAATTTAAGGTAGTTTTTGAAACTTTCCTTATTTAACATCAATCATCAAATGACGGGATATAGGGAGCGAAACAAGAAGGGGTTCATACTCCTATATTCTTAATCGCTTTAGTGCACTGGTTAGTGCACTCCCTACTCTGATGATGATGATGTTGAAGTCGATTCTTGGCAGTCTTTTATATTTTTAGAAAAAAGAGAAAAAGAAAAGAAATGTTTATTGGTAATGATATCAAGAATGTTCTTTCATGTTTAGATTCATCATAAAGTCACGTTTTGTTTCCACATAACTTTCATATTTAGATTAATTTGATTTAATCGATGAAAATATTAAGAGCTTTAAACGTTCATCGATATTTTAAGCATTTTACAAATCGAATTTCATTTTGAATTCCAGTATTTGAAACAATGACATTCATTTGATTTAAAAGCTTTTTCTCTATTCGAATGTTTAAAATAAAACAAATGAACAAGTGGAGCTTTGTGGTTAAATTGGTTAATGTTGATCGTATTTGAAATTAATTTTAAAAGGATTTCACTGACTAAGTGAAGAAATTTTCAATCCTTTTTCTGAAGTGTTGGAAACTTTTTGATTAGGCACAAATTTCATGTTGGTAATGACTTTCCTGCCTTCAACCATGACCAAAAAGATTTAAATTTTCCATAAATTTAATTTCCCAATTAATTTGATTTCCTTTTTGTCGGTATAAGTAAAAGAAAAGGAATAAAATCTGACACCATAAAAAGTAAAGAGAGGAAGAAAAGCTCAACGAAAACAAATCAAAAATTCAAGAAGATTTAAAATTGCCATGAAGCAGAAAATGTTCGTCTAAGGGAACATTAATAATGACGAGAGGAAAATAAATGGGTCAAGAATGATGATTTACAAGTTTTCGTTAACAGAAAAGCCTAATAAATTCAAGAAAAGTCGAAAACGAAATTTCTTCAATGCATCTCAAAGCAATTTCTTTTTTCTTACTCAAATTTCTATTTTCCTAAAACTGTCACAAGCAGATTTTTGATTAAAGAACATTAAGGACGGTCGCTTGACAATTTTCCGTTGAACCACTTTTTCAATTATTTATATCGCTTCAGGAAACGTAAAAATCTTGTGGGTACCGCACATATCAGCGACAGAAATTAAATTAAGAGGAAAAAAATCAGGAAATTAATCACAACGAGTGATAAAAGTTTAGATGGAAGAAATGACTTTTTTTTTGTGTCTCATTCGGGATCTGTCAAATGGTTCATTGAGTTTTCTTCCCACATCTACATTTTTATTATCTTACAATAGATACTTATCACGTGTTAGGATTTTCATTATTTTTCCATCTTCCTTGAGATTCTAAGCTTTACATTGATTTTCGTTTCTTGAACGTAAACGATGCAAATATTATGTGCCGAAATACGTCTTGATTCAAGTTTGATTTCTCCATGAAAAGTCATTCACACGGAAAAAAGGCAAATAAAGAAAGAAAAGTTGAAATGATTCAGCTTTAAGTGAACAAGAAGAAAAGTCTTTAAATTTTCACATTGTCATGATTTAATTTATAAAAAAATCGATGAACAAAAACAAAAACTCTCCAGACAGCGGTCATAAAATGTATTCAATGGGCTTGAAAGAAGGTGAACATAATAAGCATTTTAAAAGATTTTGAATCCATAGCAGACGTAAAAAACATAAGAAAAGAAGAAATTATGATTAAGTCAAGTTATTTGTTTTTCTTAAATGTCATAACGAAAATTCGAAACTTTTATAGAAGGAAAAAATGTTAAGGCTTTTTCAAAATAAAGCCACCCACTCACAACATACAAATACGATAATCCAGTCTGTTTTCATTCAGTATCCAAGATATTTCTGAAATTCTTTTCCACTGAAAGGAGATGTGCCTTTTCCCTATGAAAGTATTTACTTTTATATTTAAATCTGCTACAAATTTTACTTTCATGTAGGGATTTTAGCCATAAGACGCCATTAAAAAGAAGTTTGATCTTGTTAGAAGAAAATTCAATGAAAATCGATAAATTTTGATATAGCTCTTGAACGTAGGCAACTTTTACAGCCCCAACATTGTTCCTTTTATCAACAACGTCAAAAATTTTATCTTTAATAAAAAAATGAAGATGATTTTCAGATGCAGAACTTGAACTATGAAAATGAAATTCAACAACCCTATAGTTAAAAGCATCATTAAATGTGTATGCATGAAAAGAGAAGATAAGACAGTTTACAATTACTTTTTCCACCCACTCGTTTTCTCCACTGAAATTCAACTACCTATTGTCATGAAAGACTCGTTAAAGAAAAAAAAAACACTTTAAAAAATGTATTCCGATAATTAAAGCATTTTATAATCGTCATTTATATTAAGCTGCAGTTAAAAAAAGAAGCAATACTGAATAAATTCTTTTATCGACTTTCTTTTTAACTTATTTAAGTTAATAAAGCACTAATTACTCTTTCTTTACAAAATGTTATCATTTAGGTGGCAACAGAAACTACCAGCAGACTGAACCAAAAATTGCAGACTCTATAGAAAATATTACGGCAGTGATTGGAAAAGATGCCGTGCTTAATTGTTTTGTTGAAAATCTTGGCTTATATAAAGTTGGTTGGATGCGATCCGATCAAACAGTTCTTTCTGTTGGAAAAATGGTAACACAAAACTCACGCTATTCAATAAGCCACACAGAATCCAACAAGTGGAGTTTGAGGATTCATAATGTCAGAGAATCAGATGAAGGCTGCTATTTATGTCAAATTAACACGCAACCTCTACTAAAGCAGCTCCATTGTATTCAACTACAATACCCGCCAGACATATCAGACGATGAGTCGTCTTCAGACACGACAATACAAGAGGGACGAAATGTCACTCTCCATTGCACAGCAAGAGGAAATCCAATTCCAAGGATATTCTGGCGACGAGATGATGGAATCTCTATCATAGTCAGAAATGAAACAGGCACAAATTTATTTGTTGATACCTTCAACGGTAGCTCATTAAAACTTATGAACGTTCGGAGAGATCAAATGTCAGCTTACCTTTGCATTGCTGTAAATGGCGTGGAACCTGCAATTTCCAAGAGAATTTTCCTTCATGTGCAATGTGAGATTTGTTTATTTTATTTATTTTATCAAACTGTCTCATCTCATTCATTTTATTTTCTGTGGTTGCTTCTTGATGTTCATTGTTGTTTTATTTAGTTGCACCCAACATCACATCCGATTCACAACTTGTCGATGCACTTGAAGGAACATCGCAACGAATCGATTGCCTTGTTGAATCATTTCCAAGCCCGATGAGTTATTGGGTCAAGGAAGCTGTAACAATGCGAGGTGGAAGCAGCCATAAAGTTTTAATAGAACAAAGGTTGCATGACTTTTTATTTATTTTTAATTACATCCTTTCGATATCTTGATATTTTGTTGATTCCAGTGAAAAATATACAATTCATGAGAAGAAGATATCATCATATAAATCGATGATGATTTTGACAATAAACAACTTGACTCAACAAGACATTGGAAGCTATGTTTGTATTTCAGGTAAATAAAGCTTTTGTTGACTCTTTCGGAAAAGATATTTCCATTATATTTATTGGATAAGAGTAATAACGGGCTTGTTCGGTTTCAGGAAATCCCTTGGGCAGTTCAAACAAAACCATCAAGATTTATGGTAAATATTTCAACTCCTACAAGATTTCCAACGAACAATGACGTTTAACAATTTCAAATATCCTTTGTTGATATCTTTTCAGAGGTCAGATTGACCACAACAACAACCACGACAACAACAACCCAAAGTACAACAACAAGTACTACAATGAAAACAACGACAACGACAAGAAGAAAACTTTATTATTATCATCCTCGTACGACATCAACGACAACAACTCAACTAACAACTGAACAGATGACAGAGTTTGACTTTGAGTTTGTTACAGACTTTCCTGGATCGAATTCATTATTTTATCCTGGTGTGGAATCATATCAACATCACATAAACTACATAAACTCCCAAAACTCTCTTCGCGATAAAATCCACCTTCATTACTTTTCAATGTCGCTGCTTCTCCTCATCTCGATGATCTCCTGATATTCAATAATTTATGAATGAAAACTGTTCTTAGCTGTGTAGATATAAGAAAGAGAATCAAACAAGAAAAACATAAAATGATATCAACAGAGAGAAAATGTTGATTCACTTAGTGAAGAAAAAAAATGTTTTTTTGTTTTGTTTTCCTTTTCTTGCAGAGAAAGAAAGGCGAAAAAGAAAATCTAAAACTTAGCTTAACGTTCTGTTCACGAAAAAGGAAAAAAGAAATGAGAAAAAGAGAAAATAAAAGAAAGAAAAGATAAGACATTTGAAGAGGTTTTTGGTAGAAAATTATTTGTATTCAATGCTGGTTACTCATTAGCTCATTTGTTCCGGTTTCGATCGCAGAGGGAAGTTTCTGAGAAGAACAATTTCATCACTTAGATTCATCGTCATGTATCACATTAGAGATGCCTGTTGTATCACATGAAACGAAAACTTTCTTCTTTTCCTTCAATAATTCATACAACGAATGCTTTCAATTCAAGTAAATTAGAATAAGAATTACTTACAATTAAATGAGACGTCATTCTTAATTTAAGGCGGAAATTGTGGGTGGTTGAAAAAGAAATGGAAAAAAGTCAACGTGATCTGTAAACAAATCATTCGAATGTTCAAAGGTTTCATTTCTACACCTGACTGACAACCACAAGTTAAATTTGAAGAAGAAAAAAATGAAGTTTTGAGGAAAATAGTTTATTGTGATCACTATTAAGTAAGACTTAAGAACTTAAGACCATCATCCAGATATTAAAACAAAACTTTCACGATGGAGTTTTCATTTAAACCCTTTTTCGAGTTACCTTTCTGGATATATTTATGTAGTAAATATTCTTCTTACTTTCACACATGCAGATGATGTTTAAAGTTTATATTTTTCGGTGTAAAAGGTTCATAAACATACCGTCTTTAAGGCATACGCTGTAACATGGCACAGCAGTGGGAAAACCAGAGTATTAAGATTTATTCAGCAATTAACAAAATCCCTCGAGCTACTTACTCGAACCTCCTTTCTCTTTTTTTTCCTACTTATATTTCTTTTTGCTAAAACGAATGAATTTTTCCTTCTTCTTCATTCTCTTACTTTCTTCCCTCTTCCTTTCAACAATCGATTTGAGGATAAAAGTTAAGAGAAACTTTTTTAATTATGCTAACTTACGGCAAATGCAATATTTTTTTGAAGGGGTTTATTTGAGTTAATTTCCTTCCGCTCATAAAAATATATTTTAAGAGTTTAAAAAGAGATTTTTTTTAAATAACTTTCTTGAGGATAAAAACTTATTTCAAGCAGTGTTGATGTTTGACGTAAATGTCTGAATTTTCCATCTCACTCTTCCTGTCAGAAGTCGATTAAATTATTATCAAATATTCACAACCAAACAACCCTGAAATCATTGACTCTCGAGGAGATGAAGTTGTTTCTCAAGGATAATTTTGCAATTTTCTACTCGCAGAAGTGGAAATAACCGTGAGTGGATCACAAAGATTTTCAATTTAAGTGAAAATGATTTTCGTTTTAGGTCTTTTGATTATGCATGAGCGAAAGTGATTGTGTAGGCTTTATTAGAATGTACCCATTAGCAAAACACTTTAATTACGTTGTTTGTGTTCGTTTAGAGGTTCTTAAAGTATAATTAACCAGTTGAGTTAAGACAAACTCATTCATAATTCTGTTCATTTATTCTTGGGGAAGGTTGGAACGTTTTTTTCGTTGCTTCTTATATTCGAGAGAAGCTTGGTCGGAAAAACAAGAATAATGTTTAATACTCTTGCTAAGCACATTACACCGATTTTCATGCTCTTTTAATTCCATGTTTTCTCGGTAAATTGCAGACCAGAAAATGAGAAAATTGTGCTACACAAAAAAATGAAATGAAAACGAGATATTTATTTAATTTTTTTCAAGGTAAAAGTTCCTGCATAAAAATTTATGACAAACACCAGTCGTTTGGTCGCGAAAAGAAAAATTCAACTAACTGCTTAATTATTTCTCACCTGCCTCTGGTGCTCCATCCAATTTTAATGTTCATGTTTGACCCTTGAATAAAAAATGAGAAAAGTTGTTTGTCTCACTCCGGTGTCACATTTAACACTCAGTCAAGTCGACGAGTTTCATTTTATTGAAGAAAGTTTTTCCTTTCTTATTTAATTTGAAATTAAGCTGAGATTCTTAAAACACAAGACCAAGCAGCAAGCTTACAATAAGTAAGAACAAAGAAAAGCAGAGATTTGTGATTTTATGGATGTTTCAGCTTTTTATTAAGACAATGTTAAATTACATTGTTGGATTTAGTAAGGTGCAACGATTGTGGTCAATAACATTGGACTTCATCGTAAACTTTCCTTCAAATTGAAATTGTTTTTCTTTTCGAAATTTAATAAAATTTAATTTCTTTTGAAAACAGTCGATAGTTGTTTGTTTCATAGAAAGTTGTTGAAGGGGAGAAAGAAATATTTCATTAAAGTATTTTGCATAATTTCACGATAAAAAGAGATATTAAATGACTTACTTTTCAATTTTCATGACAGAAAAAAATTATTCATTTCAAGTAAGAGAGAAAACAACGAATCAACATTTCATTTTTCTACTCTTCTTCTGTTGATTGTTCAAACAGCCTGACGAATGAATCAAATCATCGTCTCAAGCATTCTTCTTCCTCGAGGCTGTTTTTTTATAAATATTTCTTTTTATGTGAACACAAGCTCTGAGAGAAATGGCGAAATGAATTAGTAGGTGAAGAAAGAAAGATGTTCATGAATAATTACAATTGAACCTTGAATATTACATGAGATGCTTGTTGGATCCGATGTTTATTTCCACTGTTGATTTTCATCCTCGTTTTCTTTCTTTCTTCCTTGGTTCAGTCAAAAGGTTTCGCAATCTTAATAATTGTTTGTATTTTTTATATTTCATTCGCGACATTTGTTGTGAACAAAAGCACCTGTTGAATATATTTATTTATTATTTCCAAATAATCACACGCATATTAATGGAAATGAGTTTTTTGTGGGGTTTTTGTTGTCCATAGCAACGACGAGTTGAAATAATGCAAACAAATGAATTCGACATTTTCAAGAGTGAAAAGTGAGAATTATAAATAAAATAAATATTAATATGGATTCTTACGATGAAGTTCATAATGTGAAAGATGGAAGAGAAATCTCAACTCCCGAGTTTGATGTGAGAAGTTCAATAAAGTTCGATAGAAATGTTGACGATGTTAAGGAAGATATTTTTGAGAATTCTTCAACTGAGGTAAAGTTTCGTAAATCTATAAACCTTTGTACAATGCAAATCTACAGAAAAAATCCATTAAAAGGTTCATGTAAAGCCAAAACTTGAACGATTGGACTCTCAACAGCTGCAACGTTCCAAAAAATCCTTTCGCAAAATGAACATCGACAGCATTGATGACAATAACAATTTATCAGAGTCGAGTAGCAGCAAATCCGATGACGACGACGATGATGACGACGATGGAGCGCATCAATACTTAAGCAGCTTTCCAAATGATCCGGAGAAACAACAGCAACAGCAGCCACCGAAGTTTGACTACAACTTCAAGCAATTTGAAAACTTGGATGCAGCATTCCCAGCTGATTTAAGGGAGATTATGCAATACATTCCAAAGTTTTCACCCCAAAATGTTGAAATCGACTACAAGCTTCAGGTTTTCATTCCCGAATTCTTTCCGTCCGTAGGTGATATTGATGCCTTTCTTAAGATTGTAACGCCGGAACCATTAAAAGCAATGGAAGCGACACATTTGAATGATATCTCTCGCTTGGGATTAGAAGTACTTGATGAACCTGGAGAGCAAAGTGAAGAAGCTTTACTTCAGATCAAATTGCGATCGATGTTTGCAAAACCCCTCGCAGCACCATCAGCTCTTGTCAAATCCCCGAAAGATATTGACAAATGGATTCAAGAAATTCAATCCTTACACGCGTCACGAATTCATGATAATCTAATGCAGCAACACCAAACTCAGATCAATATCGATAATCTGATGACGGAATGGCCAGACGATGTTGAGAGACGAATGGAGTCTTGTTATCCATCACCGAATCTCAATTGCACGTTAAGCGATTATGTGAAGATTATCTGCAATTTATTTGATATTCCAATTGAGAATGCTGATAATCATTATGATTACATTCGAGCTCTCAATATTTTATTTAATCTTTACATCGCTATACGAAAGGAAAAGTGAATAACGAATAACGGAAAAAAGATATTCAAATTTCTTTTGTTTCTAGTAGTTTGAAACAGATTGTGTCTTGGATAAGTTTTTTACTGGAATTTCGAAAAGGTGTAGAAAATCTTAAATTTCACATTTTATCTTTTTCAATTTGCACCCTGAGGACCACAGATAGTTTAACTTGCTCTATTTTAAACCAAATAAAAGAAAATTTGCCTTGAAAACAGGGCTTGGAATATTCTACATGTAGAAAACAAAAATTGTTGAAATATGGGGGGGGGGATTACAAGGGGAAATTGAAAAAACCAATTTGGGGGATACCAAGGGGAGAAATGTTAATGTTGCATGGGAAGAGAAAATCTTAATTTCACATTTTATTAACATATAGTTCCAAGCATCACACTTTTACTGTCTACACAACAATTTGGTATTTATTGTTATAAATTCGAAAACTTCTCTCTGTGAATCTTTTTAAATATCCATTTTTGGTAAGGATTACTTTCATTACATGTATCCACGTTTATAATAAAATTGTTCATTGATAAGCACATATTGGAGTTACTTTTGTTGATCTGATATGTTGTAATGTTATAAATCCATTGCTGATTTCCCAGTTGATCGTGGCATTTATACATTTGAAGGCTGTTAGGATTGCCAGGTGAAAACTCAAGACAATGCGCATTTCTTTTTATTTCAAATCGCTTTGTATACTCAAAAAATTGACTTCCACCATATTTATGACAGTGGTACACTTGAATCTTTCCTGCTAAGTCATGTTCACCGACCGGTGAATCTAAGCAAAACTTTTTTTCTCCTAAATTGTAAGCTGAACCTTCAGCAAGATTATCAGGAATGTCTAATTCGGGATAAATGTTGTCTAAATACCATTTAAACGATTTACAATTTAAACTTTCACGAAGCTTTTTCCGTTCACTGACATCACCATAATCTATATTTTTACCACCAATTCTTAAATAATAAATTTCTGCATATTCATCCATCCAAACTTCAGCTAATCGAATTGTATTTTTTCTTAAAACATCAACGCCTGGTCTCCACTTGTAAGGCGAAACCTTTCAGAATCAGAAATAGATCATGAAAAGAAAAAAGAAAAGAAAAACCCCGTTAGTGGGTGAACATTCATCAATGTGAGTGATTAATAAATCGCCTGTGAAACCTTTCTAAAGATGTGACCGACATGCGAACAGGGAATGATTTCTAAAGTTCCGCCACACATCCAAGTTTTGAACGAAAGTTCAAGATTTTCAGCGCCCCAAATGTCAAAGTCAGGATCGTACATTCCAAGCTTCTCGAAGAACTTTCTATCGATTGAGAACAAACCGCCAGCCATCGTGGGCGATCTTGTTGGTGCTGCTGGATGTCCTTTTCTAGCATTTTCTTCTTGCGACACATAATGCCAATCAAAAGTAACAGCCCAATCAAATCCACCAATTTGTAGTCCAGTGGCATCTTGATAAGACAACGTAAAAGTGTGATCGTCAATTACATCAATCACTGGACATGAAACTGTTGTTGAATCTCTTGCAATTCTATCTAAAAGTGGTTCCAGCCAACCTTCAGCACATTCAACATGAGAATCTAAGAATGTTAATGTCGGAGCTGTTGCAACCACAGCTCCACGTATACGAGCTTTAATTAAACCTTCTCTTACATCAGCACGTAAAATTTTCACCTTGGGATAGTCAGACATGTAAAGGTCCAACGGTTTTTTTAAATGTGCTAAAAGATTTCTTCATCTAACATGAAAAGAATATTTAAAAATATTAAATTAACTCACGCATACTTGAGAAATCATCAACTAGAATAATTTCTTCAATTAAATGTTCTGGTGATTTGTTAAGAACGGAATGAACTGTTCTGAGGAGCGTTGACCACGCTTCATTGTGAAAAATGATTATCACAGAAGTTGATGGAAGATGATCAAGATACAACTTCTCCTGCTTGCAATATTCATCTCTTGGATCAGGAAGTGTTCGATTCAATGCAATGAGATCAGACACAAATTCATTAAATTGATGACGTTTCCATCCTTGATCGATTCTTTCTTGAATTTCATTTGAAACATTTCCTAAATGTACTCCTTGACCTTTCTCTCCAGGATTAATTAATCCAAGTTCTTTGATTATCTCAGGTGGAATTGGCGTCACAATTTTCTTGTAACTAAAAAAATCTTTATTTTTTATTTTCTTTCTCACTTTTTCCCAACTTTTCACTTCACTAGTTTCTGAATTCACTGAAGAATGTTCCCTTTCATGTGTAAATGTTTTTGTTTTATCGCGATTCCATTTCAAATATTCTTCATTTATTTTTTTCTTTTCAACATCTTCCACGTCTTCTGTTTGTAAACTATAATAGAAAACAATCAAAATGATTGTCCACAACAATGTTGCGAAGATTAATGACTTAAAAAGTTTCAATTTTGCAACATAAAATTGCAGTCGCGTCATGCCTCGTACTTCACGATGCTTCTTCATGCTTCGAAGTGAGAACGTGAACTGAAAACGTCATCATCATTGTTATCAGCGAGCGAATATGCTGATAATATGTGTAAAAGATCACAATATCGGCTTCAGGTAAATTCATTTGTCATATTTGTATTGAAAAATGTGTTCGAACAAAAAACTTTTTTCTTTCTTTTATTCTTTTATCAGGAAATTATTTTCTATGTTCGTTTGTTACAAAAGTTTCAACAAAAACAAATTTAGTTAATGTTGTTTAAATTGTAGTTATCGAAAAACCAGTTTTGATGTGTAAATTCGTCGTTGCAATCTTCAGTCATCAAGGAACTTGTTTTGATATTAACTGCTAAACATTTCGATGTGTTGCTGTGAAAAATTTGATTCGTGTCAATCGAATAGGTCCAAAACTTAGAAGAAAATTAAATTATAATTATAAATAGATGATTAAGATAAAGAATTGTCATCAACCTGTGTTCCTTTCAACCCATGACATTTGTAAAGTGTGACTTTGTTTGATCCATAAGTGGCGTCAAGACAAATGTCATCAATTTTAATTTCGCCTTCTTTTGTGTACCAAAACATCTGTTCCAGTTTTCCTTTCGTGCAAATTGACAGAAGAATTTTCGAATCAGCTCTCGTTATGCATGTCGTGTTGTCAATTAAGCTTCTCACATGTCCAAGTGCCAACACTTTGCTTGGATCGGATTGTTCAGGGAAAACATTTTCAAGATACCATTTAAATGATTGACAGTTCAAATTCTCACGAAGTTTTTGACGTTCACTGATGTCACCAATGTCAATCTTGTCGTAACCACTTACGATGTAAAAGTATTTCTTGTAATCATCCATCCAAACTTCAGCTAAGCGCATTGGATTTTTATAGACAGCCGAGCCACTCCACTTGTAAGGCGAAACCTTGTTGTGAATTAATATTGATTTAATTTATTTTATTTAGTGTTTATTCTTTGAGAGTTAATAATTAATTAAAAATTGTGAAGAGATTATTCTCCTTTTGTAGAGAATAATCTTAATTAGTATTAGTGAATTAATAATATATTCGTATCTAGGATATTTCCAACAAACCTTTCTAAAGACGTGAGCAACATGCGAACATGGAATGATTTCTAAAGTTCCACCACACATCCAAATTTTGAATGAAATTTCAAGATTTTCAGCGCCCCAAATGTCAAAGTCAGGGTCGTACATTCCAAGCTTCTCAAAGAACTTCTTGTCGATTGAGAACAAACCTCCAGGCATTGTGGGTGAATGAAGTGGCTCGTTTGAATTATTATGTCGCTTAATTTCTCTCTCGGGTTGAAGCATCCATTTGTAAATCAATTTCCAATTAAAACTTCCGATTTGATAAGGTTTGACGGTCCTAATTTCAAATGTTTTATCATTTATCGTATCGATGATTGGAACAACGACATTTGTTGGATTTTGAGCTATTCGATCAAGAAGTGGTTCCAGCCAACCTTCAGCACATTCAACATGAGAATCGAGGAAAGTCAAAATTGGCCCTTCAGCATGAATTGTTCCTGTAATTCGAGATCGAATCAAGCCTTCACGTTCATCATTCCGAAGGATCTTCACTTTCGGATATTTAGCGAAATAATCTTCGAGAGGCTTCTTCAAATGATCTAAAAATTTCAAATTTTAATTTAAGAATCAAAGAAAATGTTTAAAAATCAAACCAAAATGAGAAAAATCATCAACGAGAATAATTTCAGTGATTAAATGATCTGGTGAACGATCAAGAACTGAATGAACCGTTCGAAGAAGTGTCGACCAAGCTTCATTATGAAAAATAATTATCACAGATGTTGGTGGTAGATTTTCATTGTACTGTTGTGCAATTTCTTTGCAATAATCTTCTTGAAAGTCTGGAACTGTTCTCTGAATTGGAATTAAGCTTGAAAGATATTCGTTGAATTGATGATTTTCCCAACCTTCGTCGTAAAGTATCTTAACATCTGAAGGCATGTCCTCAGGCATTTCAACAGGTTTCCCTCCATCTCCCAATGTACTTTCATTAGTAAAAATACTTGGTGGCTTTGAGAAATATTTGTAAGCTTCGTCTTGAACTGACTGAGAAATTTGTTGATGGAAAATTCTTCTCTCAATTTCATTTCTTTGATGCAGATTTTCCGCATACAATTTATGAATATTATAATCTGCGTCAAGAGCTTCAAATTTTTGAGGATCGACAAAAAATTGTGAATATTCAAAGTCTTCATCGTCATCATTTCTGTTTCTTGGATATGGATAGGTCAACAATGTGATTGTCAACCAACATAAGCAAGCAATGAAAACAATTCGAAGAACTTTGAAATCTTCTCGCCTCATAACTTTTGTCGTGTGTTCACTGTTTGATTGGTTTAAAGCGACTGAATTTCTCACGTTTTCATAAGTCTTACTCTAACAGAAAGTTGAATAATCGTGAGTTAATTTGATAATTATTTATTCAAGTGTATAAATGTATATAAAATATCAATTCAAACTTAATATCTACACTCAGAAATGCGCTCGCTTTCCACAATACATTGAGAGGACAAATTCTCCTTTTATTGTCTCAGAAAACTTTCAAACGTTCTGGTGAGAAGTTCTCTAAAATCCATTTTTGATTAGTTAAAGCTTCCTTACATTCTGATAAGACCAAAGTTCCTGGTTCTGATGATTTTGTGAGACATTTTCCTGAATTTTTGTGGATAATTTGTGAAGTTTTCTCATCATAATTCCACAACTGGGAAGTTTTAAATTAAAAGAAATATTGGACACAAAATTAATAAAAATTCTTACTTGAACATTTTCAAGAGTTTTGTGCTTCACTAATCGAAGCTTTCCATCATTCAATTCCATGAAGTAATGATCTCTGCCAATCAATCCATCATAAAATTCCCAGTACTGACTTTCATGCATTGAATCACAAGGCACAGGATAAATTCCCGACTCTTGACCATTTACACAATTGAAACCATCCTTAATAGCACTTCTAATCTTAAAAACCAAAAAATGACATAAATTTTTAAAAAAGAATAAAAAAAAATTTAATATTGTTGCATTACCCGACCAAAGGCAATTGAATCACCAGGAATATGAAGATCTGGATAAATATTCTTCAAATACCAATCAAATGATTTACAATTTAAACTTTCACGTAGTTTTTTACGTTCACTGACGTCACCAATGTCAATGGTGACATTCCCGGTACGAATATAATAATATTTGGCGTAGTCATCCAACCAAACTTCAGCTAATCTTGCACAATTCTTTTTGAATGTTTTAACATCCCATTTAAATGGTGAAACCTTTCTAAAGATGTGACCAACACGAGAGCAAGGAATGAGCTCTAAACTTCCACCACACATCCAAGTTTTGAAGGAAAGTTCAAGATTTTCGCCACCCCAGAATTCGAATTCAGGATCGTACATTCCCAGCTTCTCAAAGAACTTCTTGTCGATTGAGAACAAACCGCCAGCCATTGTTGGAGACGGCACAGGTTCCGACAAGTCTGATCTAACCTTTCTAAAATCTTCTGATAAGACTTTCCATCGGAATATCAAAGACCAATCGAACCCACCCACAAGCATTCTGTCAAGATTCTTATGTGGGACATATTCGAAAGTTTCGTCACTTATCAAGTCAATGATAGGGAACGGAATTTTTTGTGAATCTTCAGCGATTCGACTGAGAAGCGGTTCAAGCCAACCATCAGTGCATTCAACATGAGAATCGAGAAATGTTAAGACAGGGCCTTGAGCCAATTTCGTGCCACTAATTCGCGCTCTAATTAAACCATCTCGTTTCGCTGTTCGCAATATTTTAACCTTGGGATAATTTGACATGTAAACTTCCAGCGGCGTCTTCAAATGTTCTTCAAAATAGTTAATTTTCTCAAAAAGATTAAAAATGAAATAAAATTAAAATTTCAATTTCAACCAACCCATGTCTGAAAAATCATCAACGAGAATAATTTCAGTGATTAAATGTTCTGGTGAACGATCAAGAACTGAATGAACCGTTCGAAGAAGTGTCGACCAAGCTTCGTTGTGGAAAATTATAATCACAGATGTTGATGGAAGATTTTCATCGTAATGCTTTGCAGCTTTTAAACAATAATCTGTCCGATAATCGAAGAGACTTCTTTTCACAGAAATCAATTCAGATGCTAATTCATTGAATTGATGAGTTTTCCATCCAACATTTTGAATTTCTAAAGCGACTTCAGGAATGTTTGGAAAAATCTTAAGCGCAGTTCCATTCTCACCAAACTTTCGATCAAGGAAATTAATGAACATCTCTTGAAGTTTCTTGCACTTTTTATCTTGTTCTTTGTAGTTTCTCGGATATTTTGAATCATCTGAGTCCACTTCAATGGTGGTTAGTTGAATTGCTTCAACGTCAGGTTCACCCACAAAGACAGGTTCTAATAAGTTGAAATTTTCGTTCACTTTTTTATTTAATTCAATCATATTTCTATCCAATTGAAATTCGATATCATTTGTAGGCACTTGATTGAATCCAAATATCAAAAGCCACCAAAAGAAAATCACAAAAAGAACTGCTTGATATCTTCCACCTCGTTTAAGATTGTAATAAATAAGACCAAGTAATCGATTCATCATGTCTCGATAAACTTTCCCAACTAAATGATCTGAAATTCTACAAATTTTTATGAAAACTTATCGAATATTTATTCAAGTGTTTCGCGATGACATAAAAAACGAAACAGAAGATGAAATGAACTTTTTTTTCACGTTTCAAAATAAGTTGTGCTTCATTTTATTATATTAAATAATTTTAAATAATAAATACATGTTTAAGATAATTTTTCTTTCTTATTTTTACAAGCCTTTTACTAATTGCTTTATCATATAAAATAAAGTTCTTTAACTTAACACATTTATTGCTTTGAGAATATTTATTTAGATGAAAAATAAAAAGTACAAAAATGTTTTGTGAGAAAACTTTGTTTATTAAATATCAGCACAAATCGAATTAATCTTCTTTTAATAATAATTTAGATGACGAACTTACATTTCCTAAGTTCAATTTGCGCTTTTTACCTGTTTGAAAGCTTTTTTCTTGTGATTATATTTGACGTTGGTATCAATTAGAAAATATATTTGTGTCTCAATTATTTAATTGTCAAAAGCATTTGTCAAATTGTTTAAATGCAAGATGACTCCTTTAATTAAATTACCTTCTGTTCATTATGAAATCTCAAAGACACAATTTGACAAATGCTTTGTGATGAAAACTTTTCTTTTGCTACATGAAAATTTACAAAGTAAGCTTGCACATCAATAATCATAATGAAAGTTTTTAAATAAATAAAATCTTTTCATCATCACTACCGACAACAGTCTTCAACAATTTATAATGTTTCTACTATTCTCATAATATGTTTCTTGAATGATTTTTATTTAAAGATATGTTCATGCTGGTTTGATTATTTACAGCAACACAATTTGTTGTCTTCTTCTTGGTCTTCTCTAAATATTTTT